CAAGAGGGGTTGAATATTGAAGTCAGTCAATAGGGTGAATATAGAGCAAAGCCCATGGCATCATCTATGATGGCTACTTCATTTTGGAAACAATGCAAAGTGCTAACATTTATAACATAATAAAAAGGAGACTGACTGAAATAAAATAATTTTTAACTCTTTTCGAACTTAATTCAAGCCAGTTGATAAGTGGTTGGTATAGGTGAAACTGCATACATGGAACTGTAACTCAGGAAAGGCAAGATATTCCTAATTTATCTAGAAGTAGCTATATTAGAAGAAATAATTAGGTCAGGCGGACACCAGCATTTTCCAGGTGTTTACCTGAGTGTGTGTGTGTGTGGGGGGGGGGAAATGGAGATGTTGCTGATTTATAAGCTTTATTGAGTTTATAAAGCTTTTATAAGCTTTATTCCTTAAGGTAGTTGCATTTGTTTTTCGGACTTGCACCAAGATGGTGTGCTTTTAATGAGCAACAAAGCTGCACTGGACTTTCATGAGGCCCAGTGCACTTTTTCGGAATAGTTTTTGAAACATGCACTGCCCTAGTAATTATAACTTGTTCACACTGTTCCTTTGAAAACAGTTTCAAATTTCTAGTAACCCAGAATGCCACAAACAGATTATTCCCTGAGGTTACATGCAGGTCTCATTTGCTGCTTTGATACCCAGTTCTATCCCGGGCACACTTCAAAGGCTTTGAAATGACAGATTTTTCAGCTACGGTAGTAGCCAAAATTGTGGAAACTTTTTGGGAAAAGTGTATTTTTGAGGTTTTATGGCTAATGACCCCCATTTTTTTTTTTTTTTTTTTTTTTTGAGTTTAAAGATAATCATATTTCACCGCTGGAATGGCCCGGGAATAATCTAGACCTTAACCCGATTGAAAATTTATGGAGTCAACTAAAGAAACTTGTTAGTCAGAAGTGACCCAGCAATAAAACCCAGTTAATAGAAGCAATCATTCAATCTTGGTTTCACATTATAATAGTTGCAGAACCAAAAGACTTGGTTCACTCCATGGGAAGATGTTTGTAAGGCCGTAATTCATGCTAAAAGTTACCCAACTAAGTATTAACTGACGTGATAATTTTTGTATATCTTGTTTTTTCTAGGGTGATAATTTTTGTATATCTCATTTTTTCTATGTTTCACTTTTCTTTTTTACACTGTAACTGCTATTCTAATAGCAAATCCTTCATAAAAGTTATTGCATTACATTCTTGATTAAATTATCTTTCCTTTGATATATAATTTTATGGTACTACTCCAAAAAAAAGGGGTGTTATTAACTGGTTTTAGAAAATACACTTTTCCCAAAAGGTTTCCACAATTTTGGCCACTACTGTACTCTTCTCACAACCCTTTCTCAGATTTTTCAGAACCCTTTCTCTCTGTGAGGGACAATTTTGGTGGCAACCTGAAAGAGAGTTTTTTTTAAATGGCTGGGAGTTTTTAGCAAGGAAGTTCAGGCAGATTAGTTCCGTCCTTATGTTTGCTGCTGGCAAGGAAACGTTTTGTTAATACTGGCAGCATTTCGACATCTAAGCTAATCTGTTTGCTGAAGGAGGTGGTCTATATTTTCTTTTTTACCTACCTTAATTTATTTTCTCTTATGATGTTGCATGCTATCTTACCCGCTTTATTTTCAGGCCTCTTGAACACTATTTTGAAATGGAAAGTGGGATAAAAACTTTAAATAAACAGTAGGGTTTTGTCAACATCGCTTATCACTTCAGCAAAAGAAGAATTTATTTATTTATCGGGAATTCAGTGTGTGCTGGTTTCAACTGGTGATAGCAGTAAATTATGCATTTAGATAAGCAGATTTCTAGCAGGCTTTGTATAATTTGGATAGGGGGACATCTTGGTCAAGTGCATTTTTCACTTCATTCTCTCCTCAAATAGCATGGAAATGCTGTAATCAAAGAACCGATTGTGGTGTGTCTCTGCTATTACTGGGTAGCAGGCATAATATCCAGCCCAGCACAGACGCAGACAAAATGGCAGTGCTTAGTTACTATGGTGACCACCTTGGGTATGACTTTTCAAATAGAAATAGACTTTATAATAGAATATTTCAGTTTATGTTCCTGGAAGGAAGCGGCAGGTTTTATAAGTAAGCTGCAACTGTCTTAAGTAACAATTAGCTTTACTGCAAGGTTTTTTATTGTTTGTATTTTTCTGTACACGTTTTACTATATCAATTAGCTTTATGTTACGAACTTTACCATCTATCGAATAAAAGACTGCATTATAATACCTGTAGTAATTTTATTGAAAGCGATGGTTGTGTCGGCCTTATGAAGTAGACCAGAGCTGGAAACAGACTCCGTAGGAAGACGAGAAGTATTCTGCTCATTGAGATTGGTGGCAATGCAATAATGGCATTGCGCAAGACTGGTTGAAATTTACCTCCCCTTATTTTAACTTTTATCAAATAAACTAGAGTCCTTCCTTTTAGTTCTGAAAATGTTAATTAAAATATTGTTATACGATTTGATCTCTCTTCAGTTCTTCTTTCTCCCATTACAAAAGCTTCTTCGAAGCTTTAACAAGCCTGTTTTGTAAATCCCTGAAAAGAGATATTATAATTGTCTTGGTTAAGCATTTATTTATTTATTCCATTTTTTATAGCCACCCATCTCAACCAAATAACTCTGGGCAGTTTACAGTTCTAAGTACTACAGTTGTATTTCCTTTTTAATTGTTGAAACTTCAGCCAGCTTCTTTTGAATAGTCTATAAAATGTTTTTATCTGAGTCATTCTCTTCACTTGTCACTTGTATTTCCACTTTAAATGCCTTTTCTGTTTATAATCCACAATTTTTAATCCAATATTTCTGATTCTACTATTTCTGATTTATTTCACATCTGTCATTCCTTCATTAACACTGGATGATTGTCTATCTATAGAAGCATACATTCTTACTGATATTGCAGTTATTAATTTCTGGCCCCATTCTTTAAAGATCTCCTTTAATTTTTAAAATCTGAAGCATTTTGTATTATTTTTGTAAATTCCAATACTGATCAAAACTTTTGGTTTACATTTTTTTTGCCCAGAATCTTTAATCCCCAATAGTGTCCAATTTAAATCATAATCTAATATATGATATGACTTACAATAGACAAAATAACTTCATTTCCCATAAAAAGCTGTTTATTTTATATAGTTAGCTCCAAAATCTTATAGTAAAAGTTTCAAAATTCCAAAATTTTTAGTAGTAGCACTAGTAAATGTATTACAATCAAAAGACCTAGCATGTTTGTTTTTTATTGAAGTGAGAAATCTAGATATTTTCATGCCTGTCAGGTTAGTTTTATTCACATAGTCAAATGCAAATAAAATGCTTTCATCTGTTGGCCCGTCATTTGTATAAAATTTCCAAAATTCCTGATTTCTTCGTTCCTCAAAGTCACATTCTGACTAATGCCAAAGGAATCAGAGAGTCAGCCTAGTGTAAGTGGAAATGCCAAGTACTTTAGCAATGACGAGATTTATTTTTGGTTTAGATTCATTTCTATCATGGAACATTACTGCCAAAAGTTATGCCTGCATGTATGGATTTTAAGAAGATCATAGCTGCTTGTTTTTCTTTCTTTCTTTTTTTGAAAAAAAAATATCCAAGAAATAATTTGGGATACTTATTGCTAGGCCAGTAAATTCAAACGCCACTGTGTGTTACTGCTTGCTTGCTTATTTATTTAACATTTTTCCTTTCCACTTGGAGAATGCTCATTATATATTCGCTTATAAGATGAGCACTGAGAAAGGAGAGGAAAAACCACCAAAGTAATAACAATCTGTTACTGTGGTATATTGTCTATTTAAAAGCTATACTATTTCTAAGGTCCACTGAGAGCTTTGTGCTTGCAGGAGTTGGCATACCTGGGTGAATTCTTTTTTTCCTTGTCTTCATATATCTAATTCAGAAGGTGCATTGTTACCTTCAAATTCAAGTTGGAATCACTTTGAACTTTAGGCAAACTTTTAAATGAACAGATAGGTATTTATTTTGTACTTTAGAAATAACAAATAGCAATAGGTAGTTTTTGTAAGGCTGCTTTAATTAGGGTATTTGTGTAATCAATGTGGAACACAGGGTCTTCAGTGAAACAACCTGCCTCCAGAAGTTGTGGATGCTCCAACACTGGAAGAGAGTGGACAACCATTTGTCTGAAATGGTATAGGGCAATAATGGCTAACCTTTTCCGGACCGAGTGTCCAAAGCGTGCATGCAAATACACGTGTGCGCCTGAACCCCCAAAATGCAATGCATGTGGGGGCCCCGCATGCGCCACTGCATGAGCCCCATGCATGTGTGCACACTCGCACATGCGCCCCATCCCCCATGCATGTACACACACCCCCCGCAGGTGCCCTGCGCATGCACAGCAGAGGGCCAACGACCAGCTGGCCAGTGGGAGGCACATGCGCGGCAGAGCTGAACTGGGGTGATGGCTCATGTGCCCACAGAGAGAATGCTGCGTGCCTCCTGTGGCACACATGCCATAGGTTCGCCATCATGGGTATAGGGTCTCATGCCTGAGCAGAGGGTTGGACTAGAAGATCTCCAAGGTCCCTTCCAACTCTGTTATTCTGTTATGTCTTTTTGGTTGTCGGGAGAACCAGCCATTCAGAGTCCTGATTGCATATCTAATCGGAAGCAGTTCAAATCTACATCATATAGAGCAAGGAACATGCATCTCCAAACAGCCTCCTTAGATATTGTAGGTTTCTCTTCAACAGTTCAAAGCTATCGATGCACCATGGAAGCAATAAAAGATTTAGCCTTGTCCTCCATAAATTGCATGTTTGCCACAGTTATCTCAATCAACTTTATAAGGATTGCTTCATTCCAACATTGGACAGATTACCTTATGCGTGTAGTTATGCTTTGCTTAACAAAGAGCCGATGACCTCCAGTTTGACATTTTCTGTTGTTCAACTGATTTTTCAATCTATAACTGTAGCTACCCCCCACTCTCCATTTCAGGATGACAGCCGGATGATTGAAGAGGTACAAACAGACAAAATAGAAAGCCTGGAAAGAAAACATGCAGAAGCAATTAAGAGGCTATGGGAGGATCCAGGCATCCAAGAGTGCTACCACCGGCGGAGAGAATACCAATTGTCAGATTCAGCTAAATAGTAAGTATGGTAATCTTTGCAAACTTCACTTTGGCTTTTTAAAAAATATTTTTAAAAAATTATGGCTTCTTATCACTTTGTTGTATGGAATGTTAATGAACAGATTTTACTAAGTGTGCATGTTCAGTTTTTATGATCTTGAACAGTTAATAAAACATAGTTGAAATAAATGCATGATGTGCATGAAATGAACATAGTGTTTCTCTGGTTGGAACTGGAAATTCCTCCTCCCCCTCTCTTCTTTCTTTTTTTGGGGACTCCTTGGAGGACTGCAGTGGGCTTGTTGACCCAGTGGCATCATTGGAGGCTCAAAGCTGAAGATTTTAAGTCTCTTTTCAGAGTTTGGGGGGCATTGAGTTTATCCCCAATTTTGATAAGTCTTCCAGAAGCTTGATTTTTTTTTCTTTATTAGAGAAGAAATATTGCTATCGAAAAATATAATTGTAATGCCAAATTTTGATCACATTGTTTTAGGAGACTCTGTCATCAATATAATGCATGCTTTTCTGTATGAGGCATATGCATATAAAATGTTTCCAGTAGATTGTCCTTCTCTGTTAAATGGACATTACAAATACTTCCTGTACATTATCTAGCTATCTGTAGAATAATTGGATATTTGATCTTTGAGGCCATCATCATCTTTATCTTCATTTTACACACTTATTTAGCTCACCAAAGCAACTCTGAATGAGTACAAGGAATTGAATTTAAAAACAGAAATAAAGTAATATCAAGATGTACATATGTCAGTTCACATCAGGGAACAACATTAATGGGAAAACAGTAATCAAGAATTGGATTTATATATCACTTTATCTCAGATCCTGCTGGAGAAGTCAAATCTTTAGGGCTCTTCTGAAATTCAGCAGGTTCAGAACATATAGGCTTCAGAGGGAGGATATAGGGCAGCGGCAGATATAAAGAAGCATTACAACTCTCTGCAATCTTCAAATAGAAGTAAGATTTCCACAACAGCATCCTAATTCGGAATACATTTTCAAACATACATTTTGATACATTTGTTGTTGTTGTTGGTATATTAGCTTTCATGTGAAATACCACTTTCAGTCTTTGTTGAATCATGTGAAATGCTTTCTGATGGCATGAACTAAAAAGATGTGTGACTTTGATTTTGAAGTTTCCTTTCAGATTTAGAACGTATTGCTGTGCCATCATTTGTGCCAAATGAGCAAGATGTCCTCAGAGTAAGAATACCAACCACTGGAATAATTGAATACCATTTTGTGCTACAAAAAGTTCCTTTTCGGTAAGTCTATCCTGAAGGCCTTCTTTTAGCCATCATGATTATCATATGCCCAAAATTGCACCAATTGTTTTCAATAAATGGATAAGTAAAGAAAATACATAAGACTAGATCAATCCTCTCCAGTCTTGTTTCACCTTTGCTATTATGCTACATCCATTTCTGTACAGTCTTTACAAGATTTCAGAATCATAGAATCAAGTCTTAAAAAATATCATTTAGGCACTCAAGACTAAATTAAAATATCCATGGTGGAAGGCTAACCTGTCTTTGCTTGATCATATTCAGTGAAAAGAAGCATACCCTCTGTAATTGGTTCCATTGTTCAACTGTGCTTACTGTAATTTATAAGTCTATTTCCTAATATAAAGGAAAAGGTTTCCCTGTCAGTTGTGTCTGACTCTAGAGAATGGTACTTATCTTGGTTTCTTGGCCGAGGGAGCCAGCATTGTCCAAAGACAATTTCCATGGTCATGTGGCCAGCATGGCTATATGCCAAAGGTGCACAGAGAGCTGCTACCTTCCCACCAAAGTGGTATCTATTAATCTACTTGCATTTGCATGCTTTCAAACTGCTAGGTGGGCAGGAGCTGGAGCAAGGAACGGGAGCTCACCCCATTGCGCAGAGCTTGGGTTTCGAACCCAGGCTGTCAGTTCTCCAACTGACAAGCTCAGTGTCTTTAATTGCTGAGCCATCATGCATCATATTTCCTAATCTATAAACTACTAAAATTGTAATTGTCTTGACCTTTAACTGAGTGAAACCGTGCATCATAGGACAACAATTTTTGAATAAGGTACCTCAGCTGTACTCACAGAATGTGTCCAAGATCCAGGACCCATGACTGTTGAGGAATGAAATTTAGGGAAGTTATGGCTGATTTAGTGCTATTGGCTGCTGCTGCACTTCTGGTCTGCTGCAATCACACAAACTTTCTTTTCAACAGTCCATAGTAGTTTCTCAGCCAGCCTTGTAATCCCTTGCTCTTTCCCCCACCCAGCATGGGGAACAGTAGGAACTGTTTTCCTGAGTTTTCCTGAGAGATCCACATTTGGACTCACTTTATTCAGTGCATTAGAAGTTAGGGAAGAAAAAAACAACTCTTGAAGCACTATGCATCTTCACTGCTACTCTTTCAGTGCAGTAGGCACTCAGAATGTGCGTTGTGGAAGAGTTGTGGAGATGGATGAAGTTACACACTATTTGATCCAACCATAGAATTGGTACCCATGAAGCTCAGATAACTTGAAATAACTTTTCCACCATCATTTTAGTGGAAAGCAATTTGCCTGTTAATTTTTCCAAACATAAAATGTACAAATCAATTGTATAAAAATCAGTATATCTTTCTAGCAAAGTGCAGCCTCGAAGTTGGTGCTTGATGAAGTGCTTTACAGGATGATTAGTGATTTATGCTCCTTTTTACAGAATGGTAGATGTTGGTGGACAAAGATCAGAAAGAAGGAAATGGATCCACTGCTTTGAAAATGTGACCTCAATTATATTTTTAGTTGCACTGAGTGAATATGACCAAGTCCTGGCAGAATCCCATAATGAGGTAGGAAAAAGAAAAGTAATTGCTGTCATTAATAGTTATTCAATACTCATGTGTGCATCTTAACAGAAGTTACTATAGAAGGCTGACATTTGTGCCAGTTATCTAGGGGGGGGAAAGGAACTTGAGAGATAACTGCCCAACTATGCCCTTAACACAAAAATTATACCAATGTAATTGGCTTGGACTTCTGACAGAGGTATATTCATGTTCAACAAAAGTAATAAAACATTGATGCTTGAAAATAAACTAATATATGATTAATAATAAATAAATGACAATAAATAGATTCACTTAACGCTCACAATTGAGCGTGGAATTTTGGTTGAAAGCCACTGTGATTGTTAGGTGGGTCACCACATGACCTGATTTGATTTTACGACTGTTTTTACAATGGTTTGTAAAATAACTCACCACAGTTCTTAAGCAAATGACATGGTTGTTAAGTAAATCCATTTTTGAGAATGGGCATATTTTTTGCCAGAAACTGCCTAGAAATTATCAAAAAACATTGCAAATTATGATCACATGACTATGAGGTGCTGCAACTGGTCGTAAATGCAAACTAGTTGCTAAGCAACCAAAATGCAATCATGTGACCTTGGGGTGTGTGTGCACATGTGGCAATCATAACTCGTATGTAATCCCATCCTTCGAGCAGTGGGGGGGAGTCTCAGAACTTTGAATAATCTTTAAGTGACAGGTCATTAAACAAGGACTACCTCTAATCGCCACAAAATCAAACCTAGTGGCATCAAGAGATGTCCTCTGGAAGAGCATAATTTTTAGCATCTTCAAAGAACGATCAAGGGGACATATCTCAGCTCTGTAGGGAGGCTGTTCCAAAGAAGGACCAGTTGCTCAAGAGCAATGCCTCTGAGCCGAGTCAGATGGGTCAAGTCTGATTGGAGGATACGGTCCTGAACGTATCTTAAGTGTCAAAAGCATAGATAGGTCAAAACCAGAATTTTGAATTATACCTAAAAGTTGTTTGGAAACCGATCAGGTATAATGTTATTCTGGCCACTTGTGCTGGCTAACATATAGAACACACCATCTACACTATCTGAGGCTCCTAAGTGATCTTCAGAGACAATCACATGTACAAAGTGATAAAGGCCCGAGTTACTGCAACACAGCCTGCTCCAGGTATGGCCGCAATTGGTGCACCAGCATGAGCTGGTCAAAGGTCCTCTGCCTACACATTCCATTTGCCAACTGACATTAGCTTTGAGCATCTCCTAATTCCTCCTTCAGTCTCTCTATTCCTCCCTACTAATGAGTTTTCTGATCTCACAATCTACATCATCCAAAGCATTCCACTATGAGCCAGCCTCCAGGAACTTTGTACAGGTAGACTTTGAGTTATAAGGGCAATTGGGTTCAGAATTTCTATCATTAAGCACTGGAATCATAAAGCACAATGTTATGTGATTGCATTGCTTAATGATAGCAATCCCTGTAGTGCCCATGGCCATTATTAAGAGAAGATTGTGGGTTGTTAAGTGAGCACCGCCTCACAGCTTCTAACAACCAAAGTCAGCAGGGAAGTCAGCAGAAATTTGCAAATCCCTGGTAGATTGCAAACAAGCCAGCAGACAGATCAATGACTGTTACTGGGTGGGAGAGAGTGCATAAGGGTGTGCAAATGCCCTGGAAGGCACATGGGTGGCTTGGGAGGTGAATACAACAAAACTTGGGGTGGCTGCTGCTGGGTGGGAGAGTCAGAGTGAGCTGCTGGGGAGGTATGGCACAAATGCAGCAAGGCTTGGGAAGAACTGGTACAGACTTGGGATGGCTGCTGACAGGTAGGGGAAAGTGCACAAGTAGCTAGAGAGGCACGGGGTGAGCTCAGTGAGGCTCAGAGATGGTGTCTAAGGGGTTGGGAGGGTGTGTGAGCATAGCAAGGCTCAGGGAGGATGCGTAAGGGCCAGAGATGGTTTACGGGTGGCAAGCAAGGCATGTCATGAGTACAGAGGGTGGGACATGTTGTGGAGTGGGGCATGTTGCATGGGTGGAGGGAGGCTAATCTGAGCAATTTACAATCTTCCCTGCCAGCTGCCCGGTTGGCTTTTCTTGTGGGAAACTGGCAGGGAAGGTTGCAAATCAGGATCATGTGACCTTGGGATGCTGCAACCATCATAAGTGTGAGCTGATTGCCAAGTGTCTAGGTCGCAGCTACGTAACTATGGTGGTCCTGGGATGACAGGAACATTGAGAAAGGTTATGACCACCATCTTCAGCATTATGGTGACTTTGAACAGATGCTTATTGAATGGTCGTTAACTGAGGACTACCTGTATCACAATCCTACAGTCCATTGCAATCCTTCAGCACAGATAACTAACAATAACTATAAAGCACTCATAATAGACATTTATAAGGAAGTGGTCTGCTATCAGGAGCACTTAGATCTTGTAGTAGGGCTCATTTTAGTAATTCTTGTATAGTTCTAGTCTTACATATAGACTCCATGTTATTAGTCATACACAAACATCACCATTCCTGGGACAGAATACTTGTTTTCTTGCCAACTGTGCCATCTGGAGGTGGTCCAATAGTTTTCTGGAAATGTGCCAGCATCAAGCATTTCCTCTTCTGGGAGATATTGCACTATTCCCAAAAAGAAATAGATCATTGTGTTCCTGAGGTGGTGGGGAGGAAGTTCCAGTGTTCCCAGGAACATTCTGTCCACAGGCCAGTGAGGTTTTCCCATCTCCATATGTCTATTTTAAGAGGTGTAATAGAGTTTATGGCATTGTCTGGATAGCTAATACAGTTGCCCAAATTAATTACATTTTGTGTACATGTCATGATGCAAAAAATGGTAGAGTGTGTTTTGTTTTGAATATTAAATAAAGGTACTTTAATTTTTGAAGATAACCTATTTAAAAATGCTTCTTTGTTCTTTTATGCTTTTCTTGTAGAATCGTTTGGAAGAAAGCAAGGCCTTATTTAAAACAGTAATTACCTACCCTTGGTTTCAGAAGTCTTCAATCATCTTGTTCTTAAACAAAAAAGATATTTTAGAAGAGAAAATTATGCATTCTCATTTAATTAACTATTTTCCCCAGTTCCGAGGTAAATAATTATTCTAAATAGGGCTTATCTCTGTTATGCAGGGATACAATTTCTTCTGTTCGCTTACACAATTGGCACTCTCTTGGTAAAACCTGTCAGCTATCAGGGTTCTTTCCTATACTATCAAAATTCGTTATTTTATTACAATTTATATTATAGAGCCGTGGTGGCACAGTGGTTAGAATACAATAATGCAGGCTACTTCTGCTGACTGCTGGCAGCCTGCAATTTGGCATTTCAGATCCCACCAGGCTCAAGGTTGACTCAGCCTCCCATCCTTCCGAGGTCGGTAAAATGAGGACCCAGATTGTTGGGGGCAATATGCTGACTCTGTAAACCGCTTAGAGGGCTGTAAAGCACTGTGAAGCAGTATATAAGTCTAAATGCTATTGCTATGCTATTACTTGGAATACTTAGTTTGTATTATTATAATTGAAGTTACACATAATCAGATTCTAATCCTAACAGATGGATACTGATGCTAGAATAAAAAATTATCATCTGTTCAGTCTAGCATGTTTGAAAACAATGGACTGGATTGCACCAATAAATATTGAAGGCAAAAGGAAAAGGGAATGGCAAGAGTTAATTAGATTAGGGATACCCAATCCCCAGGCCATGGTCCACTACTGTGCCGTGAGCCATTCAGAACCGGGCCATGAAAGCGGCAGGAGAGTATGCGCATACCTCCTCCCTTGCATGAGTAGTGGGCAAGCGTGCACGTGTTTGCTGGCCTTTCGCAAGAAACCATCCCCTCTCTCCTGCAAAGAGTCAGACAGATTTAGGTACTGAACAGCGAATACATATAAAAACATATTTGGAGATCTCAATCTGGGTTTCTTAAATTATCAATTTTGATTTTGAACAGGACCAAAACAAGATGTCAAAGCTGCTGGAGACTTCATTCTGCAGTTATATAAGGATCAGAATTCAGACAAAGACATCTATGCTCATTTTACGTGTGCCACTGACACCGAGAACATTCGATTTGTGTTTGCAGCTGTTAAAGACACCATCCTTACTCGGAATCTAAAGGAATTCAACCTGGCATAAATAAAAGGGAATCAGCTACATACGTTTGATTATACTGCAATTTTATTTATTACTTATAAAATATATTCTGTGCAATAGATTTTTTAACAATTGTTTGTGTCCTTGCTGAACATGGAAGGGAACTTCGAATAAATTTAGAACTTTTTAAGGAATAGATTTTGAATATTCTGCTTTTAATTTTTTGGAGGGGATTTGTGAGCATTTTGGTCATAATCAGAAATCCTTTTGCCTTTCGTAATTTATAATAGATGTGCATTTAAACCTAGTGAGGGCCACGAGAATGAGTTTGAGACTAATTGTATTCTTATTATTCAACAGAAAGAGGGGTGCTTAGTTTTGAGTAATTATTTATTAAATGTTTTTAATGGTGCCTTTCTTCTTGTAGTGAACAAGCGGCCTTAACAGGTGGCAGCAATTGATTGCTCTTTTTTTAGACTCAGGAAAACAAAAACAAAGTAGCCTCAAGCCTAATTATTACTTAGGTGTGAATTATCTAATCCTCTCAGGCTAGATTAAAAAAAAATGGAACTGGTCTGATGAAGGGACTAATTAATAAAGTCTTCACATGCTGTTCCTGTGAAATTTGCGTGAAGTTACCATGAACTGAGCTTCATCAGAGTATGTATTTTACTTGGAATCAAATGATGGATACTAAAGAGGCTGTTTTCATATCTTCTCACTTAATGACAGGCAACTACAACATACAGGTGCTTTTATCCTTGATGATTTAATATTATTTGAATTAATATTAATATGTTAGCAAACCAAAAGCAGTTGTTTGAGGGACCCTCTCTTCCCAATTATATCTATCTGTCAGAAGGGATGTATTATGGGTCCAATCTGCTAAGAAGTTCCACCTGAAGGGAACCCAAATATCAGCCTTTTCTGCTGTGGTTCCTGCCCTCTGGAGCCCAAGTGAGGTTGGCCCTTTCCTATTCCAGCTTTCTGGAAATCCTGTAATAAAACATGGTTTTCCCAACAACCTTGAGGTACCCATAGGGCAGTGATGGTGAGCGTGTGCGCATGCGGATGCACTGGAACCCAGAAGATAGCAGCTGGCTGGTGCGCATGCACACGACGGAACATGGAAGAGCAGCTGGCGATGGCACGCATGCACAGAGAGGGCTCTGCGTGCCACCTCTGGCACATGTGCCATAGGGAGTCTGCAAGATGGCTCCACTGTACTTAGAATACTGATATTCTCCCACAATCTTTGTTTCTATTTGTGTTTAATTTTTTAAATGATTGTTGTTTTTAATCATTGGTTGACTGTATGCTGCTCAGTGACATGAGTAGCTATATCAATTTGCAAAATAAACAGTGGCTTTCTATGATCAACTAATCCTTGTTTATAACTTAAATAATGCTTTGATTCTCCATTCGATCCCTTTTAAGAAAAATGTTTACCTATTCAAAATCTTTTATAGCTCACTTACTCTATAGCAGCCTACAACTGGATCAATAAAAGCAATCTTCATTTTCAAGCTTTACAATCTCAGTCACTCAATACAAGGGGAATGAGGCAGGGAAGGGAGATAAAATATTTGGGAAGCAATCAGAGCCGGTTCAAGGGAAGGCAGGCTGAGCTGCTTCTACTGGCATGGCCTCTAAAGTGCTGCCCGAGCATGGCTGTAGCTAGATGACAATTGTGGACGGGAGACCATTTAATGTTGCAAGTTTGGCATTATTTTAAAGCAAACTCTGGCCTCAAATTGTTGTTTATTTGGTGAAGGTAAAGTGTAAATCAGAAAATAAGCTATGCCCAGATCTGTGTGGATCCATGGTCCTTCTCAATGCACAAATACGTTATTGTGCTAATTGAGGAAGAGAATGGTTGAAATTAAGAGACGTTTGCTTATGAGATGGTGGTAGTAAGGTAGAGGTTTATTGTGAAATGCTATTATACAAGTAGACGTTATTTGTATAATACAGGCGTTCGATAAAAACCCTCTGAAATAATTGCTTGCATCTCCCTGTTAATTTAAAAAACAAAAAATGATTGAGCGGTGTATTAAAATGATTGACCCATCAACTATATTATGTAATTTGGTTTCCACAATCACATTTTTCCCGAGAATTTTTGTTTAATCTAGAAGAGAAACCTTCCCAATAAATATATCTGTCTACACAAGGCCATGAAAGTTGCTCCATGGTGATGATTATAAGAGCTGACTGATCATACTTTTCTTAAAAATTATCCACCTTACTAGCTTTTTTTCTGATTGGGAGTTAATGTGCATCTAAAATGTGCCTTTCTAAGAAGGCAATTTCTTCCTTCTTGTACAGCCTATCACTTTTCTTTTTTTGAATGACCACTTTACAAACCAAAACCAAAACACCCAAAAACAAAAAACCAAAGCAAAGTAAAGCAATAAAAAGCGTTGTATTCAGATAGCCCTCAACTTAGGTCCGGTTGCTTAGCAACCATCTGAAGTTACAACAGACTCCACAAAAGCTACTTACAACTAGGGTGTTTAGGGTGACCCGCTCCCTACTTCAGGTGGGGGTATGGGAAGATCCCTTACAGGGTCGAGCTGAGGATTTTGTACAATTCCTGCATGATAAAGTCGCTCAGATTCGGGAAGGCCTGGACTCCGATTGGGTAGATCCAGGGGAGGAGGCGGGGGCAGGTCTTGAGAGCGTTATCTGGGAAGAGTTTGACTCTGTGGCTCCTGAGGACGTGGACAGGATTCTGGGCAAGCTTAACGCTGCCACATGTTTATTGGACCCGTGTCCCTCCTGGTTGGTACTGGCCTCCCGGGAGGTTACACGAGGCTGGCTCCAGGGGATTATAAATGCTTCTCTGAGTGAGGGTGTCTTTCCCGCCGCCTTGAAAGAGGCGGTTGTAAAGCCCCTCCTCAAGAAGCCTTCCCTGGACCCGGCTATATTATCAAATTATCGTCCAGTCTCCAATCTTCGCTTTGTTGCGAAGGTTGTTGAGAGTGTGGTGGCGCGACAACTACCCCGATACCTGGATGAAGTTGTCTATCTGGATCCGTTCCAATCGGGCTTCAGGTCACGATACAGCACGGAAATGGCATTGGTCGCGTTGGTGGATGATCTCTGGAGGGCTCGGGACAGAGGTTGCTCCTCTATCCTGGTCCTATTAGATCTCAGCGGCTTTTGATAACATCGACCATGATATCTTACTGCACCGGCTGGAAGGGTTAGGAATAGGGGGCACCGGTGGTTCTCCTCCTTCCTCTCTGACCGTTCGCAGTTTGTGTTGGCAGAGGGGCAGAGGTCGACCTCGAGGCACCTTATTTGTGGGGTGCCGCAAGGGTCAGTCCTCTCACCCCTTCTATTCAACATTTATGTAAAACCGCTAGGCGAGATCATAAGTGGTTTCCGGGTAAGTGTTCATCAGTATGCTGATGACGCACAGCTATATATCTCCACCCCAGACCACCCCAATGATGCCCTTGCTGTGATGTCCCGTTGCCTGGAGGCCGTGCGGATCTGGATGGGGAGAAACAAGCTCAGACTCAACCCCTCCAAGACCTAGTGGCTCTGGCTTCCGGCGTCCCGGTATAGTCAGCTGGTACCATCACTTGGGTGACAATTGGGGATGAGATCTTGCTCCCCACAGAGAGGGCCCGCAACTTGGGTGTCCTCCTGGATTCACGGCTATCTTTAGAAGATCATTTGACAGCCGTGGCCAGGGGTGCCTTTTATCAGGTTCGCCTGATCCACCAGTTGCGTCCCTTTCTGGATCGGGGCACCTTGCACACGGTCACTCATGCCGTATGGACTACTGTAATGCTTTCTACATGGGGCTCCCCTTGAAAAGCACCCGGAGGCTCCAACTGGTCCAGAATGTAGCCGTGCAGGTGATTATGGGCTCAGCTCGTTGCGCCCATGTAACACCTCTCCTACACGAGCTGCACTGGCTCCCGGTGGTCTTCCGGGTGCGATTCAAGGTGTTAGTTATCACCTTTAAAGTGCTCCATGGCTTATGACCTGGGTACCTACGAGACCGTCTTTTGCCACCAATAACCTCCCACCAACCAGTTCGTTCTCACAGGGAGGGACTACTCAGGGTACCGTCAGTCAAATTATGCCGACTGGCGACTCCCAGGGGGAGGGCCTTCTCTGTGATGGCTCCAACCCTTTGGAATGAACTGCCTCCTGAAATACAAAATATCCCTGATCTACGTGCTTTCCGCCGTGCCCTCAAAACCCTGATGATCGTCCAAGTGGGGCTAAACATATGAACATGTGAATGTTTTTAAAATGTTATCTAATTTTAGGTTCTATTTAATTGGGCCAAACTATGTTATAATAATAATTTTAATTAGCAATTTTATGATGTTTCTGTATCTATATTTTTCTTGACTGTACACCGCCTTGAGTCCTACGGGAGAAGGGCGGTATAGAAATATAATAAATAAATAAATAATAAACTAGATTTCAAAGTTTAAATGTTGCCGCAGTCATAGACTGCATGTTTGGCGCTTAGCCACTGGCCACACTTATGGCAGTTTGCAGCATCCTGCAATATGTGACCATGATTCATGACTGTTTGCTGGAAAATGGCATTTACTTCTAATTTCCAGCAAAAAAATAATCCACAGCAAACAATGGATCTGCTTAATTAATGACTGTGGTGTTTGCTTAAGAACCCTGGTGTTTGCTTAATGACTGTCATGAAAAAGATTTTTAAAAATGGGTCTGGTTACCTGCTTTACAACTCTCACAATTTACAAGTATAATTGCCAGGCTTAATTATGGTCATAATTCAATAATTACGTGTAAATGAATTTTTCTACCTAAATATAGATTTGGTCTTGAAATAAGTATTCTTGGTTCTTTTCTCCTCTCAATCTAAGCCAATTTCTTCTCCTCCTTACATGGTCCTTCAGCAACATCCTTGAGTTACTGAATAAAATGCAGCCTAAATATCTAACAAAACATTTTACATATGTGCCTATTTGATAACTTTTAAAATAAATAGAGCAGATACGATGAAAAAATAAAAACTACATCTGAATAAGGTCAATTGAAACAGTGTAAAAGCTATATATGTATTTATTGTATATCTTTAAAGATGCTATGTAGTTGGCGTTTCTGTACAATTAATGCAGAGATTGAAAATGCTTAAGTGTGTGATGTGAAGTCAGAGACCCTGGATAGGTATCACAAACTTGAATCACACAATATAAATTATACTTTGGCATTTCTGATAATTTAATTTATAGGAGTTATATAAAGAAATAAAAGCTTGGAACAATGCAATGGGGGACAGTACTTTCCTCAAACAGTTACATAAAGCATATCAGAATATATTATAAATACATAACACATATTGTCACATTGGGCATGCCATTTACTTTATTCAGCTTTTACAACAAAGCTACAGTTTGATTAGTTTAAGCACCACTAGCAAAGACTAGTTTTCTTCCACCACAATCCTTCAAACAATCTGAAAAGAATATTCTGGCAGCAGACATTTACTGCATGCATCAAACTACTCAAATCTGTATTAGGCAATATATTTTATGTACATTTGCATTCCATTTCTCTTTCATGAAGTAGCCTCTGTCATAAAGGTGGGATAGGCAGTATTTATTTGCATAGTCTTAAAATAAACATTGTGCAATATTTTCCCCATCCTGATATTTGTGTGTGTGTGTGTGTGTGTGTATTTTGATATATGTTTTAACATTATTTTATTCAATATTCTGTAATGAGCCATGGTTTCCCGGTACACACACATCCCAAAATAGGGACATTCTTAGATAAAATCAGGCATGTATTACCACTTTGGATCCAAAGCTGAAACAGTACTTCAGAGTGGGAACAAAAACACACGGGTGCATTTTCCTGGAGTTCTCAGCAAGTCTAAAAGAAGACACAGCTTCTTTAAGGAGATGCCAACAGATGTGATAACAGGACATGTTCACTCTGAAACATGCTTTTGACTTCATATCCAAAATGTAACTCATTCCTAAATGAAAAACTATGATTCAAAGCTAATATAATACTTCAGAGCGGGCACAAAAACACATGCATTTTCCTGGTGGTCTTCAGCAAGCCAGAAAAAGTCAGTTTCTTTAAGGAGATCCTGACCTATGGGATATAAGCCCCATTCACTCTGAAACATGCTTTTGACTTCAAATCTCAAATACAGCTCATGCCTAAATGAACTAGTATTTTAAAACATGATGCTGTGCTGATAGTTTTCTGACTTCATTTTGACCATTCAAAAAATCACTAAAATTTCTTATTTAGTTTGATAGATATTTGCTTAATTGTGTGACAACAGAACATTTTGTTAATTTTTGTATTATATAAAAATGTGATTATTAAAAACGGTGTTACAGTACCATAAACTCCTTATCTGTATCAAAAATTAAATCACCTCATTATATACATATATATCTATATCTATTAGTAAACAAAAAGCTTCTCAAACAAAGCAAGGTCAGCAAGGTAATATCAGAATATCAGAACACTGCTGGTTAAATCAGTCTTCCTGAATTAAACTGAATTTCAGTGAATATTAATGGGATGTGTCAGTACAGCATTACCTTTAAATAAACACTGAACAAAAGGAGTTATGAGCAGGGAAGAACCTGATTACTACATCATAAGACTGCTCAGATGTTTGGTTTTGTTGATTACGTGGCAGATCTAAAAATAAAACCAATTTAGTTTAGATTTAAACCATTATTATTTATAAATACAAAATCAAATAAGCCACATTTCAATAGCAGCTTTCAGCAACAGAGTGCTGGTGCCTATTAATAAAACTGATCTTTTTTGCTCAATAGTATAGAAGGTTCAAAAACAATTGATTTAAATACACAAAATTATGGTGTCAATCTCTTTGTATTTAAATAATGTCACATGCATTGAAGTATAAAAACAACTACAATGTTCTGATTTTCTTCAACTTGTCATAGTTTTGGTTGACTCTCCTTTACTTTTTCTTCCAGCTTAGAGAGGATCCACTGTGGAAATTAAAAAGAAATTTGAACAAACGTAAGTTAAAGCAAAAGTGATTTAATTAATACAAATGGGGGCAAATTTACAAATTAATAAAGCATAGAGCTAAACACTGAACAATTCATGTGATGTCATGAATCTCATAGTTAACATCACTGTGAATCACCTCGTTAAGCCACACTTGGATGAAAACAGCTTTTCTGAGAAATGTTACACCCAGCCTTGCTGTTTCTACTATGAAAAATTTGATATCAGGGTTATGCAATCTGGGCACTTCAGATCTATCTACAACTCCCAGCATCACTAAGAAGCACCTTAAAAGAGCAATGGGAATTGCAATTCACCAACATTTGAAGTACTTATTCACTATCCACATATTGTACATTACATTCAGTTGATTCCTTCAAACCAGGATATTAATATATTATGTAGTAATAGCATTTCATATTCACCTTTGCATCTTCTGGTGTTCTAAAATTAATTATTTTTCCAAATTCTTTGGCATGAAATACAGACTTCACTCGTTCCTGAAATAAACAAGCAAACAAATACAGTTGTGCATTAAAAGCAAATTGCCAAATACCTGACAGCACTATTTTTTTCCATTCCAGGAAAGGATTCACAAGTTATATAATGAAATTAGTATTAATTTAAAATGTCTTTTAGGTTTTGCAGATCTCCACCCCCATCCCAAAAACAACCTGTGACTGGCTCTCAAATGTAAACTTTTTTCCTGACCATTTAGTGTTCAGTGGGGGGATGAGCAGCATCTACTGTAACTGCTGCAGTTAGAGCCAAAGATGCCTCATCAGAAACCTTCTTAACCCGATACCCTCAAATGTGTTGGATTTCAGCTGGTTTTGCACAGCTGGAGACCACTAGTTTGGAAAGAGTTGCTATGTGGAAGACAAAATCTCTTTAAGACAGCAGACTACAGAAGACTGTTCTGCAACAGGGTGTGACCCTTGTATGTAGACATTTTGCCAGTCATTATATTTTAAATAAATAAGCTAAAGGTTTCATATAAAGTTTAGTAAAACAATAAATTAAATATTTAATATTGTACAAGATGAATTTTAAGTACAGCTATTTAAATCTTTTTTGAGAGTACTGATTGAGAAAGGTTCCCAAATGCAGTTGCAAAAGTACTCTGTTAATAGGACAACGGGGGGAGGGAGTACTAAATATGTGAAGGAGAATCCTATCATTTTATTCATTGTTCTGGCATGTTAAACGCTTGCGTTTATCTCAAGAAGTCCTGTTTGGCATGGGAAAGTTTCTGCATTGTGATTTATGCAATGACCTAAATGCTCTTAAATGAAAAAAGGTTAATTACTAAAGCATCTTTTTTGTATGTAACATACAGATAATGTTTGACAGTCTCTGTCTCTGAAAGGAGCCTCATTTCGGAGTGGCAACCGTTCATAGGATAGCACCATATTGCCTAGTTGAGAGACAGAGCTTTCCTTCTCCAATGCGGCTCCAGAGCTCTACAAAAGATAAGGGAGTGACTCAGTAGTGGGTTGCAAAAGCCGTTGCTACCGGTGTGCTAGTGCGCGCGGGCGGACCCTCCCACCGTAGCTACCGGTTCACCGATCCGGGTAGAACTGGTAGCAACCCACCACTGGAGTGACTGGGTGTAGAACCCTCTGGAGTGAGAAACTTGCCCAAGTCCTACAGGGATGGGGGGGATATAGGGGGGGGGGGGGAGCGTTGCAGTTTCCTGTGGTCAGTTGTAAGGGAGATTCCACCCAAATTTTGTGCACATGACCATGAGGGTGCAATGGCCTTAACTTTGAAACTGGGTTGTAAGTAGCTTTTGGGGGGAATCCACTGTATCTTCCAGTCATAAGCTAAGGACAATCTATATGCATGGAAATAAGAGTAACAGAAAATGGATAATTCCAGGGTAATGGAATGATGTTTGCTTCTTGGCCAGACCAGAACTACAAGGTACACATCCAGAGGAAAGAAATGGTGAAAAAGACTGTCTTCCAGCAAGCAACTTTTCTATGGTACTGAGCAAGGACAGAAGGCAACAATAGTAATAGTGAATTGTAATCAATAGAACAAACAAATGAAACTCAAGCTCCATGAAAAAATATATACATTTAAAATAACATGTCCTTTATTGGCTAATAATAGCTAAGTATTATTCATAGAAAAATTGCTTACTATTATACTAATATAATATTTATATTATAAATATAATTATTTGAATGTTAATCAAGTATCATATGTTTTGCTCCATAAGATGCGCTCCCTCCCCCCAAAGTGGGTGGAAATGTCTGCGTCTTATGGAGTGAATATGGACGGCAGGCAGCAGTGGTGAACGGTGGCTTAGATCCCTGCTGCCTGGAACAGCTGATTGGCGGTATTCTGGGAGGCCAATCAGCTGCTTGGTGGCGAAGGCTCAGCGTTCCTCGGCAGAGGCAGCGGACACAGAGGAGGCAGCAATAGTAGCGTTTCCAGTCAGGCCAGCCCGCTGATTGACGGGGTTACGGGAGGCCGGGATCCAACCATTGCTCTGCTGACCGGTGGTGGTGGGCGCAATGGAGCAGAGCCCTGATGAGCCACATGCTGGGGCTGCAATAATGTGCTTAAGCTGACCAGACTGTTTGCTGTTAGGACGCTAGCCAGATGAATACTGGATGGTGGTTGAACTGCTGGAGGCGTGGCCAGGCGGAGGGGCATGGACCCCTCCTACAAAAGACACTGGGAGGCAAAGGCAGATGGGTTTTTTTTTTTGTTTTCCTCCTCTAAGCCTAGATACGGTAGTTGTTTTGTTCCATCTCTACCATCCATAACTTTACCTTTGCTTCAATGCGCAATCTTCGTCCATCAACAATGAATGGTTTCTTGGTAAATTCATCGTACGTGTACTGCCATTCACATGTTAACTGTCCAAACGTACCTCTTGTCACAAACAATATGCCACTGTATACAAATATAGGACAAATAATTAAAACAAATATAATTATATAACTTTTTTTTTTGAGAAAAATGTTTAAGTAGCCTTCAATATCATATAACATCCAGTTTAAAATTCTGTCAATTTCAGTCTTTTACTTTTTCATCTTAGCATTTTCCCACAAGTATAGGGTCCACTTTTATTTGGCTCAACCAAAAAATTATAAAAAATGAAGCCTGATGGCAATCAAAATTGCTGCACACACTTCATCTTTAAGTCCTATCTACTGTATTTAATTCCAAATTCACTTTCATGCTTAAAAGAAATCAATTTTGTCCATCACAAAATTATTTTTACTCTAATTTAAAGTAAATTGAGGGCTAATTACAATCCAGATGTTCATAATAACTGTAATTTTAATAGCTGGAAATCTGTTATTCCTTTCATCACTTCCCTGCCTCACCCTTCCCCGTTTTTGGCATAGAAAACCCGAAGACAAGAACTATCTTTCTACTCACATTTCTAAGTTGTTTTGGGAACCATTTTGATTACAGAGTGCACATAAATGCTTTGTTTAAAATAAGAAAGTAATACTGGAGGAATCTTACCTTTTTGTAACCATTAATAAATCTGTATTATTAACCATTGCATGTGTAAAGTATCGCAGTTTTGCAAATCTTCCATTTTCAATATTCTAAAAGAAAAAAAAGTTGTAGAGTTCCCTAAAATATAGCATCTTAATTTTGAGAAAAAGATTTACACTGTATCAGATATTAAAACCTTATACAAATATGTATGAACTTCATACTTTTAGTACTCTGAGTATCTATTATGAGCAAATAGCTCTCTCTTCACTATCTTTATCTTGCCTCTCCCTATCTGCTGGCCATTAAATCACATGCCACATAATTATTAGTTGTTCTGAAATATCATATGCAAAATGGCATTATTTCAAAAATAATTAATGGACTATCCTGAGACAATTGACACACTTAAAATCTCTATTTTTCAGGTTATATGAATTTTAAACCAGTAAAGGTATCTTGAATTAACACAGCATTATTCAAAATAAAGAATAGATTCCATTCTTCTTGAGGAAGCTCTCATACCAAATGAAACAAAAGCAAAATAAGTGTGAGGATCCTGTGCTTTCATACCTTTGTTTCCAAAATTATATGTTTAAAAGTCTAAACAGTGATTTGTATGTAGGCTGAATAACTTAAGATATTAAGATAGTTTGCTCATTATATTCAAGAATAATAATAAAAAAACAAACACCCTCTGTGTTGAGTATAATGCTGTCTCCCATTAAAGGGGATTTTTTTTCTTATTAATGAATCATTATCCATCCCTCAAGTCACATAGTATCCTGAGCTTAAAGACGTATACACTGTATAAAAATTTAATGATAGTGATGTATTCATATCTAGCATATTTACATTTTTGAAATGGTTTAATAATTTTGATGTTTCTTTGAATGAATATAAACATTCAATTTTAGTATTTGTTTTGGTATTTATAAATTTCTTTCTCAACTAATCCATCAAAGGAATTCTTCTATTAAAATAAAATTCTACTTTTATAACCATAGCAGTTGAATCAGAAAAAAAAATGGTTATGAATAGTGAAAGGCATATGGCATGGTGAAAGCATCAACACAAGGGCTGCATGCACACGCCTAGCAAAAGAATTCAGGAAACAGCAATGAAAAGAGCTGATTTAATATTCTTGCTAGTGAGCTTCCAAACAGGTCTTGTAGGTTTATCTTGATATCTGGATAGATTCATAGTATAGTAAGAACGCCTGGCCCCAAACCATTTAGGAATTTAAAGCACTAAGACATAGTTCTGAAAAGTCCCTGGCAATAGTAAACCTAATACAAAGTAGGTCATATCCTCAGATAAAACAAGGAGCTGTATTCTTCATAAGTCAGAGCTTCTGAATCATCAAAAGACCTGTATGTATGAATACAATAATTTAATTTAAACATAGCCAGATCATGTGTGACTTTAGGAAACATGCCTTCTCTGGATAAGGTTAAAGCTGTGTCATCAATCTGATCAGATCAAAGTGCTTGCTATCTACACAATCTGATTCATTAAAGTAATAAATATAAAAATACCCTCAAATATGAATATTTAGAGAGGGGAAGGGAGATATATATCTGGAACCAGTGATACATCTATATCTAGATCTGATTTTCTCCAGCCTTTACCAGAACTAGAACTATTATACACTACCCTTTTACCAGAACTATTTCAATGTTTCATGTATTGCATTTATGTAATACACTTAATGATCACATTGCTTCAAATCCTAACGTATCTTCTTAAAGATATTTCTCCTATATTTTTGCACATGGACTAAACAACAGTGGATGACTATAATGACCATCTACCATCTCATATCCAATTTTTTAAAAGTGCAATTATCTCCAATTACATATTATTTTTTTAAAAATGTACTTCTAAAATGTACACATAGGATAATAGGAAACTGATTTTAATATATTAAGAAAAATGTTCAAATAAACAAAATGGATGTATCAATATTACAAGTTGAATTCAACTCAAGGAGATTTTCCCTCAAAATTCACATTACAAATCTTTTGGAAATGTATATGCTGCTTTCTTCAAAGACGTGTCTTTTTACTGCCAGAGAAATGGAGAGACAGACCCTTGTAAGATTTTCTGCTTGAGGGACTAAAATCATTAGAACTGCTTTTGATACTTTTTGACATAGCTTTATCTTTGCCCTGTAGATTTTGCAGCTAACTTTTTTTTAGATATATGCTCTCTTTTATATTTTCAAACTGGGTTGAAAATGAATTGGAATGATATACTTAATGTGGTGAACAGCTGAACAATTGATAGGAGCTCTACAGTAGGTTGTTATTTTCGTAAATAAAGATCTGTTTTAGCAAACCCTCTCACCTTTTCCTGTTTGGCACTGAATGTATTGTAATTTATTGATTTATTTAGAAATACACATATGCATCTAATGTAACACTAATAAATTCAGAAATGATCTACCAATCTGGCATTACATATGTTCAATGTCCCCTTTGAAAATGAAAATCCAACTGAAAAATTCCACTGTAGTGCTGGTTGTCCTGTAAAATAAAAGAAACACTTGCCCTGTAAAAGAAATGTCCTGGTTCACGGGATAACGTATTTTCCCCGAATGAAACTATTTATCAATAAACAGTTATGTTAATTTGTCAGATAGCTGCAAAAGGGACCCTATAAAGTTACCTGCTATGGCAGATCTCCAAATACGGTACACGCAGGCCTCTGAAGTTAGCTGCTAGGACAATCAGATCACCAAAGAGGGTTCGTAACTTTGTTTGCACTTGCCCCTTAATATGCATATAATTATGTATTTTCTTACAATTACAGTATATCCTTAAAGTCAGGAAGTTGTCTTTTTCTTATCATATTTTACAGTTAAATTTCTATCTTGCATTATAGCAGCTTTTTCTAAACACTGAATCTTTTGAAGCTCTTTATGAATAGATAATAACATCAGGCCATAAAGGAAGTATTATTGTCACTGTGGTCCATTTGCTTGTCCTCTCTCTTTGGATTGAATCATTACACCAATTGGAACAACTGAAAAAGCAAGTGGAAATCAATGCTACTTTCTCTTAGTTTTGTCAAAGTTATTGTTAGCATAAGGGTTGTACAAACAGTACAGTAAAAATTTATAATCTGGAGGCTCCCTCAGTTACATTCTGAGACAATATCAGAAAATAGACCACAGCCTGGTCTAAAGCATAACAATAAGGGTAAGGGGAAATGTTATGAATATTATAAATTTCGTGATTTAGAGAATCCGATTCTCTGCCTGGTTCCATCTCTACTGCTTTTAAAAATCTTAAGACCTCAGAGATATATAAACACTTATCCCCTTTGCTTTAAAAGAAAATGAGCAGCCAGTATGCAAAATTGTTATTTTTTTTTTTTTATTTCAAAGACTACAAGCTATATTTCAACTTCAAAGACACCAAACATAGCAGTTCCCTACCTGTGGAGCCTTGGTGTTTTCTGAGCTTTGTATTTTGCTTACAGACATTTCATTATCTGACTAGGTAACATCAGTGCTAGTGAGTGTGGGTTTGCTTCCTGTTTATATACCGTAGCTTGCCCTATCGGTATTGGTGTGTGTGTGTGTGTGTGTGTGTGTGTGTGTGTGTGTGTGTGTGTGTGTGTGTGTGTAGTTTTTTCCTTAGCAGTTCCTTGATTAGAGTATTGTTTTCTTAAGAATTGGTCTTCTTAAGTAAACCAAAAGACCCAATAGTGCAAGAAAAAATAGGGTTCATCTATATCATACAGTATGGACTACAACAGCCACTATATACTGTAGGATAGGCAGGCAGAAGACTACAGAGTGCATCAATGAACACCAACTAATAATCAGAAGACACCATGAAAACTCCTTAAACTCACAACACAGAGATAGACTCAACCATAGTTGCAATTGGAAAACTGAGCATTCAAGAACAATCTAAATATAAACACACTAGGAATTCCTGGAAGCTTGACATTCAGAAAAATCAGCCACCAATAGATACATAGAGATAAACCACATTTACACACCACTCAAAAAAGAATTAAAAACTAAGAAGGGAACAAAAAGACAAAACCACATTCTCTGCAGCAGTGAAAACCACAAAAAGCAGGGACTAATATCAGACAAAGAAGCAAGCAAACAAACAAACAGAAAACAATACTCTAATCAACTAACTGCCAGAAAGAATATTCCCCCCACCCCCCAAATCACTGGCAGGGATGCCACTGACACATCACTTAGCTACCTTAAGGCCTGCATGAGATCCGTGGCAAAAGGCTTTGCAAATGGAGAGGACTTTCCTCCGTTTGTAAAGCCCTTTGCCACAGATCTGGTACAGGATTCAGTTTGCAGAGAACAGAGACCTAAAGTACTGTAGTGCGAGAACAGAGACCTAAAGTACCTGTAGTGTGTGTGAAATCTTGCGTTACTGATCTCGCATGATCTTGAACGCTTTTCGTGATGATCTGGAATGGCGCATTCCATCTGGAATGGAATGTTTGACTAGAGATGGGAACGGCGCAAAAAGCATTTGCAAGTTAATAGGAAGCTTGAAACAATGTTATTTTGCTGCCCCAAAATCTCGTCAGCTTGCAAATGCTTTTCACATTGAGATTGGAAGGAAACCACGGCAGAGAAGATGGAAAGGAACCAGCTTGCTAGATCTTCACAAGGTAAGTGACCCAGCATGGCAGGATGGGGGAGCAATTGTGGGGACCTCAGGGGAGGGAGCACGATTATCTTGGTCAGGGGGGGCCTTGGGTGGTCTAAAGCAGGTGACCTGTTCCATCACTAGGCCCCCATAGCCTTCCCCACCCTAAGATACCTCATGTGCACGTAACAACCCGTGCATTCAATTAGCGAATGCATCGGTGAAAGCAGGGACCGATCCCGTTCCTTTGACGTGAATCACTCCAACGAATCTTCGGATTACTAATGTTATTGCCAGGCTTCATTACATTCGTAACTCAAGGACTACTAGTATATAAACAGAAAAACCAAACCCCGCACACACTAGCAATGATGAGTTGGGGGTGAGAGACACCGTACTATGGTGGTTCTCCTCCTTTTTCTCCGACCGGTCACAGTCTGTGTTGGCAGGGGGGCAGAGGTCGACCCTGAGGCCCCTCATATGGGGGGTGCCACAAGGGTCGGTCCTCTCGCCCCTTTTGTTCACATTTATGTAAAGCCGCTGGGCGAGATCATCCGTGGTTTCGGGGTGAAGTACCACCAGTACGCTGACAACACTCAGTTGTACATCTCCACCCCGGACTACCCCAATGATGCCCTTGAAGTGATGTCCCGGTGCCTGGAGGCCGTGCGGATCTGGATGGGGAGAAACAGGCTCAGGCTCAACCCATCCAAGACCGAGTGGCTGTGGTTTCCGACGTCCCGATATAGTCAGTTGGCACCATTACTGACTATAGGGGGCGAATCGCTGGCCCCCACGGAGAGGGCTCGCAACTTGGGCGTCTTCCTGGATTCACGGCTGCCTTTAGAAGAGCATTTGACGGCCGTGACCGGAAGGATTTTTCATCAGGTCCGCCTGATTCGCCAGTTGCATCCCTTTCTAGATCGGGACTCCTTACACACAGTCACTCATGCCCTCGTCACCTCCCGCCTGGACTATTGCAACGCTCTCTACTTGGGGCTTCCCTTGAGGAGCACCCGGAGGCTCCAGCTGGTGCAGAGTGTGGCCACGCGGATGGTTATGGGAGTGACGTGGCGTTCCCATGTAACACCTCTCCTGCACGAGCTGCACTGGCTCCCGGTGGTCTTCCGGGTGCGCTTCAAGGTTTTGGTTATCACCTTTAGAGTGCTCCATGGTTTAGGACCTGGTTATTTACGGGACCGCCTGCTACCACCAATAGCCTCCCACCAGCCGGTACGCTCTCATAGAGAGGGGCTCCTCTGGGTGCCGTCGGCCAAACAATGTCGACTGGTGGCCCCCAGGGGGAGAGCCTTCTCTGTGGGGGCACCTACTATCTGGAATGAGCTCCCCCCGGAGATACGGAAGATCCCGGATCTGCGCGATGTCAGCGTCTCAGCGTTGACATAGAAAAGGGAGATAAAGCCTGAACTTTTGCCTGCTAAATCCCTTTGAAGCTTCTGTCGCGCTCTCAAGACCTTTTTATTCCATCAAGCCAGCCTGGCCTAAATCTTTCCCCTTTAAAATGTAAATTTTAATTTGTTTTTAAAATTATTGGGTGTTTTAAATTTGTCTCGGCCAAATTGTTTAATTCGGTTTTATTCTGTTTTTAAATTTTGTATTTATGTGTTTTATTCTGTGGCTGTTCACTGCCCTGAGTCCTTCGGGAGTAGGGCGGTATATAAATCCAATAAATGAAATGAAATGAAATGAAATGAATGATGTTACCTAGTCAGGGGATGAAATGTCTACCAGGAAACAATCAAGCTCAGAAAGCACCAAGGACCCTACAGTTCAACCCTGATATATATTATCCATACATTGTTTTTATTGAAGTTTTCTGAGTACAAGTAAAATTCTCCATTATATTGTTATTTTCATCCTGTTCTTGGCAAGAAAGTTTTAAACACTACATTGCACTGTATTAATCCCACAATACTGGAAAATTCCAACCATTAATGGATTTGAATTGTAAGCTGCCCAGAATCATTGATTGATTGAATGAATGAATGATTCAGTTGTAATTTGTGACCCAATCATTTCCGAAGTTACCTAATATGTATAATCAGAAACCAAATCTAATTGACATAAAGGATTTGAGGAATAATAAATATGTTGTGCTCTTATTGGATTTCTACTTTTGTAAGTAGATTCATAGAAAGATGAAGTAAGATTCATAGAAAGAATTAAAAAAAAATGTTTGCTCCTTGAGTAAACAATTTCTACTTATATAAGCTGATCTTAAGAAAATATTTATTTAATTACCTCATTCAGAAGGATAAATGACTCTTGGATAATGAAGCCATAGAATAAGAGAAGGCACCTACCCTACTTTTATTATTTATGGTGCTTATGAATTCATCAAAAAGTTTATTTTATTTGTCCATATATCTAAAGTGAGATAACACTGTTCATTATGCTGTTTACTTAGACTTATGGTTGTTGTCACAATAGAGACAAAGCTCTACTGCATAAAGTTGCCACTTCTTTTCTTAGTGCCAAGTTATATGCACTAACAAAAGGTTCAGGTTAGGTTTGAAGAAAAAAATGCATTTTCTTTTTTAAAAAAAACCTCTATAGTAGTAGGTCCAGAGATCTGTTTTTGTTTATCAATAAACCCAATATTTCAAGCAAAAAATATAGGCCATTTGGCTGGCCAAACTGAAAAATTATTCAGTATCAGTGAGTATATTACAAATACGATTGTTGGAAACATTTTGACTCGAAGACCCTATCCCAGAAATAATCCATTGCAAATCCAAGTTCTTTTCCTGTTTTCTGATAAAAAATAACCTTTGTGGTTAGGTCTTTTAAAGCTATATTTTCCTAAGAAAATTGGATTTTAATAGCATTGTAATGTAAATGAGGACGCAGAGTGCTGGGGGCAATATGCTGAAATTGTAAATTGCCCAGATAGTGCTGTAAAGCACTAAAGGATGGTATACAAGTCTAAGTGCTATGCTATTGTAATTACTAATATATAAAAGTAAAAGAAATTTTATAAAATTTTATAAAATAAACCACTGAATTTAAACCTATTATATACTTCAAAGATGACCCATGGATCATCACTGTCAGATGAAACAGAAATAGCCACATATAAACTACATATACTTTTAAAATAAAACAACAGTAAAAAAAAACAAACCATCAATTTAGGTTTCTATGTTTCGGAAACTTTAGCTACCAAGATCAAGTTTAGAATGGAGTGGATTTCTTTCTCTAGATTCATTAAGAAACAGATCACAGAATAGACCCTATGTAGAATTATTAAAATAATCTTTGAATATTCTAAATTTTCTTTTGTAGGCAAGAAGCAAATTTGCAAATGGAAAATTGGCTCATTAGTAATATAGTTTTTACTGATTGGCCATCCAAATATTTCAAATTTGTATTATTTCTGCATACACTTATATTCAGGTCATTATTAGAGTTTTATTTTAATCAGAGAAATAAAATCTATTCGCTCTACATTTAATAAAATAGTTTAAAATAAATGAAAATATAAAAGCAAAATATATGGTAAACTAAGTCTCTAAGGATGAAAGTATGTAAGACATAAAGCTATCAATTTTGATAGATGAAACTTTTCTATTAAAAATTTAGAAGAGAGAGAAGTAAGGCTAGGAAAAATGGTGTGAAAATTTGAACAGAAGAAATCAATCTTTTCTTATATAGACTTATTTATTGTTATTACAGAATAAAGACAATATACCTAAAAAGAATATAAGACAATATTAACATCCACAATGTATGTGAGAACACAAGACACTGTATTCATATATAAAAGGAATTTTTCTAAAAAACGCACAAATGATTTAAAGCATTAAAATAAAGGAATGGAAAATACAGTACTTTAACAAGGACTACATAATCTTTTGACAATATTTTCAATTAAGTAATTATCACAAGATTATGGTCAATGTCAAACAATGTTTCAATGTGACAATTGAAATATAGACAAATTAAATAACAAATTCTTTTAATTTATGTTGCTGATTAGAATATATTTTAAAATTTACATGTAAAACACAATTTTATAACAATTATTGGAATTTTTTCTCTGGCAGTCTTATAAAAGAAATGTAACATTCAGCTGTTGCAATTCAACAAGGCATACATTATTATCCTAACTGTTATCATCATCATCATCATCATCATCATCATCATCATCATCATCATCACTACCACTAATATGGCACAAAGTCCATTTCCTGTAGGCCTGTCTTTTCTGTAAGCATGAGTAAGAGAAGAAAGAAGCAGAAGAGTTAGTTGATGCTAGTCAGTTTGGGTTGAAATTTTAAATGCAAGAGAATGAAAGAACAAAATTAAAGATGAGGTGTAGCTTTTGAATTATAGCATGCAGAAGAAAAACACTACTCAGTGGAGTATGTTAATCCTATATTTCAACCTCTTATTCAACCAACTATTTAAATATGTCCTAAGATTTTTTTGAATTTAAAAAGCACAAGCTAAACTGGCTCATGGCTACGTAAGGTAAAATAATTTACATTTTGTAGATCAGTGAACTTATAAATTTTATAACTAAAGCATAAAACAGAAAACCTTGAAAAAAGATAACTTGTGATCCAAACAGCTTTGCTCTTGCTTTCAATAGATTTCCTTTCTTCCTTGGAATGTAATGTAACTCCCTGGAGGCATACCAGATTTATGGATCATGGTACCAACTACTCAGAGCTAAAATTAAAATTTGTAAATAAATTGGAACATACTATAATTGCAATTCATGAATACTTTCTAACTGACTGAACACTATTATTTCTAGCTGAATTTGCACAGATTTAGACAGCAGGATGTGAAATGAGTGATTATGTTATCTTGCTGAACTAGAATACAAGGAAAAGTAGAGGAACTGCTTAGCAGGCAGTCAAGGTGTTTTTATTTTTATTGTTACTGATATGAGGCCAGAACTTCAAAGCTCAGTTCAAATTTCAACAATTTTATGGAAGAATCTACTCAATCTAGTTATTTGGCTATTTAAAAGTTATACTTACTATTCTAACTTATACATAATTTAAGAAGTAAACAGTTACTATACTCATGTTATTGATAATTTTTTTTCCTCACGCTGAAGACAGCTTCAATAGGAAAAACAAATTAAATTTCCATAAAATATTGAAAATAACTGACAAGATTCATTTAATATGTTATAGTATAAATTCCTCCTTATTTTTTTCTGAATTTTATAAGCAATAATTATTATTCCAAAGTACAAAAGATACTATTACTACCTTTTGTAACATTTATTACAAATCTTAAAATAAAAAAAGTGTAACAAGAACATTTGGTTAAATGCATTAAGTTTACTTTAAAAATTATCTATCATTGTTTCTTGTTTTGCAAAAAGCCACTATTTTAAACTTAAAGCTTTGGGGGGGAAATTTTAATAAGAGTTTTTTTATTTTAACCATCACTAGAAAACATTTTATTGATAGTCCTGCATATATACACTCATTTGTCCTAGGCATGGTGTGTGGACTGTCTTTTAGATAAATTATTGCTAGTTTGACTATTGTTGTATTTTTTTATTTATCACCAATAGAAATGGAATATATAAAATCAGTTCATTAAAAACGGATTTCTAAATCAGTTCTTTTGAAAACAGAAAATGTAACAAAAATACATTTATATAGCTAAACTTAGCATTTGAAAAATTCCTCTAAATTACTAAAAATTTAAAACTGTCTCTAGATTAAAAATTCTATTTAAAGATATGTAAATAAAACAAAACTAATAGTCCTACTAAAACTTTAATTTCATTCAAAATGAGATTTTAGGTGTTCAGCTGCATATTGAAATTATGTTTATCAACCATATTAATTCTATTTCTAAATGTGCAGATATGTTTTCATATATTAGATTTAATATATTAACTTAAAAATAAATATTCTATATAGATTGAATTAAAATCGCAATGACTACTTTCATATAGTAAAAAAAGAATATTTATCAATGTTTCTATCCATAAATAAATGGTTCCATGCATGGAGAAAGGGGGCTAGCAGGAAAGAAAATATCCAGGCTAGGAAGAAAATTATGTATAAGGGGGTTTAATAATCTCCTGACTCTGCAGAAGATCAGATGTATTTTCACCCAATAAATCTGTCTTGACTATTATTTTTTTGGGAAAAAATGAATATAGATTTTAAATCATTGTACCTAAAGAGCCAAGTCCTTCCGAGGTGGGTAAAATAAGGACCCAAATTGTTGGGGGCAATATGCTGACACTATAAACCACTTAGAGAGGGCTGTAAAAGCACTGGAAAGCGGATATAAGTCTAAGTGCTATTGCTAAAGGGAATATTTTCACTACTGGAACCAAGTGGCACATTATCATATTCTTATAATTATTCAAAATGTGATTCATATTTATGGCAAGTTAAAAAAATGTGCAGTGTTAAAATCACTCTACTTCTAGAAAGAGAAAAATATATTCAAATATATAATCTGTTATATTAAATATAACTATTAAAATATAATTATTAAATATTAAAAATGTATAATCTGTTATATTAAATATGTCATATTTTTTGGCTGTTTACTCTCTTCACCTGTAACATTTGACTTCCAGCACCATCTCTTAATCTGTACGGTCTAATGACTCCATCGTCCCCAAAGAAGCGTGGAGGACGCAGGCTTAGGACATCTTCAGAAGCATTTGTAGCTCTGAAATTACAAGTTTAATGATTACGCACTTACGAGATAATATTGGCATATCTATTTAAAAGATACAACCCAAGCTGTAAATAAGATTACATACTTTTTCCCCATATATTTCTCTGAACAGTACTATTTAATAAATAACAGTACTATTTAATAAATATGTTATAATTGTACACTGATATGCAGATGCAGCAACTTTAACAAAACAGCTATTGTCTCCAGTAAATTTCATGGTGTAGTTAAGGCTGGGTTGCTTTAAAAATGAAAAAAATTAAGCCACAGATTTGCTCTTTTTTTGTCTTTGGATGGCCAATGCAGTACCCCCTAAAAATTCTTATAGCCATGGGGGTATTACAGTTCTGCCACACTTGCGTATCTGTCTCATCTCTTACGACTATAATCGGGATAGCAATTTTTGTCATAAATTATTACGGTCTTAAGTCAAGTTGAACCAACTTTTACAACAATTTTACAGCAGTCGTAAAGCAAAATTCATCTTCCCCAATGGGAGCTGTTTTGCCAAAATTGGGGGAGGGGGAAGAGTAACAAATTGCGATCATGTGACTGCAACATGCTGCAAATGGTTGTAAATGCAATCCCATTTTGCCCATTGCCCAAACTGCGATCAAGTAAGGGTGGGTGTGCTTTGACGATTTTAAGTATAAATACAGGTTTTAAGTATAAGTCACTTTTCCCAAGGTGCTGTAACTTTGAACCATCTTTAAATGAACTGTCGTTAAGTTGAGGCCTACCTGCTGTTTTGCTATAATGTACTACTTTGCTCATGTAAAGATAACGAGAACAACAGTTTTAGTAGTATATAGATAAGATTTGCATTTCTGATAGTGAAAATATTTAAAGATAATAGACAAATTTATAGAGAAACAATTAGACATTTATAGTCTTGCCTTTTAATTCCTTGAAAAGTGCTGCTAGCCATATCTATTATTCCTCCAGTAGGCCTTGCTACTGCTCCTACTAATCCTTTTCCAACTCCTTTGAAGAAGCCTGCTGCTCCTTCCTTTTGGGCTCCTAGAGGAAAAACCAACAACATTTAAAGGAAGCATTAAATAAAAATCTATATAAAAATTTGTCAAAAGTTCTATTCAAAGTTATTTTATCAATTTTTTTTACTGAAAAAAAACAAGGAACTTTCCCTTCCCACATGGCTTTTAAAAGCCAAATCAGACTGAGAGCAAAGCATCTGGTTTTCTGACTACAGCCTTCTAAAAGAAGAAATGGGAGAAATAGCTATTACAGCAGCAGCAGAGGACATAATAAACATGATAAAATATGAATTGTTTTTCCTACTTGTAAGGGCAACCATTAGATGAAAAAAATAATTCCCTTGCAGCTGCCCATATCCAGTCAAGCTGTTACAAATGAATTCCTACTAAAAATTGTTAATTTGCAATACTTTCTTTCATACTATGAGAGAAAGGTCATATATTATTAACTACTATAATATGAAACAATGATTTTTTTTCATTTTATTAACAGTAAGTTACCTCTTATTGGCTTGGTTACTATTCCTGTTATGCCACTGACAAAACCCTGTGAATAGAGACAAATATTTCATTTTCCACCCCAAATGGAATGTATATTTTAAGTATTTTCTATGTTAAAATTTAAATAATTTATATTAGTCAAAGTATTGAATCATAAAAAGTAGTTAATTTAATTGATATTTCCTCCATCTATATAAATTGTCAACCTAAATCACAATCAACTTTATCATTAATGAAATTTAAAAATTGTAATAAAAGGAGACAGTAACATATGAATGAACTGCCCCAGCTCTTACAATCTACTACTCTTGAGGCCATTCTAAACATTCAAATATATATTTCTTACAGATACTAAGCCTTTTCCTCCACGAGTAAAGCCCTCCTTCAGGCCAGTAGGTTGCTTATTCATTGCTTCCCGTCGTTTCTGCTGATAATCTTCATCCATAGTTATTGCTGCTACTCCTTTAGCCATAGCACCAGTTATTCTTGAAGCAGCACCAGCTAGTCCACCTATTACGGTATCATAAAATATATTTTTTATTAAAATTAGAAATTTTAAATATAATAAAAGCACAATATATATATTGTGAATATATGGCATTTCTGAATCCATGTTAAAAATAATACTTACCAACAGCGCCACCGACTAAGGCTTTCAATCCTAGTGCCATTCCTTCTACAAATTCTTCTGGACCCTGGATAGCCCCCTGAGAAAAGAACAAAAATATGAAAAAAATTACTATTTTACTATAACGATAAATTTTCCAATAAAAAAAATGAAGTAAATACAAGCAAGCACGCAAAGTATAAAGTGTATCTGATTCTCACTATAAGTAATGTAGGAAGTAAAATAGGAAAAGTAAAGCCTTGGATAATGACATCTAAAGCCATTTATGGCTAAGCTAAGTAGTTGATTCTTACTGAAACCGATAAGCAAAGGTTAGTAGTACCTTTGTTCTCTTCTACTGAGATTGAAGAATTTCAAAACTTGCTATCATTCCACATTTCTGTAGAATTTTATATAAAGTGAATACAACTTTTCCATAGCCAACGTTTACAAACATAGCAAATCCTTGTATAGATAATAAACATACCTGATAAGGTTCATAAAAAAATGCTTCGACTCCTTCAGACAAATCTCTTATGAATCCAAATGGATTGCCCAAAACATCCAGACCAAGAACAAGAACATACATTTGTTTAATAGCCTGAAATAAAAATCAGGTTTTATGAAAAAAAAAGTTTTTAACAGTAATTTGAAACAACTGACATTTACTTTTTTCTGTAAAAAAGTAAAACATTTGATGCAACAAATGTTTTTGTGTAAGTATATTGATGCAACAAATGTTTGAAATCTAAACTAAAAATGCCTCTCTGGATTTCCATTTGTAGAAGGGAAATTGGTATTGTGGAGAAACAGAAATGGCTAATTTGCAGCCCTCACAGAAGATGGATATTATACAGTAAAAAAAGCAATTTTCTTTCCTGTCAAATACTTCCTGTCTACTTTCCTCTGTCCCAGCACTGTTGTCATTACAGATAGTCCTCAATTTATTATTGTAATTGAGCCCGGAATTACAGTTAAGTCACTGTGGATATACACTGAGGCATTCATGACTAGATTTGAATTTATGACAGGTTTTTTAAATAACTGTCATTAAATAATCGTTATGTAAATCCATTTTTGGCATTTTTGGGGGCCAAAAACCAGAAGTAAATGACAGAAAGCAGGCAAAACAATGCAAATTGCAGTCACATAACTGTGGAATACTGCAAATGGCTGTAAAGATCAGCTGGCTGCCAAGTGCTTCTAAATGTAATCATATGACTGCAGGGTGTATGCTTATGTACAGTCATCATAACTCTGAAAACAGGTGGTAAGTAGTTCTGGAGAGGCCCACTATAATTTCAAAAGGTTAAGTAACCAGTCCATAAATTGAGGACTACCTGTATCATTCATGGTTTTATATTGCTGTGAATGGGTAATATTAGACTTCCTGAAAAGGCAAAAGCAAATGAAGAAGTTTAAAATATTTATAGATATTTTAATTGTAATTTTTCAGTTTCTGAAAATTTAAAAATATTCTGTCAATGTGTACAGATAAAGTTTATCACTGTTATATGCATACTTGAAAAAGCAGACTAGAGGCAAGATATAGGAAGATTCTGTATAGGTTTGGTACAATTTTGGCGAGTTTGGGTTTTATCTTGCAACTGATTTTCCAGAGAGATGTCATGGTTGAAATAGGATGGATGGATGGATGGATGGATGGATGGACAGGCAGAAAAGATTGTGGAATCCTTGACTGTCAGGGCTGGAATTTCCTGGCTTTTATGTAAGTTGCTGTAGGTCAAGGAAAGAAGGCTACCTAGGTTTTCAAAGGTGTCACCTACCAAGTTCTGCTTCTGAAATAATGAAATGATTTTTTCCTTCGGATTGTGTCACTCTGGTGAAAGTGACATATCCCTTCCTGACAATAAAGCAAAATTCTTGTTATAGAATTACTATGGAAAGAATCTGAATAGAAATTTGGACAGAAGAAAATTCCATTTGGAAAAGTTTGGAAGCACAGGAGTCCTCTCTGAAAGGAAATGTTCTTCACTAAAGCAACGAAGTAGTAAATGAATAAATTGATTCTGAATCTAATCCTGTATGATTTGTGTTCCTACAATAAGATGTATTGGAAGGCAGATGTAATAACAGAGGTGGCAAAGTTGGTTCTTATGGGATTTTTTTCTGATTACAAAATCTACACAAGATCATATTATCTGGCAGTCAGATTTTGTAATAGACTTCAATATATATATGCACATTTAACACACACTAAAACTCAAAAGATCTGTATCAGTCTAACTTTTTTCCCCCTCTCAATATGAACAGAAACAGAATTAAAAAGCCCACCTGAGGTATATTTTATAGTGGCCCCTATGTTTAAAATATTTAGTATTAAAACTAGCTTGAGAACTGGGAACTGGCTCAAATTGAGAACTGGGAACTGGCTGGGAACAAAATGAAATTGGCAAATAAATTCCAATAGCAGATATTTTATCATAAGAAGGAAAAAAATGTGCTATTTATTGACACATGGTGGATTTTGAGGAATGTTGCCTTCTATTACCCCCTAGTGGCCTGTTAATGAACATGCCTTCATTTTGTATAATAATCTGCTGTTTAGTCAATAGAATTTGGAGCTTGAAAAATCCTGAACCTGGAAGCAGAGGCATCCATAGTATGAGAGAAAGAAATTGCGAAATAAGCTTTGCACTGTTGTGATATAGGCTATAACTCTTTTGTACATGTTCATGACCTTGCATATGTGTATGAAAGAGGTGGAACTTGCAGTACAATGCTTGTTTTGTCATTGTGAACCTGTATAAGCCTCTGCCTGGCAGCCTGGCTGTGTCAAAAACAGGAGGCTGTTACAGATAAAGCTGTGAGGCTGACTGATGCTTGTTCTAAAACAGGGGTGCCAAACTCTATTTCATTGAGGGCCGCATCGGGGGAGCCAGGGGGAGCCAGGGAAGCATGACGCTCTCTACATGGGGCTCCCCTTGAAGAGCACTCAAGAGGCTCCAACTGGTCCAGAATGCGGCTGTGCGGGTCATTATGGGGGCGACATGGCGCACCCATGTAATACCTCTCCTGCGTGAGCTGCACTGGCTCCCGGTGGTCTTCTGGGTGTAATTCAAGGTGTTGTTACCACCTTTAAAGCGCTCCATGGCTTAGGACCGGGGTATATACGAGATCGCCTTCTGCTGCCGATAGCCTCCCACCGGCCAATACGCTCCCACAGAGGGGCTCCTCAGGGTGCCGTTGGCCAAACAATGTCGACTGGCGACACCCAGGGGTAGAGCCTTCTCTGTGGGGGCACCAGCCCTCTGGAATGAGCTGCCCCTAGAGGTTCGTATGATCCCCGACCTGCGTACCTTTCACCGCGCCCTGAAGACTCTTTTATTCCAACAAGCTGGGCTGGCCTAATAGGAATTTTTAAATTGGGTGTTGGTTAGTTTTTAATTTCGTGGCCAAATTTTATATATTTGTTTTTAAATAGTTCTTAAATTTTGTGGTTTATATGTGTTTTAATATGGCTGTACACCGCCCTGAGTCCTTTGGGAGAAGGGCAGTATAGAAGTTCAATAAAATCTAAATCTAAATCTAAATGACCAGCTTGATATCACTTGTGTCAGGGGCGCCTGTGATGGCCCGAGCTCTCTGTCAGTGAAAACGGGTTCCCGAGCTCCGTTTTCGGCTGCGATGGCCTCCTGCAATCCTCTGCCAGCGAAAAAAGAGCTTGGGACAGCCACATGCACACTGTGGGCTGGTTCTTCGCTGTTTCAAGGGTGGCCCCACGAGCCAGAACTAAGCATTCCATGGGCCGGATGCAGCCCACAGACCTTGAGTTTGTCACCCTTGCTCTAAAACAGGCTGCCAATTCCTGTTCTAGGCAGACCTTATGCTTCCAACCTGCATTCTGATTATGCACAGGTTTCTTAAATCTAGAGCTTCTTCTTTGGTTTCATGGAATGAATATTCTTTGAGATGCATTGTTTTTCATTCTCAGCTCATACTGAATGTTAGCGTTTCCAGCAACAATTCTAGTATTCCAAAATCAGTTAAGAAGATTTAGTGATTGTTGTGTAAAACGTCCGTCTCTCTCTCTCTCTCTCTCACACACACACACACACGCACACATAAACACATCAGAAATGCATATACTTTTTTCTTATTGTTATATTATTTTTATAGTTAGTCCCTGACTTACAACCAGTCACTTAATTTACAGTTTGACGTTATAAGAAACTCACACAAAACTACTTATGTTCTATCCTTGAAGTTACAATTGCTGCACCACCCCCATAATCACATGATCACATTTTAGCCAATTGGCACCCTGTTTGGAATTTCCCTTCTGGAACCACGGGGACTCTGGGGTGTGTGAGTTTGGGGATGTGGAGAAATTAAAACCTTGGGGGTGAAGGCTTCTTTTTTCCACCCCAGCACTGTAGGTCTGACACACATACTCAAACAAACACACAGAAGGGAATGTTGGGAGAATACGACTGCATCTGAAGATCTGAGCTTTTTCCCCAGCTTTTCTTCTCTTCAGAAACATTATGTTTGTTAGTTTTCTGGCTAGAAAGTTAACAAACACAATGTTCTGTAACGATAAAAAGGCTTTTTACCCTTTCTAAACATTGCATTTGCTAGCATCTGTAGAGGGGACAGAAACCACTCTCCAGGGCTGCAGAAAAGAAGCTTAACTTCCCTTCTCCAGGACATCACAGCAGTTCCCTTTGGCACACTGAAGGAGAAAGGAAACTTGAGACCCTAAAGATCCAAGCTTCATTTTTCTGGCTAGCATGGCAGTTTTCTTCTACATATGAATGGAAGGGGAAAGCTCGTAGTGGGCTGCAGAAACAAAGCTTGGATCTTTAGGATTGCATCTTCATTTCTATAAACCAGGGCAGGAATTCCCTTCTACTGTTTGGACAGACAGCTCCTTTGTTCTGTCCACTCAATTACCTGGCAATTGCTTAATATTTGCAACAGAAAAGGTCAGAGTTGCAGTCTTTGAGCAAGTAGTCATATGGACACCTTGCTTAATGGCTGCAACACCTAAAACCAAAATTCCAGACCCAATTGAGGTAAGTCAAGTCACGCCTGCATTTTTCTAATTCTTTTTTTAAAATTTTATTTAAAAAGGAAAGTAAAGAAAACAAGGACAACTGGATCTTTGATAGATACATTTTTGCTTCTGCCTAGCTAATCAATGTAGCATTTCAGCTACATGGAAAAAGTGCTCATATGGTTAATTCACATTGGCTTATACTAACCTGCTTTGAATAATGCATGATAACTGCCCACTGCAATTGTTGGGTAGTACAGAAGTGATAGTTCAGTTCAAAGAAAGCCAACCTAAAATAGGCAAATCACATACATAAATGAAAAATAAAATAAAGTTTGATTACTATTCTAATTAAGACCATTGTATTAATGTAGTCTACATACTTAAGAACAACATCCTGCACATCTGTAAGTGTGGCCCCAATGCTCTTTAACAAGAGGTTTAAGGACTGAACAGGAATCAGTTCCTTGTGTTTTTCATCCTTGTTGCTGTCTTCTCCACCAGCACTGAGTGAAAAGCTTAAATGCAGCTGAAAGGAAAAATCAATAAATGAATTGGAAGACTCTTAAAACTTTGAATAATATTCTAATTCTTGAAAGATTTTGTTGTTTCCGTAAGAATTATTGATCATTTGTCAATAGTTATAGCCATATTGCCTTGTACAATCCATGCCAATATTGCAGACAACCATCTATTTTGTTCTATCAACTGCTTTTACAGTATTTTTTTTAAAAAAATTGGAAAATCAAACTTTGCTACCATCTGCATTGTTCTGCAATACAGGTAGTTCTTGTTTAACAACTGCTTCATTTAAAGGCTGTTTGCAGTTACAACTATGATGAAAAAGTAACTTTGCAACCAATCCTTACATTTACAGCCTTCACAGGTCTGTAAAACAAAGCTGAAGTAAGATTGTAAGTACAGTCACAATTTCACTTAGTGATCACTTTGGGATCCCAATTGGATCACTAAACAAGGTCTGTTTTTATTTTATCCTTTTATTCTGTTTTATTTGGGATTGTGCAACTAAAGCTAATATACTTTTCCAATAAAACTCAACAACTCTTTATATGTTGGATGTAGCTTTCCCCCAAATATTTTTGTAATTTTTAATGTGAAAAATTATTGATGCTACTCAATTTTGTTGGTTATCTGTTGAATTAAGTATTTATTGTGGTAGGATGCATCATTCTGTTGACAGTTATATTTTTGTTTTCATATTTGGAACCTGTAGCTCTTAGTAAAACTAGTCCTGCTGCTTTTCCCTAAGAGTACTGGAGCTTATTAAAATGGCAGAATTTTTATTGAAATCTCCTGATAGATTTATGAGGATTATAAATACTGATAGGCATTTGTTCTTACTTAATACTCATTGCTAACTCTATTTAAACAAGCAAATGTTACATTGATGGCTACCTTGATTGGAGAGATATGAAAATATTCATATAAACTGATTTGTGATGTGTCAGTTGATACTGCATTCTTTAATTCTTCCTGTGCAGATTCTATATCCTTTTTAAAAAGTTCAACCTGTGAAAAATTTGACAACAGGTAGTAAGTCTTAAAACTTTATAAACAATACTGATATATATTTTTACATAGCAGTTCATATGTAGTACACAGTCGATTAAAAAAAGAGACTGGGATTATGTAATGATTTGTTGTTGCATTACTTAAAAAATATCCTATAGGAATTCATACCTCTTGGTCTTTGGGAAGTTCATCAACAAGTGTAAAGAAATCGGACAGCGCATATAGGAAACCAAGATCTAATCTGAGATCCATCTCTTGAATTAAAACTTTAAAATACCTATTAAAAAGTTGAAACCATTAAATAGTAGAAATATGTAACTATTAGCTATGCAACTGTTTCAATTTCAAGAATGAAAAAAAATGCCTCAGTGAATAGGTAACCAAACAATTCATATAACAATACTTTATGCATTTATGTTAAACCTTTATAAAATTAATACAAAAAACAGCAAACACATTAATTCTAATATTAGATTTTACTGTAATCATGTCTACTCAAAAGAAAAAAAATCAGTAGTTATAATACAATTTATTTCTAACTAAATAAAGTTTCCCATTCCAATGGTAAAAGACTGCAGTGCAATGCTATACATATTCAGTCAGAAATAAATTCCAATAATTTCAAATGGAGAAAGTTACAATTGCGTCCTTAAGTTAAGATTGGAAAAAGCATAAATACTTACTTTATGCGTGATATCTGAGAATGTCCTGCAGTTCTCATAACAATACTGACATCAGTAAATGGCTTGGGTTCTATAAAAATTCCAAACATATTCTCATGGAGAATATAATTTATTTTAATATACAAAAGGTAATATATGTAATTGATACAATTTGCAATGATAAAATATCATTTGATATCATTTGCGAAGGATGCAATGAATGAGTTGAATAAAGGAATCAAATAATTACAACACACACACACATACACACACAGAGAGCATATAGCATATGAGAGCAATTGAAGCCATTTATTAAAATGAGAAGTACACATTCACAAACATTTTAAATTCTAAATCCTAGCAGGTGCATGCTTACGATAGTTTAGTGACATCAATGATTAATAATTTTAAGATTTCAATGTCATTAGCTAAACCATCTTAAATTAAGATTTGTAATTTGTAATAGTTCCAGGCTCACTGTACATTTGATAAGTGAGAGCAGTCTGAACAAATCAGTTTGTTCAGTGATAGAAATGTTCTCTCCAGATTATTTCCACACTTGGAAAGGTAATCATTTTTCCTCTAAAAATGTTTGATTACTCTTATTTATTGAAAAGCACTTCATCCAAGTGAAAAAGGGCAAGTATTTCTGTAATGTTTTCACTTAAAAGTTATATATGTTCAGTTTCTAACAAATTTAGGAAGAAATATATAAATGAATTAACAAGATCTAATTTATCTTACTTTACTCTTTTGCATTGTAAAGGGCTTTTTATTAGTATATTTTAATTTACTTTTCCTTAAGTTATTACAGATGCAAGAAAAGCATAATAATCTATTAAACTGTTAACAAACCTGAATCCAATGAGACGGACTTGGGAGGTTTAATGGGATAGAAGACAAAAGGAAATATGGCTCCAGGAATCTGATTTTGTATCTGATAGGAGCAATTACAGGACAATACACTACAGGTTAGAAATGTTTTCACTTTAACATAAATTGTTATGTCCTAGTTTACAAATTTGAAATGCAGAATTCCCCAAACAGAAGTCTTAATCTACAGAAGTCAGCAGCTAATCATGCCTTATTGGTTTGTCTGTCCAACAAAAGTTCATTTTAAAATTTGAATTTTCATACATTCTTTAAGTATAGCCTAATGCTGATATTTTTAAAACAAGTAAGAGGAAATAGTGTTAAAACTATACATAGATGATTTTCTATTATCTGTTTTTCATCATGAATTGTGGGTAATGTGATATACCTGTATTCTATAGATTTGTACTCTGAAAGAAGACTGATGTTCAGAGGTACTGTATTGTAGTTTTAAAGCTGGCAAAAAGCTTCTTCTCACAGGAAATTCAAATGGCTGCAATATTTTCATGTTATTACCAGTAGGAGTCAAACAGACCTGTTATAAGACAAAATCCAAATTGTAATTAATTTTTAAAATTAACCTTTCAAATCAAAGGTCACAGCATAACTCAAACTAAGCATTTTTAAATTCCATATATTTCTAAGTGACATTTCATATACTTAGCCTTTCAACTGTATGCAATTGTAATGACAATGTTTTAAACTTTATCCAAATATGCTAATCACTTTGTTTTAAAATTAACAACTAAATCTTCCCCAGGATTATTCAGAAATAACTCCAATTCAATTCAATTGAATCTCATCTTTACTAGTAACAGTATATGCTGAAAGAAAGCAGAAATCTAGAGACTGCAGCATAAAACAATCCTGACTACAATCCTGTCTCATTCATTTAAAATTTAGTTACTGAATTTAGCAGTGTTACTTCCCACATGATCTTGCCAAAAGAACATCAGCAATATAAGAAGTAGAGGTATTTACCATATTGATTTAAAGGAAAAGAAAGCAGGTTAAGATAGAAGTGACAATACTGAAGAGGTTAGGACTACAAACACACACACACATATTTGAAGACAGGCTGAAGAACAATGTTAATTGATATCAGAATCTCTATACCTGGAAACCCAAGTGATATGGATTCCATAAAGGGTTTAAATTCAGTCAAAATGCAGGTATCTGTATATTCTATATCTTTAAGAGACCAAAAATATGTTGAGAAGTTCTTCACTACATTGTCATAGAATCTTAAGACTATCAAGGAAACGAAATACAAGAAACCATGCTATTTATGAAAATAGGAATAGATTTTCTGAAAATTCAAAAATAATCAAATAATCTGTTGTTTTACATAAGAAGTCTACTGTCATGTTAGAAGAGTTTTGCCTTCTTAAGCAACAAGTTCATCTGTTTTCATCCCCAAGTACTGCACTATATGCATTCAAACAAACACATCATATTCAGAAACCTGGAACAGAGAATTGCCTCCTTGGCTGTTATGCTACAGATTATTACTTTTTGCTGCTTGAACCAGTGCAAAAAAAAAATGATGATGTGGTCAAATTGAAAAGCATAAATCTTAAATAAGGACCAGCACTGGGACAAAGAAAGAAAAAAAGTTTTTCTCTCAGGAACTGAGTATACTGGGAAATAATGCTCCCCAATGCCCTCTAAACACTTACATGATGGGCTAGTCTAGACACTTCATCAGGTTCTTAAGACAACTGAATATGACAAAGGAGTTTTGCTCAGGAGAGTCAAGAGTGACAGTTGCAAACTGCCCTAGCAATTTAAAGGAGAAGAAATTAGGACCCAGCTGTCCTGAAAACATTGGCCACCAGGCAGGAAATTTCCCATAACTCATAAAAATTACAAAAGCTCAGTAGTTTCAATTACACGTTCAATTGCACATGTTAAACTGGGGGTAGTTTGGTTAATTATATAGTTTCAATAACTCTAGGCTGCAGATCAACCACCCGTTTGAAAAAACAATCGTTATACAGTACAAGCCAGGCTTCCTGTCCCCCTTGCAGCTGAATCACACTGCAGAACAGACACCAAGGCCAGGGATAAGATAGAAAAAAGGTGATGCCACAGCAGACCTGCTGGAACAATTAGGACCAAGCAGATCATGGCTTCCAACTGACTTACCTCAAATCATCTCATGCACGTATCATTAACATGTCCAGACCAGAGCACCTAAAATGATTTTAAGTTACTGGCTGACAATGAAATATAGAGGAAGGCATGATAACATATCCGGGGAAGTGATGGAACAAAGAGGCATTGTGGCTTTGGCCTAAAATAATCATGGTTTTTCTCAGAGTTGTTCTATATTTTTTTTCTGGGCCTTGTCATTCAGGCCTTGACACAAATAGACTATTTCCACAAATTTCACCAGCGCAGGACGAAGCAAAAATACGTTGCTCAACTGCAACATATTAAATTAATTAAATTAAATGCTTCTATGAATTAAAATAAAGTAGTAATTGATCAAAATATTTATAACCCAAACTATCTTAGGGGATTCCAAGATAGGTAATTAAAAACAGCCAAGTAACAACAAAAACTATTCATCCCTCGACTTGGAGAACAATGAAAAACTACTTAAGGAAAATAAGGGCTAATTCATGCTCTTTGGGAAAAACAAAAATATTTTTTTAGAGGATACTGAACAGAAAAGTTTATGCCCCTTTCAATTTGCATAAAATTACAGGAACATTTCCCTCCATGAACTTTTGACTACTTCCAGAAAGTTCTGAACATTGTTCTGAGATCACAAAGGAAAACTACAACAGATGAAGAAAGGGATTTCATCGTCTCTCCCAGGCAGCAAGAAATAGTTATATCGCATAATTTTATTAAATGAAACTTACCAAGCCTCTGCTATGGAACAAATGACATGTATGACATAACATTAGAGAGAGAAAGGGGAAAATGTGTGCACATGCTTGAAAGAATCTGGTATTAGCATAAACTTCAATTTACCGGAATATTATCATCAAGTTCCACTACTTTATTTTCTGTAGGTGAGTTATCACAGTATTCAATAAACTCTTTCTCCAGCTTGTCAGTTTGCTTCACACTTAGTGGCTTCCATCTTGACTTTTTCTTGGGTTTTGTCTCCCAAATTACATCAGAGCTTGCAAATAAATTTTTTTAAAAAATTATCAAATTGTAAAACTATGATAAGCAATAAAACTTCATTAAATCTTTGAGATTTACTAACTTGAAAAACATCTTCATTATCAAAAGTACTTCATATTTTTTAAAAAATTGCATTAAAACTTTTTGGAAATATAAATTATTCTATAACTGAGGTGTACTTATTAAAAAGACACTAGTAGCAATTCAACTGTCATAATCCTCAATTATTTATTGCATATAAATTACATATTCTATCAAGTATTAACTTTAAACTTGGAATTTATGTAGCTGGTGCTTGTAACTGTGCTAATAAATCATTATTACTTGCCTTTAACAATTTTAAAAGCAGCATATGATGGCAAAGTTAAATTGTTTGTGCATAGTTTATTCAGATAGAACATAAAAACCGGCCACCATTTCAACACGTACAAAAGGATTCTAGTTACATTTGGGCTAGTAATAGTTCCTATGCATTATGCTCTCTTCTAGAGTTAAAGAATCTAAATTACAACATAAAATATAATTAACTATATAGTAAACAGTACTAATATTAAGAAAGATTTTAAATTTTAATTTTTTTTAGTTTTTTCAAATGTAAATGGTAAATTGAATATATTAGTTACCTTGTGATTCCAATGTAAGCTATTTCCTGCCTTAAATAGTTATTTACTAAAGAAATTCCAACATCTTGCAATGATACAATTATTTCTTGTTCTGCTAATTCCACTTTTTCACTTTCATATGTCATTTTGAAAACCTTTTCATCTTCAGTGAATAAGATTATACGCTGCAAACCTTCAAAAAATGAAACTATAAAAATGTCCTTGGCTCCCACTTGAAATGGTGTCATCAGGTCCTAAAATAAGAGATAAATATTAATTATCAAACATTCTTCAAAGCATTGTTGCTCAGAAACTTTTTATTTCCAATTTTGATAACAGCAGTGAAGCAGACCAGTAAAAATATGCTGCCTTCTACATGCTTAGATAACAAATTCAGGATAATCCAAGAACAGTTTATTCTGCACCTAAGGCATTCTGAGAATGCTAGTTGTATAAGACAGTCTAAGAGGAAATTAATTAAATTAAACTAAAATGAAGGTATTTACATAAGATTCTCACAGCTTAAAATAAACTAATCTTTTAATAGGGGGACGTCGTATTTCTTTACTGAAGTCACAGAGAATTAAATTGTAATAATAACATGTAGTGCATCTTACTAACAATGTAGCCTTATTATTATTACACTTTTTAAAGCATCCAGAGGTCAATCTTATGGGGCATGATTGCAATTAATAAATTAACTTATGAGTATATCATATTACCATTTTAAGTTTTATACACACATACAGTATGAACTATATCGCAAAGTATATGTGATGCAGTGTAATTTAAATTCTATGAGTCAAAGGACTATGAAAGGAAAGTAGTGTATTTTTTGAAGTATAAGACGCACCAGAGTATAAGATGCACCTACCTTTTTTGGTGAGGAAAAGGAGAAAAAGAAATCTCCCTCTGCCTCAGCAATTTTGTCTCGTTGCAGCAAACAACCTGCTTTACTTTCATTTTCATTTTCAGCATAGCTTGATTAGCACATGGAAAAAAAAATCTGCTCCAGCAATTTACCTCTTTGCAGCAAGCAGCAGAACCCTGCGCAAAACAGCTGAGAGCAAATCAGCTGAGAGTCGGGAGGCCGATCCAATCAACTTGTGCTAATTAGGCTGTGCTAAACTGAAAGGAGCTGTTTTTTCTTGCTGTTTGCTTGCAAGGAGGTAACTGCTGCGAGGCAGAGGCCAAACGGTGGGGGGCAGTGGATGGGCGGGGCTACATTCGGTGTATAAGACACACCTAAATTTTCACCTCCTTTTAGGAAAATTTACTCCGAAAAATACGGTATCTTTATCAGTGAACTGAAAAAGTTACAGTATCGAAACAAATAATATTCGTAAGAATATTCTGCTTTAAACAGAGTGGGTTTTGAAATACTGTACATATAAGGATATAAATGTCAGAATAAACTAACATGGTTTAATCATTAAATTATTAGTATAATCTGATATATCATAAAATGTATACTGCATGTATATTAGATTTTACAGCAATTTTTATAATTTATTTCATGAAGATGTTTGGAGGCAAATAATATAATCTCTCTATAATTTATACATAATCACCTAAAGATAGGTCCTATGTTTGTTGTTTTCAGAATCAACTCCAATGCTTTCCACAATCTTAATATATATACCAAAGTTTGATCTCTCACAGCATGCTATGCTATGCTATGCTATGCTATGCTATGCTATGCTATGCTATGCTATGCTATGCTATGCTATGCGTATTTGATTACAAAGCTTTTCCAACATAACCAAATGCAGTCTATATTCAGTGGAGTTATTTTAAGTATATATTCTCAAAGTAAGATTTAAATTTTGCTAATTAGAAAAGCCTTCATTCTGAATGTTCTGGAGACATTACATAATTACAGATGATTTAATCAACTAAAGAAAAACAATATATCTGATACCAGCTATTAACTAGTGTCTGTGTTGTCCAAAACAAGTGTGGACAATGTCACAAATTATAGATACTCTTATCCAGATAAAACCATAAAAAATCAGATAGGGCACATCTATTAGCTGAAGACTTGTGTAAACTTATTGAGATAGCTTAATTCTACTTTATTTTAGGATCACAGCACTTTGCTCAATTTATTCAATCCTAGATTTCCATTATTCCTCTCTTCCCCATTTCCTGCATGTTTGCTGTGTTTTAAACATTATCCCTTCTAAAAACTAAATTATTTGATCGCTAAGTATTAAACTGATTTGAAACATTATACATACATCTTTCTGAGTTATTTCTTCACTGTTCTTTCCACATTTCCATTTCAGTTTTCTAGAACCTACAGGATCTGCCCATGTGTACAGTACTGCTTTATTTGGTTCTAATGTTTCTTCCATTGAAGTGAGAGAACTGCAAACAAAAATAGGAAAATCTAGATTTCAATGCAAAATATATCCTCACCAAATTTTTTATCTTCCTTCCAAAGCAATTATTTTTCAGTGTTATTAAATTTCTGTCAATTAATTCTGACAATTCGATTTAAACATTCTCATGTTACAATGTTCAATTTGAGTTTTTAAAATTTAAATGATAAAAGCTTATTAATATATATGTACTCTGTTTCCCCGAAAATAAGACATCCCCTAATAATAAGCCCAATCGGGCTTTTGAGCACATACGCTAAAATAAGCCTCTCTCCGAAAATAAGCCCTCTCCAAAAATATTTAAATGCAGAGCTGGAAATCGGGTAAGATGGCAAGAGGAACCCCATCTTGCTCCAGATGTCCCAAAATAATAAGACCTCCCCGAAAATAAGGCCAAGTGCTTATTTTGGGGTTCAAAAAAATATAAGACAGGGTCTTATTTTCAGGAAAACACGGTAGACTTAACAGATTCATTTCTCAGACATTTATATTTCATTGTAACACTGCTGCTTCATATTCTATGTGACAGGATTATGATAGATTGAAAAGTTTGTTTTATTTGAAAAACTTTTCTTTCACTTTTGTTCAGACAACAATAACCAGTAAACTGGATAGACTAATTTATCAGTTGTGTTAGATACACTATTAACAAGGATATGCTTATAGAACATGATCATTATTTATTCATACAGCACTAAATTTTATCCTGTTTATCTTTAACAGTATACAAATAAATCATTGCATACATACCTTTGTCCATATTCGATTACTTCTTCTTTGGTATGATTAATTATCAGAAATGGGGCTGCACCATCATGGTAATTAGAGAACGTAATTGTTGTTGAATGTTCAGCTAGAGTAATATCCACAGTAATGCCACCAAGCTAGCAGATATGTAAAGATGAAATGATATATAATATGCATATTACATCGAGGATTCATTCATATAATTCAAGAATCTTAATGTTTCTGATTCAAAATTAATAGCAAAATAGTAGATTACTACTATTATTTTAAAACATGGAAAGGGGTTCATGTTCCCAAACCCTTACAAAATGCCAAAACCTGACAGCACATTTTAGTCCTATTCACTGTGTCCTATTCATTATTATCATAAAAATAATTGTATTAATTGCGGACATTAAAGTGATGATGGTAGGTTTTAAAAGTTTAAAGATAGTTATACACTTTAACATGGTTTCAAATTAAACAAATGTATTTATTTTACGTTAAGCTTATGAGATCATATTATTTATTTATTTATTTATTTATTAAATTTTTATACCGCCCCCTCTCCCGAAGGACTCGGGGCAGTGAACAGCCAGAATTAAAAACACACAATACAAATATTAAAATACATTAAAACGAAATTAAATTGTCTTTGGCTTCTCCAATTTAAAACCCCTTACCCATAAAATTCCCCAATTAAAAAATTGTTAACCCAGCCCGGCTTGCTGAAATAAAAAAGTCTTCAGGGCCCGGCAGAAGGTCCGGAGGTCCGGGATTAGTTGTATATTAAATAAGAACATAAGTATATTTGAAAAATAGTGCATCTCCATAAAATTTTGATATTACTTTACTTCATTGCAAATACACCAGATTATCTTTAAAGTCTTAAAAAAGTAAGGGAAAAGGAATTCATTGAGTTAGCTTGGAACTTTTTATGGCGCAGTTGGGCAGCCAAAGGACATATATTGCCTTCAGCATCCTAGACTACACATCAATTGACATCAATTATCAAATTTTAGCCATAGAAATTTAGCCAGATGGTATGGATAAGCATAGGAAGAGGGAGCAGTTTGAGTCCTTTGACATTCCAACTTAAAATACTCCTCAGAAACTTTCAAAAAGCAGAAAACTCTCAGCTTTACCTATTACATTAAAATTGTGGCATCACCAGCCTACTATTTATCTGTTTAAAAGGTTGGGAGGCAAAACTGTAGGCAATCTATCATCCTTTTCTCATTTAAAATTTATCTCTATATACTCACCTTCTTATCTAAGTGAAGTAGTAAGCAATTTTCTTGTTTATCAAATCGTATAACATTGGGTGGAATGTAAGAATCTTTTACTCTAACCTGTAACTTGCTGTCATTATTTTCAGGCCAAAATGGAATACACTGGAATAAGAATGAAATGCATTTATAAAGAAAACATAGAACATAGGAACTATAGCTATCAAAAACAGTATTTCTTCTTTCCTTGAATACAGTTATATAGTATACAAAATCCTGAAAGCCAATGGCTAAATATCACTGAATACTAGAATACAGCAAAATAAAAATGTTAGTAATTTTTTTAAAATCACTTTTAGAAATTTGTATGTCTTTAGAAAAAAATACAATTAGTAAAAATATAAAAAAAACCTTGTGAAAATATAATTCTCATGCTTCAATTTATAAAAATAAAGAGAATTCTAACTGCAGTTTTTAGTAATTGGTAGCATAAAACTAGAATATAACTAAAATAATAATAGTACTGCCTTGTTGGATAAAGGGGTATGCTAATTGGGAAAGTTCAAGTTATATGCAAAATTTCACTGCTTGAACTTAAATTGGTGGAATTAACTTTGGGCAATTTGTATTGTTTTAGTTATTATAAGAATAGTTGGTTAATAGTTATTGCCAATTTTCATGCCTTTAAATTTTTTTTATCATATGTGGCTGAGATTTTGAGGCAACAGTCAATCAGATATTACACAATTTTTAAAGTATAGGAAAAATACATATATGGTGTTGTAGCCATTTTGTTTCAAATCAGCACTTTAAAAATAATAGGATATTGTTGAATATTGCATATTTTATTTTTATTTTTTTTTATGCTTTTGAGTTATTGTTGAGTCTTGGCAACTGCCTGGACTAATTGCTGCAGTCTTCTTGGTAATATTTTTGCCATTGCATTCTTTCCAGGGCTGAAAGAGAATGGCTGGCCCAAGGTTACCCAGCTGGCTTCCTCGTTTCTGGTCTGGTCCCTTAACTACAATACAAAACAGGCTTCCCATATTGTGTATAAGTCTTTTGTATTGTAATATACAATAAGGTAAATAATTATTAACATAAAAGCTAACAGATGCAAACAAACAATTCATACATGAATTGTGAAGTTAAATTTTTTACAATGGATATAAAAACTTAAAAGTCTTAAAAAACTTACCTGTTGGAAAAGTATTGGTATCCAATTTTCATTGCCTTCTTCAGCTACTTCTAAAATGTATGTACTTCTATTTGTGACCATTAAAAAAGGTGTGAAAGTCACTATTCTAGTGATATTAAAGCTGCTATTATGTATAGTGACACCAACCTGGAAAATATAAAATTCTTTAATATAAATCAGTCTCATTATTGTTAATAATGTCCTTATTTTTTTCCTAAATGTTAATATTTCTGCAAGAAAAGATACAATTCACTCTGCAGTGAGTGAATGAGAATGAAATAAATTCTGCGAAAAATGCACAATGAATTATTTTGCTTCCGAAGACATATTACATCTATACTATATATCAGTTAACACATTTAGCATTATCTACCGTGTTTGTCCAAAAAGAAGGCCGGGTCTTATTTTCTTTTGAACCCCGAAAAAAACGGCTAGGCCTTCTTTTTGAAGGGTTCTCATTATTGACTAACCTCATGGCGGTGGCACCGATAGCCCCGTCCAGCAGGAGCCCGTGGCTGGTCCACCTCTTCTGTGGCCAGTGGCCACAGAAGAGGTGGACACTTGCCGCCTCTCGCACGCATCACCTGGCCTCTGTTTCGCCTTCAGATGCCTTCCAGAAAGCCAGAAGGTGGAGCTTAATTTTGTAGGTGGGGCTTAATTTATGTGGTCAAAAACAGGATAGGGCTTCTTTTCAAGGTGAGTCATCTTTTTGGAGAAACACGGTAGTGTACTAACTAAAAGCTACTAACAATAGCTTTTTCAAAATTCAGCCACATTTTGTTCAAGTTCCACCCCTATTTGTAGATTGTACCTAAAATTGTATCTTCAGCATCAATAATAAGTAAAATACTAAGCATATAAAACAGGGATGTCAAACTGGTGGCCTGCGGGCCGGATGAATCACATACAGGCCATGCCCACCACAGCTTCGTGATTGGGGAAAATGTTGCAAAACATCACGTGACTGCAACATGATGCCAGGAGTTTGACACTCATGATATAAAATATTAAACTGTGATGCTTACCATTAGGATTCAGGTTGATTTAAATTCCCCCCCCTCCCCACAGGAGCTGGATAGATATTTGCAATACATTTTCTGCTAACATATCTAAAAGCTATTGCTTATGGGATTAAAATTTGTGACCAGATTTAGTCTAAGAGGTAAGTGAATTGTGCACTTGTCCTAGGCAATGAAATGAAGCAAATACTAAGTCTATCCAGTAATTGTGAAGCTGCTTGTTCAAGATTTTGAAATATTGAAGAAAACTGAAATGAAATGTAGGGGATGGACTGGCTTGAATATGGTTAAAAATGGAATGCTTTGGAAACTTATTTGGAAGTCAAACTTGTTAAATGAAATAGAATTTAACTTTAAAATACAAAAATATGGCTGCAAGAAAAATACAATAAAACAACTTACCTGGTATTCCTTTTTGTGGCTCTTACATTTTACAAAGCCATGACTCCCAACTGTATCCAGGGAAAAATGATCAGAAAGTTCACTGTCTGTCACCATGAGCTGAACCTGTAAGGAGGAAACCTGTTATTCAACCTTTATCATGAAAAGAATTAAAGAAAAGAAAAATAGAAAATTGTGAATATTCTTAGTTAAATGAAACCTGTAAAATACTGTACTTTGAAGTGCTTCATTTTCTCATTTTAGTTAACCAACCATGCATTCTTTGAGCATACTCCAGTTCATTTACTAGCTATAACAACACTCAAAACCTTTTGGGGTGCTAGACACCCTCAAATCTTCATTTCAAGCGGGGGGATTGTTCTGTCTTCTTTTTTTTATACTTCAGCAAGTATACCAGCCCACTTGCACCAGCAGAGGAGGCATGTTGTGGGACCTGTCAGTCAAGGAACTTTGGCTGGGGGGTGCAGGAGAAGGGCCTTCTCTGCTATGGCTCCTAACCTTTGAAATATCTTACCCACTGAGGAAAGATCAGCTCCCACCCTTCTGATCTTCCATAAGGGTCTAAAGACCTGGTTCTACCAGATGGCTTGGGACCCTGATGACCAAGCATCACACTTGAGGAAGCTGATACATTAAGAGGCAATCCCATGTCTTTCCTGAGCATCCTGCTCCCTTCCTCATCTTTTAACTATAATTTTTTCTTTGATTATAACTCAATTTTTATTGTTTTAGAAATATTTATCTTAATAAATATTTTAATTTTAATGCTGTAACCCACCCAGAGTCATTTTGAAATGAGATGGATGACAAATAAATTTGATAAATAAATTTTAGATTCCCTGAAGACTTCCTCTTTTGGCTGTTAAAAAAAAGTAATAATGTATATGATAACTATCATATAGAATATGAGTTCAAGGAACGTTTCAAAGTTACAAAACATATAATGCAGAATTAACTGTTATTTTTTCTTAAAGTATTATAGAATAGGGATTACTTATTGATACTCTTAAAAACCATATTTTTTCAGTGCCGTGTTAAAAACAAAACACCTCTTCCTGTGTCTTAAATATAACAATTTATTAAAATACAATTATCATTAATAATGGCTTGTAGCATTTTTTGTAGTAATAAGATTCAAAGTACTGGAAAACTAAATATGATAAGATAAAGTTGATTTATGAGACTAAAATCAATACCTTGTTATCATGATAAAAGTGTTTAGGCTGGAAAGAAAAGAGAAGTGGCAACTTGTAGTCAGGTGGATGTTTGCGGTGAATACCATCGGCTTTATACTGTAACATTCGACCCGTCTTGTTGACCATCCAATAGGGACTGTGAATTGCTATAATCACTTGTCCTGTAGCATATGTCACATGGATAGCTATATCCAAATCTGTCCTATCCAGGTCACTAGCGCATGAAAATGTGATGAAACTAATTTCTTGTTGATTTGACTGGATGCAGTATTCAGTAGTCCAATCTTTATCAAGATAATTAAGTAAATGCAATTCCAGCTTGCTCTGATCCAATAATGCATTATGAATCTGAGCAGAACATCCAGCTTCTAGAGCACTACGTGGGGTACTATATCCCTATGAAAGAAAAGTTTCAATACAGTTATAAAACATATAATCAATACACTGTTTCATTAATTAGTGCAATTGTTCATTAACAATTGCACAGAATGAAATGGAAAGCTGTTTGTATTGAAATATGACATCTGAAGTAATTAACTTTGTGTTATTTTCTTGGGGGAGTCTGGTAATAATTAATAATAAATATAAAATAAAATAGATGGGAAGTTATAAGCAATTCTATTATTGAAAAAACACTTATTTCCCACATATTATATGGGTTTTTTCTTTATACCATGATTCATAACCCTCTTTTTTTTTTTTTTTTTATTTATATGCCGCCCTTCTCTGGAGACTCAGGGTGGCTTACAATGCGTTAAGCAATCGCCTTTTGTATATTTATACAAAATCAGCTTATTGCCCCCACAAACTGGGTCCTCAATTTACCTACCTTAGAAAGGATGGAAGGCTGAGTCAACCTTGAGCCTGGTGAGATTCGAACTTATAGTAATTGCAGACAGCTGGTGTTAATCACAATGCTATTAGTCTGCTGAGCCACCAGGCCCCCTTCAGCTTGTTCTTATAAAACTTCTGAAATGTTTTGAATTAGAAATGTTTTTATTTCAAAATGCTATTTCAAATTTGAGACAGGCTGCTCTCATCTTATTAGAAAAGTTCTGTTGCTTTCCTTATTTTACCAGGACGATTCCAAAGTGAACTTGTTACCGATAATATCAGAAATGCATAAAGACACTTACAGTGATGTCACTAGCTCTTTTTGGACTCAAAAATAGCTCTTCTAAGGTTAAATGGAAAGCTTTAAGCTGAAAACATTTCAAACTTGAAGTTTGCACACTTTTTCATGTAATGAAAAGAAATTACATCAGAAAGTAACTTTTGAAGGATTTGAAATAAATATTTAATTGGGTAGTATGTAGAATTCTTTAAAATCACATTCTTACTAAGCATTTACCTATTTGCAAATTTATTGTATCAGTGCAAATATATAATTGCAATTAAGAAAGTTACCAAAGATACCAAATATTTATCCTTGTGATCTAAAATAAACGCTCCTCAGATCAAGAAGCAGAACAGCTAATAACTACTTTACTAAGACTAACTGAAAAAAACATTAGAAACTCGAAGAGAATTTTCTTTCATATTTAGTGTGCATATGCAACAGCAACTGAATTCTGGACATGGCCAAGTATATTTTGAGGAATTTAAATGTCATTTATTCAGTGAAACTGAGGGTATATTCTAAATTATAAGATCCAAAGAAAGGGAAAGGGAATTAAAAAAAAACACTACCTCTAAAGAATAGGCAATCTGATATGGAAGTAGATTGCGGAGAATAACAGAAGACCACAAATGAACAACATATGGTAAATCCCACTGATCATCTGTACACGATGAAGTTATCAAAGTATCTTGCATTGGAACAATGTTGATAATAAGTGGATGATTAGGTGATTTTAAAGACCGGCATTTCTTCTGTAGCAATTTGTCAAAATTCTTCACCATTTCATCAAAGCTAACACCTTCACTGGATTCATATTCTCCAGAAGTTTCAGTTTCATCAATTACTGGTCGAAAAAACAGTAATGACCTGTGAATAAACACAATAGTTATTCTTATTTTCCTTTTCTATTAAGAATATTCAATACTTCTATCCAGGTTTAAATAAATGAAACTAGAACACAATATAATTAGAAGCAACACAAATAATATTAAATGAACTGCATTCAAATATATTATAAATGTAACCATTCTGGATTATGGGTCTTTTGTTGCCTTATTAAGTAACATCAGTGCATGGCCTGGTTGACAGGACACCTATTTTTCTATTCTGTCTGCCTTCTGCAAGCTTAGATGATGGTCCTATGGATAGATGTAGTTATCCAAGTCATCAATGCTTTGGGGCAGAATATTTAGTTGTCATAAAATGGAAAGGTGATAAAATGGCACAATGAGAATGTGTTATTATTTTCTTGTACTTGGATATTATTAATTTATAATCTAAGAGAAATCTTTCAACCAGCAGGAAAGAATAAGAACACTCAGTGAGAAACTTTTTTTAAAAAAAAATAAGATTAGAAAAAAAATACCATTTGAAATGATTTTGACTTAAAAGCAAAGACTGTGATTAAGAAAGTTTTAAAAAGATAAATGAGACAATAATTTAGAAAGGGTTTTTTTTGTTCTTTAATGAAATTGCCTTTGAAAATAGTAAAATCGACTAGACAAATGACTGAAGCTTCATGGGAATATTGATGGTTTATTGTTAAATAATTAGTTAAATAAGAAAAAAATTGGTGGAAATTAAGAAGAATAATATAAGCCGCCTCCTCTCCACCAATCCATCTTTTTACTGATTATATTGATGTATTTATTCTAGTTGTGTTCCTTTGCGATTGTTTACTTTATTGTTCCATTATTTTGCTTTTGTTCTGTTTACACATTTTATTTTTTGTTCTTTTTATTATTGTAAGCCCCACAGTGAGATAGATGGCAAACAAATTTTACAAACTGTATGACTGTATCTATGGATCAGTGGACATAGAAAAAGCTTAAAAAAATGGAATCAAATATAGACATCGCTACAGAGGATTTTAAATATTAATATTCAATAAAAGCCAGAACCTTTCCTTTTAGAACAGATGGACAATTAGAAAAGAGTCATAGATTATGTCAAAATAACAGATTATATGCACAAATGATGGAAAGATTCAGCACTACGCACCGTAGAGGAATAGTTGGTAAAATTGACAGAACTTGCTGAGAAAGCCAAATTGGCTTCTTTGATTAGAGAAAGGTCATTATAGTATTGACATTCATCAATGACTGAAAACCCCTAATGGACTTTTTGTGTAAAAAAGAAAATGCTTTTGTGACTTATGGTTTTAATGATTAGAAAGAATAGGTTATAGAAGAAGAGAATTATGATGTAATCCTAGAGAAAAAGAGAGAGGTTTGATTAGAAGTGTATGTACTGTATTACACACAGTAACACGAGAGGAAGATTAGAAGCCATTTCTTTATATTAATTTTCATGTTTTCTGTTTTTCTGTTTTCTCTGTCTCTTTTCTCTCTCTTTTCTCTTTTTTCCTATCTTTTCCTTTCTTTCGCAATTACCACAGGTAGCCCTCAATTTACCATTCATTTAGAAACCATTCGAAATTACAATGGCACTCAGAAAAGTTACTTACGACCAATCCTCACATGCAATGATTATAGCAGCATCCCCATGGTCACATGTACAGTATTTACTAAGGTTGCAGTGTCTTGGGGCCATGTAGCTGTCGTTTGCAATCTTTTCAGATGGTTTTTGAGAAGCAAAGTCAATGGAGGAAGCTAGAGTTGCTTAATGACTGCATGAATTACTTAAACACTGCAGTGATTCACTTAACAACCATGGCTATAACGGCTGTAAAATTGGGTGCATCTCACTTAACAACTGTCTTGCTTATTAACAATATAAATTCTGGTCTCAATTGTGATTGTAAATTGAAGACTACCTATATATCTTTTTCTTTGAATGCACTTTTTGTTATATATGTAAATCTTAAATAAAAATTATTCTAATTTTTGTTTGTTTGTGATAATTTCCAAGGATTAATAAATAACTGGGAAATATTAAATGGCAATGTTAAAAAGGAAATAGTCCTGAGAGTATAAAGCCATTAATAATGATGCAAACAAATCATAAAAGTAGAAGCTAAATATTTAATCCAACTATATTCCTTTACTAAGGAAAAAATACCTAATAGTAATTATTTCTTGATTTATTACATTTAGAAACTAATTTACCAATAGATATTTACAAAATAAATATATGTACAGAATATGTACAAAATAAATAATAATGTACAAAAAAGAAAATAATTACCTATAGGAAGTTAATGGTATGTTAAATTCATTATCTGGTAGTGCTATTCCTAAACATTTTCCATCTTCATAAATACTCAAAGGAATTGAAAAATGATTCTTTATCTATACAGAAAAATAAAAAGTTTGTGTCAATTGACCAAAAATAACTAGGTTACAATTTCATTTTACCTGCTAATTAAATCTCTACTCATCTGAAAAATACAATGAAATTTAACATTTAGAAATTTAGGAAGATGTGATATCCATTTTATAAATACCTTTATAAAATGTTTTATATTTGCTCTGATATGCATAGGAAATAAAACAATCAATTTTCCCAAACTAAGATTTTATAAATAAATAAAAACATTATACTTGGGGGAGATTTCCACTACTCAGTAAACTTTAAAAGAAAATATCTCACCTGAATTGGAGAATGTACAGTTACTATCTTGCTCCCATCAACAGTATCAATTTGACAAACAATAGATCTTACAACACCTGAATCATTATGTCTAACTCTGTACAAGCTCCGACCCACTTTTGTCAATGGGATCTTGTCAGTAGTAGAATGATTCTGAGGAGCTAAAAAAATTAAGACAAAAACCTTATCAAAAATGAAGCCGTATAGATCTCTGTGTGGTTATGAAACAGAGGGAGGGAGAAATAAAAGTACCTAAGTTAATTGCAAATATATAAATAACATTTTAAAAAAAGAATTTAATGTATCAACAAAATGTTTTGTGTGCATTCATTGATTTGAACAAGTGCTATAATAAAAGGAGCTTTAGTTTAACTTGTATTCTTCCTTTCCTAATTTATTAATGCAATTGTTATCCTCTGTCCAATCAATATTATTTTTCTTTCCCCATAATCCAAATTGAGACATTGGAAGCTAATTTTAGAAAAATATTAGTTACAAGACTCAGTCACAGATATGTGTAATATACAGTTTGATCCTGTTATATAAATGAATGCTAATTTGTTCATTTTCCCCTGAAAAATTAATTAGGTGTCAGAAAAACAGCTGTTAATGTAGTGTATTCATAATATTAATGAATATAAGCCATGAGGCAATAGCAATAGCACTCAGACCTATATATCGCTTCATAGTGCTTTTACAGTCCTCTCTAAGCTGTTTTACAGACTCAGCATATTGCCCCCAACAATCTGGATCCTCATTTTACCGACCTTGGAAGGATGGCAAGCTGAGTCAACCTTGAGCCAGTCAGAATTGAACTCCTGCTGTTGGCAGAGTTAGCCTACTATACTGCACGCTAATCACTGCACCACCAGTTAGAATACATACACTAGATAGTTATTTAAACAGACTTAAGTTGTTTTGAACTTTTCTTAAACACCATGATTGCATCATATACATTTAGATGTTGACTAATAGACATTTCAGGTATACTTACTGAGCCAAATGTAGAATACCTTGCTGCTTAGAGTGGTCATTGCTGTGAACTGGTCTTGCTCACTTTTAGTTCTGATATATTCCATATTTAGACTTTGCCCATCTTCAAGATGAAATGAATTTGCTGTTGGTTCAATATTAAGAACACTGAAGGATTCACTGGGCAAAACAGTGATGGAGACTCCTAGGGAATTTATTAATACAAAAGGGGCCCTATCTTTTTTGAATATTTCTGAAGCCTCGGTAGCTGCTTCTGCAAATGCCTAACAAGAATAATAAATCAACAAAATTTCAAATTAATAACTTTTTCTATAGATGATTTTCTTCACTTAAGGCCCAAATCCAAATTTAAATTTCACTTACCGTGCCTAGATTACTCAACATTAATAGCCCACATTTGGATAAAGTAATGTTCAACTGATTTTGAGAATAAATAGTTATTACTGTTTTATATTCTGGCACTTTATAGTGTTCTTCTTCTGCCACTGATTCAACAAAGGCTTTTTTGTTTTTCTTTTTCATCTTAAAGAGAAAATATTTGGGACATGTAAAATTAGAAACTAGAAGTGAAAGTTATTTAAAGTTTAGAATGCTTTGTAAAGTTAGCCTAATTTATTAAAAGTGTTGTTAAATAATACAAGACGGTGGGAAAAAATATAATAAATATAACTTTTAAAAAATAATCTTTATTAAAAGTTTTTTTAAATAGAAGACAATATAAACTAAACTAAGAAAAGAAAAATATAGAGTTGAGGTACTAAATAAAAAGGGGAAATAGAAAATAAAAGAGAAAATAAATATTTAAAGAAGTGACTTTTGATTTTCATCACAAGTACAAACTTAGTATTTGTTCATCCCCTTATAAGGTTACATATAAGTATCTTCCCGTAACTCATTCCTTATTAATATACAAATCCATAAATTATTAACATTTCAGTTCTAGTGCCAGAAAAAAGGATACCCAGAATTTTATAGAAACATGTTTCATTTTTAACCTTGGTCAAGCAAACCAAATTGTACTCCTTCCTTTTGCTTCCAGTAATTAATTTATTCAGATGTTGCATGATTTGATCTTTTTTCAGTTTTTCCCTCCATCAAAAAGGCTTGAGGCTTTAGAAAGCTTCTTTGATAAATATAGTAAAGAATCATTATCCAGATCTTTGTGTATCATTTGCATTTCCATTTTAAATGTCATCTCTATCTTATAATGCCCATTTTTTAAAAATTTCCTGCATATAAACAATTTAGTTTCTATTTTTTCTGTATCTGATAAGCTTCATTTCGGCTGTTTATCTTGTAAATGCTTGGTATTCTTTTTCACATCTGTACTTTCTTCTTTAACATCTTTTGGATATATTAGAAACAGACATCACTGCTGACATGGCAACTCCTAGTTTCTGTTCCTAGTCTTCAAATATCTCCTGCAATATTTCAAATGTCATAACATTTTCTGTCATTTTGTCCCAAAGCTGACCAAAGACTAAAGGTAAACCTTTCTCTCCTTTTTACTTTCTTTTTCCTTTTGTGCCTGGAATAAAGTCCCTTCTAATGTCCAATTTCTCAAAGTCTCAAATTTCTGTTAGAATTTAAATAAACTAAATAATTTAGTTTGAAAGCATTATTTATTTATATAATTATTTCTAACGTTTTATAGCAAAAGTCCTAGTATTCCAAACCTGTCTGGTCTTTTAATCATGTATAACTTTCTTGAATTAAGGTCTTATTTAGTTTTATACCATTTATTTCAAATTCTTTAAGTTCCTATAGTTAATTTTTCTTTTATTCTAGAGTGAAGGGAATCTCACAAACAAAGATTTTAATATCCTGAAGACAGTTAAATAGGTAATTTCCAAAGCTGATTAGAAAGTGAGTTTACCAAACGCAGTGATCTTAAAAAGACTCTGCCAGGGTTAAGAGTATGGTTTCCTTTTTTACCCAGAGATCTTCTTATCTGGAGAAGACCAGACTACTTGCCGGTGCTTTGATAATGGCCACAACATTGCCTTTGCTTGTCTTTGCTAACTCATCATTTCTCATAAGAAAATATCAGGAGGAAGGATAATAAATATTTCAAGAATATATAACTTGTTTGGGAATTTTTGTTTCAACTAACGTATTGATTACAAAAATGCCAACATTATAATAGTTGTGGTGTCTTTTGAACAGAAAGCTGAAATACAGTGAAACATTTTAATAGATACATTCAACACAATAAAACACAATCTTTGTAAACTATCAAAGATTAGAATAAAAGGAGGTTTTGGATAGACATGTAACATTTGTTAGTATGTAACATAATGTATTCAGTTACTGGAGGGAGATAAACCTGTGTGCAACAAAAATAAATACATTCCTATTTCACAATCATATTCTTCCAAAGTGGAGAATAGAGTTTCAAACTGTACTATTTTCAGTCCAGAACACAAATTACTATGGAGAGACTAAACAGTCAGTGGACTTTAATACACCTTTACATCTGCTTTGGAGTTAGGAATACACTGAATTATGTTCTAAAACAAGGAAACTTTTCTATTCAAAAGTAACAAGCAAGAAATAATTCTTCTCAAATAAATTTAACAAGATCATATATTTAACATTTTTATTACAATGACAGATCATTTACTATATTTGTTAACATATCTGTCCTATACTCAAGTGAAATTATAATTCTAAACCATACCTTTAATTCTAGAACCCATGGTCTGAATTCATCACTGTTTTCTACTTCTAGTGGCTCAAGTAATGGTTCCCAAACACCAAACATTTCATTGAAATAGTGTACCTGAAAATTAAATGAAGTATGAAAATTAGATTATATCAACTTGAATGAATTGAAAGTGAAGAGCAATAAAAAAGAAGATAAAGTTCATCCCTTACTATATAAAATATAAGGAAGAGGAGGAAACTGGAGGAAGAATGCCTCTACACCAGGGATGGGTTCTACTTACCTTTACTACCGGTTCACAACGCAGCTGTGCACGTTCAAAATAGCATTTTGATGACATCGGGGTCAGTGGGCATAGCCTCCCGACGGTTTTATTACTGGTTCTATAGAACCGGAGCGAACCGGGGGCAACCCACCACTGCTCTACATCCTCTTTTCTGGCTTGTCATCACAGTGAAGTCTCAATTTTGGATGTTTGTATAGGTAGTACTTGACAAAGTTGTAAAAATGTTAAATGGGTCATCATGTTACTGACCCAATTTTGCAACTATTTGTGTGGTTGTTAAGCAAGCCTATTATTCACTATGGGATGTTTGCCAAAAACTGGAAGTAAATGCTGGGTTTTGGCAAAAATGTTGTAAATCATAGTCACAAGACCGCAGGATGCTGCAAACAGCCATAAATGCGGGCCAGTTGCCAAAGGCCTGAAAAGTAGTTGCATGATCATGGAGGGCGGGGGTGGGGGGGCTGTTGGAACTTTGTAATCAGGTTGTAAGTACCTTTTGAGGAGTTCGTTGGAACTTTGAAACAACCATTAAATGACTGGTCCTAAGTTGAGGACTATCTGTATTGTGGTAAGATGGAAGTTGAGAAAGGCACTGAAGATATGCATCAATGTAAATACAGCTTAAGAAATATTATTCTTAGTTTAATGTAGATTATTCAACACCTATCGGGTGGTAACAGAACTTTTTGCTGAATTTAAAATAGTAGGGAAAATGTCAACCAACATATCCCACTGCATAATTATTTTTAAGCAGCCTAAAAGGTGAAGCGTATTTTGAACATTGTACTGACCTCTAGTTCAAGACGTGATGAGAGATTGATTAGACTACTCCAATTTTTGACTTCTCCAGAAAATGAGGATTTTGCTGAAAGCATTGGTACTGTTTTGTGACCAACTCCAGCTTCAAGAGTTATAACAACAGTTTCAATTTTCATTGTTAATGACTCTCCTGTAGGAATTAACTCAGCTACCGAAGCAGGATCTTTGTTTTCAATGGACTCTTCAAGAAACCACATATTTAGATTTTTAATATTCTTCTTATCCCAAAGATCTGGCGGTACTGGGCTAAGATCTTTTTCTGCAGTCTCTTTGGTTGGGAAAAGTGCTGATGTGATAGTTATAACTGTATTTATGATAAAAGGTGACACCTGATTTAAAAAAAAAGAAAATTATGGAGTTTAAAAAATTAGAAAATCAAAAATTACTAAAGTATTAGATATAATTATTTGTTTGAAATAGACAGGAGTCCACTTTAAATTATTATGTAACATTTACTTAATAGATGAATTAAGCTTATAAAAAAAATCTATTTCTATAGTTCATATAAGACTAAAAATATCACTATATTTAGTCCTCTAAGATTAATATAAATGTAGAAATATTTAATATACCTTAATAGTTAGGGATTTTATTGACAGCTCAGCTTTCTGTGGTTCTTCACCTGACTGCATCATATTAAAGAAAAGATCACATGGTTGTAATACCTGGAATCAAATAATAAATAAATTAATATAAATATTTGCATGTTAAGAATGTAAATTTCTTCAGCAAAATGGTAACAGATGCTGCAAAGAAATGAAACAATGTATTTTAGAAACTGATTTCTCTATGATCATTTGATAGGAAGCAAGTAAGCTTCCATGAAGTCAATCTGATGCTATATGCATGTTTTCATTTACATACTGTAGCTGCCACCAGTAATAACAAAAAATTATATACATAATTCCTAATGTCAGTATATGAATTGTGTATGCAGTACTAGAGACATGGTTAGTGATATGGCTACAGATCAAAAGTCTTTTTCCAACAACACTGCAAAATCAGAACAGCAACTTCTAATTATTGATGGTTCTTCCATCAAGCCAGGGAGCTTGGTCCATTTAATTTCCTCTCAGTCATGATATTGGCGTTTTAATGATTGTTTCATATACAACCCTGCTTCCATAGAAATGTTAGTTTTTATTTTTTTTACTGACTGTATGATTTTAAATTGAATTACTAATTGGAAAATGTAATTGACAGAATGAAACAATCTTTAAGGCAAGCAAGCAAGAAAATAGAGAAAGCAATCACTATATTTATCTATCCAATTTACCTATCCCACCATCTTAATTACAGGAGAGAACGTGACTATTGTGTATAGATATTGCTACATATATATAGCCAATCCAAGTACATTGCTTTAACATGAAATTGCATAGCACTACGGCAGATTTCAGTTTTATATCAGGTTATCTTAAAATCTTACCGTGGTAATATTTCCTTTCCTCAGAGCTGGAAAAAATGGACAAGCTGTCACATTTATATCTTCAACAACAGCTGTCATTTTATATATTCCAGGTGCACTTTTTATGGAGATTTCACACTGTGCTGTGGCTACCAATGCAGAAGCATCTTTTCGAGTTAAATCAGCTACAAACACTATATCAGGATTTTTAACAGTAAGATTTATTTCCATTGTAGATGCTGACTGTACAGGAGCTAAAAATGTAATGCATATATTTAGTAAGATTATAAGTATATCTTTTTACTGTCCAATGTGTCTATCTCACTAATTCTTGCTTTTAATTAAAAATGTTGAAAAAATTCATCATAAGACACAAGAACAGTTTTTTCCCAAACGCCATCACTCTGCTAAACAAATAATTCTCTCAACACTGTCAAACTAGTTACTAAGTCTGCACTACTATTAATCTTCTCATCGTTCCCATCATCCATCTCCTTCCACTTATGACTGTATAATTATAACTTTGTTGCTTGTATCCTTATGATTTATATTGATATTGTTTCCTGATTGCTTATTTGTACCCTATGACTATCAATGTGTTGTACCTTATGATTCTTGATGAACGTATCTTTTCTTTTATGTACACTGAGGGCATATGCACCAAGACAAATTCCTTGTGTGTCCAATCACACTTGGCCAATAAAAAATTCTATTCTATTCTATTCTATTCTATTCTATTCTATTCTATTCTATTCTATTCTATTCTATTCTATTCTAAACAATTTTATCGACAGAATATGTAAAATATAGGGAAAACAAATCAGGTTCTGGCAAGACTTAAAATTGAAACAGAAGTCAAATAAACTTTGACAATTAATATAAATCAACTGGTCTAAGATTATGTCAAGTAGTATATTGCCTCCCATATCACATGGTTCTACTTTAATATTATTTGACAGAAGTATCAAATCTGTTTTTCATAGGAAAACATGTCTTAGCTAGATAACCTCCTGTATAAAATTATTGACTTAAGAATGCATTTTTTTTAATTATCAAATCAGTAAAGATTTCATTTCCCGTGTATTCTTAAGAATGCAAGTCCTAATGACTTCACCTACATTTACCTAAATTGTAATTCTTTTATAAGATTTTATGGAGCTGACTTAAGAGTTTTTAGGCATTTTAAAATACAACTAAGCAAATTAGAGTTATTAACAGAATGTAAAATGTTTTTCATCACCAAAAAAAAAAATCCCCTTTCTATGAATGAAATTATGACGATGAAAATATTCTTTTTAATCTTTAGATCTATGTTTGTTATGTGTTTGTGTACCCTGACATACCCATCTGTGTGAGAAACGTTGTTTTTAAAGAATCATTGTTGCCCTATCAAAATGTAACTATTTCCATTAAAAAATTGTAGTAATTGGAAAAACCTGCTGTCTAATAACACAGGGGTCCATGCAAACAAGAGAAGCCCCATCTGCGGAATGCAGGCAGCATGCAAAATCATGCTCCCTCCTGTCCACAGAAAAACCTCTCCATGGAACTAGTCCCTGATGCCCAAAAGGTTGGGAGCTGCTGTAATAAAAGACAGTTTTATAGTCTGTAGTATGTTTTTTCATTCATTTTTATGAATGTTAAAATATTTCAATGCTTCAGCTTTAGCAAAGATTAATAATGTTTATAAACTTCGGAATAAAAATATTTACTGTATTTTTTTGCCTCTATCTTCATTTTACTGCTCTGGATTTAGAATATTTCTGCTTCTTTAATTTCAAGACATGTTGTACACTGCAACTGTAAATAGCTGCCTGCATTTTCCTCTTTTTTCACTTAGTTTAATAAACAATGAATTTCAAAATGATAACTTACTGACTGACATTTATTTCACATGCTTTAGAACACTCTCTTAATTCTCTGACAGCCTCCTCAGAAACGAGGATGACTTGCACAGCAAGGAATCACATAACCCCTTATAATTATATTCAATTCAGCAAAATTTAAATGTAGGAACACTTGAAATATAGCATAAATCTAATTTAAATATAAAATTTCTGAGTAAAATGCTTATCACAGCATCATGCAGACAAAGTTACAGCCTCGTAATGAAGCCAAAGGTATTAATCAGTATCTAAAATATATTGGTACCAATTACTGACCTTGTTCTTTTGTAGCCAGTGTTTGCCTGAAGTTTTTATTTGCAGCAGTGCTTTCAGCATTAGCATTTAGAAAAACTTCTGCAACAGCAAGCAGAAATTCTACACTAGCACAGAGATAGGTTTCCTCAACAATTGTGTCCACAACGGTGGTGCCATCTCTCCCCTGTTTATAGCTTATATTCACCATGACTTTCTTTTCAGATCCATGTTTCATTTCTACCATTCTGAAAGACAAGTTGACAGAATAATAACTTATAAAAGTTTATTATTTATCAATAATAGAAGACTGTATGTGCATAATCTTAAATATAGCTCTCAAATCACATAAAATTATAAAATCTGGAAGTTTATCTATTTTACTTTTTGCTCTGTTTGTCATTCCATAATTATTTAAATGGCCTTTGAGAAACAGATATGCTTTATGCCATCTTTTAAAGCTTTATATACATAAAAGTTTCCTTTCAGAGTTCTAATCTTCTCACATTTCAAACTGTTATTAATTTTTTTTAAAAAAAAATCTATTTTGGCCAAACCTAAAGATTACCTTTGGAATGATGAATATATTAAGTATATAGATCAGGGGAATTGCTATCACTTTTATGAACCTTTAAAATACTTTTAATATGTCCACAATCTTCATTTTTCAGGTATAGTTGCTATATTATACCAATTTTTTAAAAAATATTTTGGATTATATTATTTGGTTATTTTTGTCTGCTAATTGCCTTGAATTTCACAGGTGTGGAAATGCAGAATACAACTTGAAACAATTATATATGCACACATATTTATTAAACATTTTTAACAGCCCACATTAAGGCTTAGTCCAGAAGGCAAGTGAGAAATAATAAGGAAAAAAACAAAGATGGCAGATAAGGGGGGGGAAATAGTTAAATCTACTTTATATTAATAAAGTAATTTAAATACTTTAAATTAATAAAGTATTAATTAATTTATTATTTATTTAATTTAATTTGTATACCGCCCTTCTCCAACAGGACTCAGGGCGGTGAACAGCCATGGTAAAACATAACATATAAAATTTAAAAGCAATTTAAAAACATTAAATAATTTGGCTATCCAATTAAAACAACCCAGGTTAAAACCAATTACAAATTAAAATTGAAGGTATGAGATCAAGGTGAAAAAGATGTGTTTTCAGGGCCCGACGAAAAGTCCGGAGGTCTGGTATTGTGCGTATCTCTGGGGGCAGGTCATTCCAGAGGGCAGGTGCCGCCACAGAGAAGGCTCTCCCCCTGGGGGTTGCCAGCCGACGGCACCCTGAGGAGTCCCTCTCTGTGGGAGCGTACTGGCAGGTGGGAGGCTATTGGCGGCAGAAGGCAGTCTCGTAAATACCCCGGCCCTAAGCCATGGAGCGCTTTAAAGGTGATAACCTTGAAGCGCACCCTGAAGACCACAGGAAGCCAGTGCAGCTCGCGCAGGAGGTGTCACATGGGAGCGCCCAGTCATTCCCATAATCCCCCACGCGGCTGCATTCTGGACCAACTGGAGCCTCCGGGTTTACCCCAAGGGGAGCCCCATGTAGAGAGCATTGCAGTAGTCCAGACGGGAAGTGATGAGTGCTTGAGTGACCGTGCATAGGGAGTCCCGATCTAGAATGGGATGCAACTGGCGTATCAGGCGGACCTGATAAAAAGCCCCCCTGGCCACAGCCGTCATATGCTCTTCTAAAGACAGCCGTGTATCCAGGAGGATGCCCAAGTTGCGAGCCCTTTCCATGGGGGCCAATGATTCGCCCCCAATAACCAGCAATGGCACCAGCTGGCTATATTGGGACGCCGGAAGCCACAGCCACTCAGTCTTGGAAGGGTTGAGTCGGAGCCTGTTTCTCCCCATCCAGGCCCGCACGGCCTCCAGGCACCGGGACATCACTTCAAGGGCATCGTTGGGGTGGCCTGGGGTGGAGATGTACAGCTGAGTATCATCAGCGTACTGATGGAACTCCACCCCAAAGCCACGGATGATCTCACCCAGCGGCTTCACATAAATGTTGAACAGAAGGGGCGAGAGGACCGACCCTTGCGGCACCCCACAGACAAGGTGCCTTGGGGTCGACTGCTGCCCCCCTGGCAACACAGATTGCGACCGGTCAGAGATGTAGGAGGAGAACCACCGCAAAACGGTGCCCCCCACTCCCAACCCCTCCAGCTGGCGCAACATGATACCATGGTCGATGGTATCAAAAGCCGCTGAGAGATCTAACAGGACCAGGATAGAGGAGCAACCCCTATCCCGAGCCCTCCAAAGATCATCCACCAACGCGACCAATGCCGTTTCCGTGCTGTGCCCAGGCCTGAAACCGGACTGGAGCGGATCTAGATAGACAGCTTCATCCAGGTACTGTGGAAGCTGTTGCGCCACCACAGTCTCGCAATAAAACAAAGGTTGGAGACTGGACGATAGTTAGCCAAAACAGCCAGATCCAGAGAGGGCTTCTTCAGGAGGGGCCTCACCACCGCCTCTTTCAAGGCGGCCGGCAGGACACCCTCGCTCAAGGAAGCGTTAATAATCCTCTGGAGCCAGCCTCATGTAACCTCCCGGGAAGCCAGCACCAACCAGGAGGGACACGGGTCCAATAAACATGTGGTCGTGTTCAGCCGTCCCAGAATCCTGTCAACGTCCTCAGGAGCCACAGGATCGAACTCCTCCCAGATAACATTCTCAAGACCTGCCTCAGTCATCCCGTCTGGATTTACCCAGTCAGAGGCCAGGCCTTCCTGAATCAGAGCGATCTTGTCATGCAGATACTGCACAAAATCCCCAGCTCGACCCTGCAAGGGATCATCCTGCGCTCCCTGATGGAGGAGGGAGCGGGTCACCCTAAACACGGCAGCTGGGCGATTATCTGATGACGCAATAAGGGCGGCAAAATAGCTAGATTTTGCCGCTTTTATCGCCACTAGGGAGGTCTTAATATAAGACCTAACCAGCGTTTGGTCGGATTCGGAACGGCTGGTCCTCCAACCGCTCTCCAGGTGTCTTTTCAGCGCTTCATCTCCCTCAGCTCCTCGGAGAACCAAGGAGCTAGGTGAGTTCGGTGCCGGGTCAGAAGGCCGCAAAGGCACAATGCGGTCCAAAGCCCCGGCGGCCGCACTGTCCCAGGCGGCCACCAGGACTTCAGCCGAGTCATGAGCCAGAGTCTCAGGAATTGGCCCAAGCTCCATCTGGAACCTGTCAGGATCCATCAGGCACCTGGGGTGGAACCACTTAGTCGATCCCACCTCCCTGCGGCGGGGTGCAGCGGTTAGAAAGTCAAGTCGAAGGAGCGAGTGGTCAGACCATGACAAGGGTTCGATGACTATATCCCCTGTATGAAGACCACCCGACCATGGACCACTAGAGATAAAAACTAAGTCCAGAGTGTGTCCACCCGAGTGAGTAGGGCCATGAATTAACTGAGTCAGGTCCATGGCCGTGATGGAAGCCATGAACTCCCGAGCCACCTCAGAAGTTTCACCGATAGATGGCAGGTTGAAATCCCCCATGACCAAAAGTCTGGGGGTATCAACCGCCACCTCGGCTATGACGTTAAGCAGCTCAAGCAGAGTCGTTGCCACACGGCAGGGAGCCAGGTACGTGATCAACAAACCCATCTGCACTCCACGGCCCCACTTCACAAGAAGGGACTCACATCCGGCTATCTGTGGAACAGTGGTCTCCCTCGGATCAAGATCTTCCTTTATAACCGCCACCCCCCACCCCTGCCCTGAGCTCTCGGCTGGTGGAATGCGTGGAAGCCTGGTGGGCACACGTCTATGAGGAGAACTCCCACCTCCTGGCCCAACCAACCTCCGTAATGCCTGCCAGGTCTGCTCCCCCCTCCTGAATAAGATCACAGATGAGGGGGGCTTTATTTACCACAGACCTGGCATTGCACAACAACAGCTGAAGGCTCAGGCCCTAAGAGTCTGAACAGCCTGGGGAATGAGAAGGGCTATGGGGACCAGGGCATGCCACCGCTCGAAGGTAGTGAGTGCGTGCCCCCACCACGTGATATGGTCCCCTGCTCCTGCCGTATCTGCCCCTCCCACTCAGCGTAGTGATGGTAAAGCCCTCAGCAGAATGAACACTAATGCCCCCCTTGCCCCCCGGAAACCGCACCCTCCGTGGCCCAACTGACAGCTGAGCCAGATCCCTCCCCCCGTGGGTTAACCCCCAAACCCATACAACCCTCCCGCCCCTTAAAACCCCTTAAAAATCTGTCTAAAAATTTCCCCAGAAAACCCCTCAATCCCCTTTTTGCAGCATGCCACCTCTCGGGGTGCCAAAGCCCGTCACAGAGTGGAGGTTCACACCTGCGAGAGGGGGGAGTCTCGCAGAATAAGAAGCTCTGCTGGTGAATACATCTGAATAATCGGGGGACACCCATGGACAGGGGGTCAATCAAGTTGTTCCAAAATCCGGAAAAGGATATCCAATCATGTCCAAGTCAATAACTCCACTGCTCTCTCACAGCAGTGGATGGAGTCTTAAGCCATTTCGTGGCCAGATGTCAACACCAGCTTAATTAATTAATTAATTAATACTTCTCCATATTCTTCTATCCTTGCAAAACTTTGTCATTTATAGAATATTCATATATCAATTCAAATATTTTCTAAATCTGTTTTAAAGATTCTCATCAACTTCATCTGAACACCACTGATTATGTAGTCACTATTTGTGAGATGGGTGGCAGAGTAAGTTAGTAAGGCCCAAATTGATTTCCAAATTTTGAAACTAAAAATATGGTTGAATCACTACTTTTTGTATGTACTGAAGCACACATATATCCAAATTGTCCTAAATTGATTTAGGTGGCAGAGGTCCTCTACATATTTAATGGTATTAATTCCCATTATTCAATCTAAAGTTCCACTGAGCAGAAATAAGAAAGATTTTTGCCAGTTTATCTATACTAATAGACCCACAATAGTGCTCTAAATTTGAAGATCTTCCAAACAATATTTAAAGTAACACAATAAGTTTATTTAACCCAAATATTTATTCCATCTCTACTATCTTTTGCTGCTGAACCTCCAGAGGATCTGCCCAAGCCTCTATCTTCTCTTCAAAAATATATTTCTTTTTATCCAACCCCATTTTTTGATCTCTTAATATATATTATCCCTTATTTGATTCGTAAGTCTTTATTGTCTTTTCCTTCCTCTCTTCTTGTTTTATTTGTTGATTTATCTGTTCTGTCTTTTACTCTGGTCTTTCTACTATCTCCTCTATTTCCTGTGTTTTATGGTCTTTATTCATTGTCCCTTGTTGAACATTTTCTGATTCCCCACAATGTCATATATTAAGTCTTTTATTTCCCTGTGGTTCTTTATCAACCTATCATAAGTACAGTACTTTGGTCATCAACACCACTTCTTTTTGAAATCCACTCATCTCCCCCTGATGCAACATCTTGTTTTATTTTGATAGGTCCAAATATTGCTCAATAGTCTGTCAGTAGTCTGCCACCACCCCAAAGTCTCAATTGTCTATGACCTCAGAAAGCCAGTTTAGAAACCATTTGCTCAATCCTAGCGTTGCTCCTCAAGGGAATGCAATAGTTATAGTTCTTTGTGTCCCACAGTTAGTCAATTAGTTCCATTTAGGTAATCCAGGAAGATTTCCAAATATCTCCTTAAATCCACTCTGTAAATTCAATCATAGATCTTGGCACTTAAAAGTCGCTTTCTTTAGTCTTCCATAATCTCACAGTTAAACCTCTTATAACCATGAAGTAGACAGATATAGAACAGTAGATAGCACAGCAGTCCTCCAGGTGTTATTTATTTCCACTTTTTCCCCCCTTTGTTTTATCAGTACTTTCCAAGGTTGTAGGAGTTTAGTATATATTACATTCACCAGTAGATGGCGCCTTCAAACTAAATTTCAACATTGTACAAAATCTGACAAATATTTCAGTTTTTTGCAAATAGTAAATATTCAGACAAATAATTCCAGCATTTTAAAATGCCTTACCAAAATATTGCCAATAAAGTTTAAAAATCAAATCTTTCTATATTTTAAAGATTTTGTGCTCTCCTTTTAGTTCCTTTTTTTTCGGGTCTATAATTTTTCTCTCTGTAATTATTTGCCGCTTTGACAAGCATTTAAAGAGTCTCTTTTCCAGGGTTTATTTTCTTTGGGTTAGGTTCTAGGTAACATAAGAATCACCTCACCCAGTTCCAATTACTGTTCATCTACACCACCCCGGCACATTCTTTGTTTCTTCAGCTGCCCCAGCTTCATGGTAGCCATAATGGCTGCCTCTCCTTTTTGTCGTTGGATGGGAGGGAATCCCTGGGTCCAGCTGGAGAGCTACCTCTCTCTGCGACCTGCAGGGTGACCCTCCTTCCTTTGTCACCCCTACAAGGGTGACTTTAGCCCCTTTGGGGGGGGGACTCCAATGAGGAGGATTCGGCACAAGTTTGCAGAGCCCCGCTCCTCGCGTCTGATCTCATTGTGATATCAAACCAGAAGTCATAACATAAGATTAGATGAAATGGAAAAAAAAAATCAGCAAGTATCTGTCCCCCTTCCTTCATCAGGAAAGTCCACTAGATTTCATCCCTTTCCATGAATGCATGTAGTCATATTCCAAGAATCCACACTCTTGATCCAATATCATTAAGCTAGCTAGAACTTCAGATGCAAGTATATTAATATGTAATTTTATAGTGTTTTACATAACTATGAATTTGCACTTACTAATTAAATTTAAATGTTTAGCCTTTTGGAGGGTGAGGAAGAAAGGGTGCCAAAAAAACAAACAAAAAAAAAAAAACAACTTCCCAACAAGCTGTCCCAAGTATTAGAAGCAGTGAAAACTACACATCTTTTTTATATAAGTAAATATTATTTGCATGCATTTAAAGTATCATTTTTTTTATCTCACTTAACATTTGTAAGCACATTTTTTTTATTGCTGTCAGCACAATTTTCAAAATAAAACATTTTTAATTTTTTTTTTTTGGGGGGGGGGAAATGATCACCTTGGTGTAGCCTTCTGTACAGTTTCTCGTTTATCATCTAAGGTGCAATTTGTTAACTTAACTGAAGCATTCAGTGACCCATCTGATAACATCTTGAGAGCAGCAGCAATTAACAGTAATTTAAATTCTGCAAGTTTTAGACTATTATCTCGTTCATCCTTAACTTGAGGCTGTTTTGAAAAGAAAAAAAAATCAATTGCTTAATACATTGCTTAATACAGTAAACAAATAATTCACAGAAGAAATGTACAAATTTCCTTCCTTCCTTTTCCTTCCTTCCTTCCTTCCTACCTACCTACCTACCTACCTACCTTCAAGTCAGCCTTTGCAATTTCGTGGAAACATTTTCAAAATATTCAGTATTAATTCCTAATGAGTGCCTGGATTGGTCACTGTACTTTTCTTGGAAGGTTCTCTGGAAGTGGTTTTCCATTGCCTCCTACCTAGGACTGAGAGGGGGACTGACCCAAACTCATCCAGCTGGTTTTGTGCCTAAGACAGGACTTCAATTCATAGTTTCCAAATTTCCAACTGGGTGCCTTAACCACTGCACCAAACTGATTCTTCAATTTCTCTTATTAGAGGTGGACCTGGGTCGGGAAGGATGCGTGGGGTTGTCCAAGAGGTGCCACGCAGGACAGGGGACGTGCACAGGGAAATGGCATAGATCACGAAGGGCACATGGTAATGTACAAGAAATGGTATGTGGGTCTGAGAAGAAAAGCAGGAAGGGTGGCATGGGTCAAGGAAAGTGCACTAGACAGCAGCACAGGTCAGGGAGCACAAGGGGGAGTGGTATGGGCCACGAAAGATACAAGGGAGTTCCTTCCTCCGTTTCTCTCTCCTTCTCTTTCCAGCAAGCAGGCAAGAGGCTGCTGCTAGGTGGGGAAGAGTGGGAGAACTGGTAACCTGTCACAGACTGTTGAAAATGAAGATCACATGACAGCAGCAGCAGCTAGTAGCACTGAAACAGCCAAATTTCCCAAATTTAATTCCCAGATTTGGGGTGCATTCTATAAGTTAGTCCATTTGAGATACATTGATTCAAAATGAAGAGCCTTGGTAGTACAGTGGTCTAAGGCACCCTGTTATTAAGCTGGTTATTAAGACCAGCTGCCTGCAATTACTATAGGTTCGAATCTCGCCAAGGCTCAAGGTTGACTCAGCCTTCCATCCTTTCTAAGGTAGGTAAATTGAGGACCCAGTTGTGAGGGCAATAAGCTGACTTTATATAAATATACAAAGGGATGAAGGCTATTGCTGAGCACATTGTAAGCCGCCCTGAGTCTCCGGAGAAGGGCGGCATATAAATCAAATTTAAAAAAAAAATTGTTGCTTTTATGATGCACAGTTTCACCCTTAAGGATCATGAATAATCAATAAATAAAGAAGACTAGACTAGTAGTATACAGATGGCATCTTAAGGATAACGAGGAGGGGAAGCTGTACCTTGTACAAGATTTTTGTATGTGCTTATGTATTTATGTGTACTGTTTATTTCCATCTATTCTTCTTTTGTTATCTTAAATTCAGGTTGTCTTTCTTTTAACTAAATAAGAGATTGCCTAAAGTAGATCTGAACAAACATATAGTCTGTTCTGCTGCATAGGTGGTATTGATATGAATTAAATAACAAGCACATCAAAAATATGGATTATGTCCAAATAATTTAGCTTTTTTAATGAAACAAAACAGTTTTGCTTACATAAGTACACACATTGTCTTTTTACTGTTAAAAGCTCATACAGAAGACCAAAAGAAGAATAAAACCTAATTCTTCATTATCCAGCAATTATCACTATAGGGGTTTTTTAATTTCCTTATTAGATTTGAATGGATAAATGCTTTTTCCACTGTGCTGAAAAATTACAATGATTTAATTTCAAAGACTGTATTTTCCTTACCTGCTTGGACTGTGGGCTGTACAAAACTAGAGTCAGAGAATCAAACTGAAAGTCTAGTTTTAATGTTGTTTTTACTTTAACCGAGGAATGCATTTCTACCACAGCTGACGTCACCACTGTTGTTCCAGCTTTAAACATTAGAGACATACATATTAAACATATATACAAAAGATATATTAAGCATCAAAAAAGTGAAGAATTTTTAACCCAGAACATTTTAAAAGAGAAATACTTTTCACTGAATAAATTGTATTACGTACTATTGCTATGAAAAGCTTTCATCAGAAAAATGGCCTGCAGTATCTAAAGTTGTAAAACTGTGTGTCTTAAAACATTCAGATAGTCAGGGATAGTCTTACTGCATGCAAGGAAAATGGGAAGAAGTGTGGTAACCCCATTATCCTTTCACCACTCACCACATGTAAAGGATGACCATCTGTATAGCTGAACTTCTACTATCCATGCAGGCTCCCCAGACGATTGAGGCTGATTGAAAAATCAAGGTCTGTAATCACCTGGAAACCCTCTACGGATAGAAAAGGATCTCTACAACAGATAGTTTCTCTTTATATGTAGAAGGCATAACAAGGTGTTTGGTACTAACATAGTGATTTCTGCTCACAATAAATATGAGAAGAGTATTTTGAATAAACCCTGAAGAGGTTTTTAATCAGGTCTCACTAAATAAATCTACTTCTAAGCATATATACATGCTCTAATTATATAACTATACAACTCTAACACAATCACTTCGACCAATATGAAATATTATTTAATTAATTGTTAAAGAACAAAACAATTATGTTTTACTAGCAAAATAGAATTATCTTAACTTAAAATAAAATACCTCCAGAATGCTGGGAGACACTTGCAGCTCCACTATGAATGCTTAGCACGTCTTTTTTTTCTTGTACAGATGGAGGTTCAGAGCTATCTCCTAAATTTTCATTCAAAGTTCTCAACATTGTAGTTATATCTGCTTCACTGAGAATTAGCTTTAGGGGAAAAAGCAGGTAATACAAAGCATTATTTTTGTTTGAGAATGTTTGAAATTTACAGAAATAACTTCAAATATGACTTTGCAATAAAAGTTGTCCTATGAATGTTTTTGTGCAGTAAAAAATGATTTCTCCTTTCTTTTTGCCAAAATCCCTCATTTCTCTCATTAGCACAGTAAGGTAAAGGTTCCCCTCGCACATATGTGCTAGTTGTTCCTGACTCTAGGGGGCAGTGCTCAGCTCCGTTTCAAAGCCGAAGAGCCAGCGCTGACCGAAGACTCTCTCCATGGTGCTGTGGCCGGCATGACTAAACACCAAAGGTGCACGGAACGGTTACCTTCCCACCAAACATGGCCCTATTTTTCTACTTGGATTTTCTACGTGCTTTCGAACTGGCAGAAGCTGGGACAAGTAACTGGAGCTCACCAAGTGGCATTAGGGATTCGAACTGCTGAACTGCCAACCTTTTGATCAACAAGCTCAGCATCTTAGCCACTGAGCCACTAAGTCCCCTATTAGCACAGTATCTTTGCTAATATAAACAACTACTTAGTTAGCAATTGCCACTGTCTGTACTTTCTGCATTTCATTTTTCTCTATTCTCACTGTTTACTCCTTAATCCTTAAAGTGGGTGTCTTTAGAATATATATGGAATGTGTCAACAGGTGCATGTATATACAGATCAGGAGAGTTCTAAATCCACCTCATGATTGGATTGGCCTTTAGAATAATACCTTATGCCATGGTTTGTGTGTGACCTTTTATTTACTGGCTTATTTACCACTTTTATATGCCAATCACTCTCAAATGGCTGAGAGCAGCTTATAGATACACACAATGATATAAGCGTTTAAATTTATGAAAATGAGTTTATTTTTGTTATTTTCTATTTTTTGCTTTGCTTTTTATCTTTTGTACGATGTTTGAATTTATAAAATATGTGTAATATTTTGTATATTATTTGGTTTTATAACCACAACCCAGGGTTTAGTTTTAAGATGGGAAGTCTTATAAACAAACAAACAAATAAATACAGGCCTTGGCAAAAAATAGATTTTAAGTCTCGGACTAAATCCAAAAAATAAAATAAAATAAAATTAAAAAAAGTGGGTCTGCCCAAAGTCAACCTGGATACAGCACAAGACTTTGTCCCAAAAGTGCTTTTTCACAGATGCTTCTTGGATAAGAAGCAAAACGTCTTCAAGGAAAAACAAAATGAAGTCCAGTTGCCTTTAGAAAAAGCATCTTTGGGACAACCATAACCTGGATGACTGAGAATCTCCATAAACAGCACAAAACCTTATTTCCTAATTTTTTTCTTGCCTTTATAAATTGTTAAGTTGCAAAATATAGCTATGAACATAGTATGACATAACATAGATAATATATTTGTATTCTATTTGACATTAATCATGCTAAAAGCTACTGGTATGTTTTTAAAATATACTTTAGGAATATCTGTGTTCAAATTGTGCATGGGATCAATTTTTGAAAACATCTAAATAAAGAACTTACATTAATTGGCTTGAGACGCCCAAATATGTTAATGTCAGGAATTTCATGATACCAAAGAGCAGCTAAATTGCGTTCAACTTTAACTTCAAGATTTAGTGGCTGCAGTAGTTGTAATTCATTTTGTAATAATCCACTCATAATATTTGATCTGAAAATAAAAATGAAAAATATGCAAAGTGATGCATTAAATAAAATTAGGAACAGGAAAGCGATTTAAATTAACTACAATTCCCTGTAGAATAAATACATTCTGAAAGGTGCAATCCTATTAGTATTTATTTATTTATTTATTTATTTATTTATTTATTTATTTATTTATTTATTATATTTCTATACCGCCTTTCTCCCGTAGGACCCAAGGCGGTGTACAGTTGAGAAAAATATAGACACACAAACATCATAAAATTGCTAATTAAAATTATTACTTAGTTTGGTCAATTAAATAAAACCCAGAATTAGATAACATTTAAAAAATTCATTCACAGAATTCATTCACAGAATGCAAAGTATTGTTACAAAATTATACCAAACCATACATTCCTTCAAAATATACATAATTGGCTTTGTGTATGTCAGAAGTTGTAAGGATTTTATACGCCTTTTATTTGAAAAGACTTTTGATTTGCTCTCTGGATAAATAAATTATGAAACTTCACCTTGATATCTAGCATAACTTTATATTTAACAAGCAAATCAGACGAGGAATTTAAGCATATTTGGAAATAATGTTTATATTAGAATCTAAAATGATTGTCCCAAAATTAAAATTTCTTCATATATCAACTAATGGCATAGCTTATAGCAATGGTGGAATGCATCATTTACTATTTATAATTCACTTTTAATGATTTGAACAATATTAACTATTTTTAGCCTAAAGCTCAAGAGAGATACGTTTATAAAAAATATATATATATTTCATAATAAAGCAAGTTTCTAGTTATATAGTGTTGACATTTATTAGCTTTAAATTTGTTTTTTCTCTGTCCATATTACTATATCTGTACCTGTTTTTATCTACTTATATTTTTTCAAATATATACTGAAGATCAGCTATAAAAAGAACAAAAATATGTCATTTTTGTCATTAAATAATAAAAAAATACTGCTGAGAATTACAGAAAGCAGCTGGAAAGAGGACCAGGCTCTCCGCTTGGTTTTAAGGTTCTTTTAGTTTTGCATTCTTTTCCCGCAACTGAAGTATCTTGGGACTTTTAGCCTTAAAGAAAGGAAAACTACATAAAGAGAAGTCTGGACTAGAACAGGAGATTCTTTTTCCTTTTCCCCAAATTCCCCTAATTATTTGTCCTTGAAATCCACTGCAAATTGCTTAACATTTTTTCTATTTTTCTATGCCCCTTGTACCTTGCAGCTAGGTAAGGATATAGCAGAAAACAATAAGAAATTTGGAACTTTCTGGATGGAGCAAGTTTAGTATCCAAGTTACTATTGCCTTAGAATTGTACATACTGTATAACTAATGAATTAATTTAATACTTCAGCATACTTTGGAAAAACTCAATTTAGATTGCAAAAATGATTTTGAATTAATTATTCTATACTAAAGATTCATTATATTCTTATTGCTTTACTTCAGTACTTGGAAGTCATTGAGAAGTGTGGATTTTTCAGACATACGGGTTCCTAAAGCAAAAATATTTCTCTACTGTCAGCAGAAATCTATACTGACTTACAACAATGGATTTTTGTTCTATTATTTGTCAACATTTAAATTGAGGAGGCAGGTTGTCAAGGAAAAGGACTTTCAAACAAAATACTCAAGGTTTTTGGAGCTATTTTAATTAATTTGAAATTATAAAATAGTTTTGAAAAGGAGAAGAGAAAAAGAATGGCGAGGAAAGTCTGTATCTGATGGAGGAATTAGTTTTTTTCAAAATTTCTTTTTGGTGGTTATACAATATAAAGCTGAGGTTGTTAACCGTAGCACACCACATCATACTCTTCCAATTAAGTTCCTTAGTTTGAAATTATAATTATATTATAATTTATAATTATAATTTAGAAAAATTATGAAACCATTTTAACTTACCTGAATAATTTTAGTTCACTCAGCTTCACACAAATACTGTCAAGAACTGGTGGGACACTGTAACGAAGTTTTGTTTTCACAAGTATAAACTCATTTTTTATGGTGATCATACCAAAATCAGCAACTAAAACATCAGTAGATACCGCTGATTGTGGGATTATGACAACAGGTGCTTTAATGTTAATGTCCAATGCCATTCGGGAACTCTGCTTAGCTAATTCCTTTACACCTGAGGCTGCTTTTTCAGCAGCTTGAACAGTGGCTTCAGTAATTGCTTCCTTTGCCATCTGAAAATTGTTTACAAAAGCCTAGAATTTAAATAAAAAGAGTTCAGCAATAAATAAGGATTAACCCATATGCATTCCAATTTATCATTACAGTTATCATCTTCATCTCACATTTAAGTACTTCAGGAACAAGCATTTTGTTATGTTAAGGAAAACATAGATTTGAAGGAAGTAGGAATGTACAGTCCAATCAGTCCAAACATTTTTGGACCATTTTTGAACCATGCCAGTTCCTCAATGGTTTCCACAGAAAGCATCTTAAGCACGAGCGGAAGTCCAGGAGAGGCCACAAACTGCACACCAGTTTTATCTGACGGAACACTAGCCAGTCAAAGTGATACCTCACCAGAACCAGAAGAGCCAAAAATCCCAAGCCACTCCATTTTATTTTGGTTGACTCACAGCTGGTTCGGCCCCATCCAGAGCCTCACAGCTTCCAGGCACTGGGCCAACAGCTGAACAGTGTCATGGGCCAGTCCAGAATTGGAGATACATAGCTGAGTATCTGATAATACTGCATGCTATGCTGCTGGATGATCTTCTCCAGAAATCTCATATAGATTTAAAGAGGAAAATGAGGCTAGAGCCCTGAAACACTCCACACTGTAGGGGACTTCTCCTCCCCACAACCCTAACTTGAACCAGTCACAGAAGGAAGAGGAGAATCACTGCATGACAATACCACCCATTCCCAACAGCCCAAACCAATCCTGATAATACCATGGTCAATGATATCAAATACAAATGAGAGGATCAGGAGTGCTTGAATAGATGCTCCACCCACATCCTGAGTTCTCAGAAGTCATTCATAAGCACAAGTAATATTGTTGCAGTGCATAGTCCAGTCTTAACCCTGACTGAAAAGGTCCAGATAAACTGCTCTATCCAGGGCATTCTGAAGTTGAGTACCTACCACTCTCTCAACAACCTTCCATCAAGAGATCCAGTTTGGTGTAATGGTTAAGGCACCAGGCAAGAAACCAGGAGGCACTGATTTCTAATCCTGCTCTAGGCATGAAAATTGGCCGAGTCACTTTGAGCCAATCATTGTGTTTCAGTCCAACCTAACTCATAGAGTTGTAAGGAAACTAGGAGGAGGAAGGAGCATTAAGTATGTTTGCTGCCTTGAGATATTTATGTAAAAAAAAAATAAAGGTGAGTTAAAAAAGATCTTAAAAAAGAAGGATGGAGACTAGACGAAAGTTGTCCAACAAACAATGGTCTCTTGAGAAGGGGGCATACATACTATTCTTTCAAAACAAATGACACCATACCATCCTGTAATGAGACATTACTCACTACTGAGTCAACCATATGCCACCTCCCAGGATGCCTTAATATACACGATTTCTTGGGCAGTATTTTTATTTAGAGGACGATTACACTTCTTCCATAAACTAACTTTTCTGCATTATTTTGAGGATTCTATTTCAAAGTTGCACATATCAAATAGAGAAATATTCTCTCTTGCTACACCTATCTTAACCTCCAATGTGCACCAGAACCTCTTAAATGTAGAACTTAATAACATGAGAGTAATATATATAGTGCATGTATTTTTTAAATATAATGTAACAAATTATATTTTAAACTGCTCTCAGGGATAATGCTTAGCTGAAAAGTTGTATTAATAATATACAGTTAACAATATACAGTTTAAATAATCTCTTCTATCAATTGAGTTCAATTGAGTTCAATCTCTTCTATCAATTGAGTTCAATTGAGAATAAATAGGGACTGCTAAAACAAGTTCAGTAGCTTTTTATAGTGTACAGCAAGCAAAACAAATTTACTTTAAAATCATCCAAGCTGTGTGTTAGTTCACAAATATCAGAAGAAATGTTTTGACTTACCAAAATTGCAGAAACAAATTTGTTGACAAAAATAATTTGAATACATCCAACAGTTAAATAAATCTTGCTGTCAACAGCATTCATATTTGTAAAGGAAGCACCATCAGTGGCACATGTGTATGTAATCATTTTTAAACTAAAGACTTCTTTTCCAGTTATATAGAGAGCCTTGAAATAAAAAAAATTCAGTATAAATATTTTAATTTTAAAGAATTATGTGTTTATCAAAAATGCCATGAGAAAATTCTATGGCTCCCCTTCTATTCGTGTAATCCTTCATGTTCATGAAATAGACTTTGATCCAATGAATTAATGGGAAGTTTTAGGAGGAAAATGTATCATCTTCAAATTATACAGCACATATTAAAAGCAGGAAAAGGGAATTTTTTTAAAAAAAAATATCTGTGGTATGAGCTAATTCCTGTCTGTACAATATAGGGACCAATCCAGTATGTGCACGGTAGCAGTAACTAGATATAGAATACGAACAGTAAAGTTAAACTGAGATGAGTAATTTGTCTGTAGTCTTTGTTATAAAGTATATTCAAGGCAACTTTCTTCTCTGATAAATTAAATAATTTAAAGGATCTTCTACTAAATCAGGGACATATAAGTATTTAAAACTGCAAATACACTGTTTTCTATAGAGAGCCTAAAGCCTAAAACACAACTGATCTTTGAATTAGTAAATATCAACACATTAAAAGTACATCTGTACCTTTTTATAAAGTGCTGTCACATCACAATCCAAAATAATTATATTTTTTAATTTAGCAGATATTTCAGTTGTTTCTTTCTTCATTACCACTTGGCTATCAAGACCTACATATAATAAAATTATAAATGTCAATAAAGTCTCATTTTCAAAGCTTTTTCTCTACAATCTTGTTTATTTTTACCTTCTATGCTAATTTCTGAGATCCAGCGTTTCTGTTCTCTTATAAAAATACGTAAACAATTCATGTCTACCAAAAGATGGAGATCACAAACATCCTCATGTTTTGATTTTTTTGAACCTATGGGAAATTAAAAATTACAAATAAACATAACTCCAAGAGAAAGTTGAATTTCATGAGGTGAATATATTGCATTACCACCCAAATAGAAGAGGAAATCAATGAGAAAATATATCAGGGGAAGGAGGCTGTTGACTCTTCTCATCTGACTGCAGTTAAAAAAATACTAATACAACTAGGAACTTCAAAGAATTACTGCTTATATGTAGGAGGGCATTTGGTCCATCTGTTCTCACTATAAATGAAGATTTTATTTCAGATAAATACTATAATACAGCTTTCAACAGAAAGATTTTTTAACTGCTTGAAAGGGATAACTTTTCTTAAATAATAAATGTTTTAGCATCAGACATGGAAAGAATTAATTTTTAAAAGGTATAATTCTCTCCTTATCTCGTTTCATCAACAAAATCCAAAATTGTTTTCAGATGGACACTTGGAACATAAGAATACCTATTAGTCAGCAGTTTTAAAATTATCTTGAGTGATTTAGAAATGGAAATTATTAATCCTGAAATAATCTCTTCACCCCGAATGTGAAATAAGGCTGAAAATTCAAGAAGCAATACAAAGTTTGATATCGAAAAGCCTTACTAAATTTCCTAAGGACTTCTTTTTTTTCTTCTTTTTCTTGGACAATTTCTACTGTATTAGCCTCTTGAGTTGGAAGGAGACTATTTAGAAAATTCATTGTACTCAGAAGTGCTTCTGTATGTAAATGAATATCTATAGAAGAAAAAGTCACCTGAAGAACAAATGCATTTTATTAATATGTTTTAAAAGCACCTTCTGAGATATAGCAATTATATAAATAGAAACAATTATTACCTTTATCAACTGTAGAACATTCTGGTAAGTACTCTTCAGTTCTGGAGCATTAATATCTGCCTATTCTCAAAAACATGACATTTTAAATTACAAAATATTACACAACATAGCTGCAACAGAACTCTACAGATAGGAGATCTATAATCAATTCTCAGTATTTGCTTTGGTAATTACCACACTTTTGGAATAGACACCTCCACCTATTCACATTGCTGTTTATCTATTACCCAATGATAACCTGTCCTTCATAAATGTGCTTAATACCAATTTCAATTCCTTCTATTCTTTTTCCAACACATTTATTCCTGAACAATTAAATAATTTAAACAATTATTTAAACATTAAATAATTTAAATGTCCACAGAAAGTTTAAGGAGATTGAATCCTTTCCCTTACCTTGATGTACTCAATGGATAGAAGATCTTCCACTGAATTATCCAGAGTTGAAATAATATAAACAGGCTGGTCTTTATTATCTAATTAAAGAAACAGTAAGAAAAATTAAAAATCGTATTACGAAACAAATGAATACAGAAAGCCCTCGACTTAAAACGGCCTTGGAAAAAGTGACTTACGACCTGTCCTTGAAGTTATGACTATTGCACCATCCTGCCATAGTGCGATCACAATCAGGTGCTTGACAAACAGCTCCTATTCATGATGTTGCATTATCTTGCAATCACATGTTTGCAATATGCAACCTTCCCAGCTGGCTTTTGAGAAACAAAGTCAATTTGGGAAGTTGGATATGTTTAATGACCATCAAAAAAATGGTCATAAGATCAAGTTTGGTCACAATGATGACTCATTCTATGACTGCATTGACTTATGCCATTTGATCTGTATTGATATATCAAGGACTACCTGGATAATCAAAAGCTATACAAAAAACCAGAATAATTTAAGTTTAATTAATTATAATAAAAGCAAAATTAATTAAAGAGCCTTGATAGTACAGTGGTTTAGTGCACCCTGTTATCAACACAGCTGCCTGCAATTTCTGCTGGTTCGAATCTCTCCAAGGCTCAAGGTTGACTCAGCCTTCCATCCTTTCTAAGGTAGGTGAAATGAGGACCCAGTTTGTGGGGGCAGTAAGATGACTTTGTATAAAAATATACAAAAGAATGAAGGCTATTGCTTAACGCATTGTAAGCCGCCCTGAGTCTCCAGAGAAGGGCGGCATATAAATCAAATTAAAAAAAATAAAATAAATAAATAAAAATAAAAAAAAAAATAAAAAAAATTATATTGAACAAAGAAATTCATGAATAACATCTGTAAAGTATTACTTAGATTGCCAATAAAATAGTTCTTGCCCTATGATCAAAATTGGGATCTGAATATGATCGGGACCTAAGCAATGATATTGTTAAGAAAGTTGTGCCTGATTTTATGACCTTTTTTGTCGCATTCATTAAAATTACTAAGCAAATCTGCCTTTCCCTATTGCTGAAAGTTCCCCCCTCCCCTTGGTAAAGTCACAAATGATCATGGGACCCAGGACAACTACAACTATCGTAAATACACGCCAGTTGCCAAGTGCCCAAATTTTGTCACACAACTACGGGGATTACTGCAATGGTTGTAAGTGCAAGGATCAGTCATTAAATTAATTTTTTTCAATGATATCATAACTTTGAATGGTTGTTAAGAAATAGTCGTTAACTTAAAGACTACCTGTATTATAGTTTCATGAAAGGAACCTACCTAAAGAGAGTAATATCAATTGAAACTTTATCATGAAATTAGTACTATTTCTACTGTTTTATTCATTTATTAAATTTATATGTCACCCATCTCACTATCATAGTTAGTGGCTTATAGTATAATAAAAAGTTAATACAAAGCAATTAAAAAATTTAAAAAATTAAATAACTAAGGTAATAATAATATCAAAGTTTTGTTCCTTTTTGTATGGTTGATTTTGCCTTTGACCATAAAATTAAATAAACTATTGTTAAAATAACAGTGCAAAGATATTGTTTATATCTGTAAACAAACAAAAGCTAGTCTAATTTAATCTAATACAGTCTTTGTTCAGTAATCACTCATTCAGTGACCATTCAAAGTTACAATGGCATTTAATGGGGCACTTAGATGAGAATGGACTTTTGCTGGAAGTCTTCACTAAATATTTCTCTCATTCAACTAAAATAAAAGTAGGGCAAATTGCTACTTTAATGAACTGTTATTTAAAAAAATAGTAGCTTCAATTTCCTCTTTTAAAATAATATATAATACTTACCTATATATTCTGGACACATTAAGCAAATTTCTCTAAGAAAAGCAGTAGCAGTCATGTCATATGTTCTGAGTTTAAGTTCAGTGCCTAATTTTAAAATTTCCAACCGAAGAATTGGCTTTTCAATGTCTTCTGCAAGACGACACACCTGAACAAACACCTATTTATTTAAAAAAGACAGGATGGTTAACCTAATTTTCAATAAGTTTAGGATGGACAGATATCACAGGGCTGGAAATAACTTTCAAGGTCTTCTAGACAATCATTTGCCTTTTAATAGTTAAAACAACCTTTCACTTCTTAAAGATATAAAATGATTAATTTATAAAGTAAGCATAAATCACCTTGAGTTACCTGCAAAGTAAAAAAGGCAGGGAAAAAATATCTAATAAATGAATAAAATATAGTTTTTGAATTTGGGGAATGATACATTTTAAGTACATAACAATGGAAGGAAAAAACAAAATACAGTTATTCCTTGACTTACAACAGTTTGTTTAGTGACCGTTCAAAGTTACAATGGCATCGGAAAAAGTGACTTATGACCATTTTTCACACAACCGTTGCAGCATCCCCACAGTCACATGATCAAAATTCAGAAGCTTGACAACTGATTCATATTTATGTCCAGAGGTCATGTGATCACCTTTCATAACCTTCTGACAAGCAAAATCAATGAGGAAGCCAGATTCACTTAACAACTATGTTGCTAACTTAACAACTGCAATGATTCACTTAACAACTGTGGCACAAAAGGTTGTAAAATGGACCAAAATTAATTTAACAAATGTTTAATTTAGCAACAAAAATTTGGGGCTCAATTGTGGTCATAATTCGAGGTATCTATATAAGTAATTATTTTTTCACCAAAAAAATATTATGCCAATAATTCTAAATTTGTCAAAAGGCTATGAATACATTTCATTGGTTATTAAGTCAGTTAAAGGAAAACTACATCTTTTTTTACTCTGAAGTAACACAATGTAATGAAGTGCTTGTTTCAATCAAAAGAAAATATTTTTTTCCTACACTGAAATAATAAAATACAATTATGTCGTTGTCTCTGTCACAATAAATTCTTTGTACATTCTCCCAAACTGACCGTATTAATTCTTACTACCTAATGCAAGGCCACTGCTACAATCCCAGTTGATAAAAAAATAAACTAAGTTTTTGTCCAAGGAAATGTGACTGAATACTAGTTCCTTTGCTTTTTTCCCGTCTCTCATGCTGTAATCTTTATTTATATTGTAGTTGTGGATCATTTTCCTCAATAAATAAAAGCACAAGTATACTATATTTGATTCATTTGTCAAAATTGGGTTCTCTTTATCTTGTTTTAGTACTTGTGTAGAAAACAGATCACTTATGTAGAAATATTGAAAATTCATGTACGTTCACAAACTTTTAAGCATGACTGTATGTTTAATTATATGTTTCTGAATTAAACATTCAAATTTTGGATTTTTTAAGATCTAAACCAGGGGTGAAATGCTACTGGTTCAGGTGAACTGGTAGCAGAGATTGAGGCTGGTTCGCCGAACCGGTAGCAAGTGCTGGCTGGCCACACCCGTGAACCAGTCCGTGGCCCGCAGCTCTGCAATGCTTCCCTGCCTTCCATGCTGCCTTCCCGGCATCCCCGTGGCCAGTTTGCGAAGGCGGGCAAGCAGAAGGCCACGTGGAAGGCAGGCAAGCATGGCAGGGCTGCGGGGAAGGGAGCTAGCAGCCTACTCCCTTCCCTGCAGCCCTGCCATGCTTGCCTGCCTTCCACGCTGCCTTCCCGGCGGTTCCCACGCCTGCTTGCCTTCTGAGGTCAGTGTCCAACTAACCCTAACCCCCATGCCCTTGGGGGAGATGCAGCGGCTGCGCTGGGGCTGAGAGGGGTGGCGGTACCGGAGAGGAGTGGGCTTAACAAAAAGATACAAGACATGGCAGGGGCAGACAAATAAAGGGAGGGGGAGCCCTGCGACAATCCGAGTCTGTTAGAGCCTTTTTATTCTCCTGCTGCAAAAACTCCCCACAATACCTGAAACGCCTCTCGCATCTTTCAGAAGCGATTGGGGGGGGCTGGAGGGGGGGAGAGTGCTCAGCAAAGGCCAGGAAGACCCAGCCACCCCCTCCCGCCCTCCTTCCCCCTTCTCCTGTCTGGCTGGCAAGAAACAGGATGTGGACAGCCGCTGTCCCACTATTCTACCTCCTCTGCAAAACTGCTCCACGGCTCCGTTCACCTCCAGCACCCCAATGCAATGCCCATGGCTTGCGCGGGACAGACCATGGTGGCTGCAAGGCAGAGATGCTGCCTGTGCAAGGGGGGGGGAGAGCGAGAGTGCAGGCATCACATCAAGCAGCCTTCCTCCTCCTCTTCGCCTCTTCCAGCATTGGGCAGGGCTCGGAGCGGCAAGAGGGAAGGCAAGGCAACCGCGACTTTCTCCTCCTCCTCCTTGCGAGGTTCAATGAGTTTGTTTTGCAAGCTCACCCGAGGTTTGCAACTTTGCACGGCCTTTGGGACTTTTGTGCAGCAAGTCCCCCTCTTCCTCCTCTGCAGCTCTAACGTGGGCTTTTAATTCATGAGGAAGGAAGAGAAACCCTCCCATCCCACCAGAGGACCGATTAGATTTTCTTGTCGCTCGCGGCAGGAATCCAGGCTTTGCTGGCCCGGTGGCCCTTGGGGGAAATGCAACTATTGTGCTGGGGCTGAGAGGGGCAGCGCCGCTGGCGCTGAGAGGAGCCGCTCCCTTTCTTCCTTCTCCCGCCACTGCCGCTGGAGCCAAGACTGCTGCTCTGCTGGGGTATGCAAGGGCAGCCTCGGGAGGGCAGGTAAATGTAAGGCCAACGCTGGCGGTGGGGAAGGGAGACCCACTGTGCTCGGCCAAAGAACCACCTCGAGAGAACATAGCAAGGCTCGCTCGCCTTTTGGGTGTGGCGCGCTCGGCTTCCGCAGGGCCTTTGGGCAATTGCCGCCCTCATACATTTCCCTCCACTGAGGTCCCGCTGCCTGCATCCAGCCCATGATGGGGGGACACACCGCTTCCGGCAGGCCACACCCACCAAGCCACACCCACAGAACTGATGGCAAAAAAATTTAGATTTCACCACTGATCTAAACTGTAAAGTTGGTTAGGTAACTGGTCCAGGCAGCTATGAAATATGTTTTTACTGGTTATAATGTTATTAGATTCATTGGAGAAAGATGCTGAAAATAAACAGATGCCATCCCTTATAATCTATTAAAATTCAACTTAATAACAAAAATTAAAGAGAAAAAAGTGAAAGAAATACTTTCTTTCTGTATTTTCTCAAATATAGAAAACTATTTACCTGACTAAGGTAGTTTGATTACAGCAGTGTAGAAATATGGATGGATGGATGGATGGATGGATGGATGGATGGAGATAGATAGATAGATAGATAGATAGATAGATAGATAGATAGATAGATAGATAGATAGATTCATTCATTCATTCATTCATTCATTCATTCATTCATTCATTCATTCATTCATTCATTCATTCTCAATACTAATCCAGCAGGCATAGGGAAAATTCATAATGATGTTACTAGTGGAGTGAATTAAAGAGAACCAAAAGGAAAGGTAAGAAACAGAATCATGTACCTGTAAGTCTTCTTATCAAAATTGTATCTCCCATATAAAAATATTCATTCACTAGAGTATTAAAGAAAATAATGAAGAATAGCACTGGGATATATGGCTATTATCTGGATCAGTGCAGGCCGCTTTCTACATATGAAAGTTTTACAGCATTTATTGATGAGTAATGTACAATAAAATTTGTAAAAAGTAACAAAAATTGAAAGCCACCAATATTTATTTAAAATTAAACCATGGTCCTTCTGATTTTCTTGTTCCTTTAGCTTGGCCTACTCGTTCCTTTAGTTTGGCCTACTGGAAGTCTTAAATAAATAACTTTGCATTCTGTTGCAGCTCTACTTTTCATAACAATTCTTCCTTTCACACTACCTATTGACAACCCACACCTTACAGTATTTTGGTGATTCCCCTAGTCCTTAAAATGATGGACAGCTGTGAACTCTGGGAAGACAGGGAAATATCAAATGATTTTTCCCCTCAATATCAGAGGGGACACAGTTGTTAAAGATAAATGTAACAGAGTAGTTTTTGTTCAATCTAGTCATATATGTAAGGAGATACTGATGCCAATCAAATTCAGAAATAAAGCAACTATAGTAATAATGATAAAATAAAGACATGAACATACATTTCAGAAAGAAAACATACATAAACAGTTTGACAAACAATCACAAATCTTTAATAGTAAAAAGTAAAGCATTACCTCAGATATTTCAAATCTTAATTGGAAATCAGTCATATTTTTCAAAGGTTCAGTTTTTGCTGTTTTTTTTCGGAAGCTACTAGTTCTACTCAGTGAGCCCAAAGGTGCTTCAAAAAATGGTAGGTCTTCCAAAGGACTACTTGGAGCATCATAAAATTCATCCTCAGATTCTAATAGACAGTTCAACGTAAAATAATGATTATTAAAACATGCTGCCATTTTGACTTATTTGTGTTACATACTGTAGCAAAAACCCAATAATTACATGTAACATAGGCAGATTTTAGATTTATGAGATTCTATTTAGGTATTTGTTTTTATTATTTGGCTTGAGCTCCAAGACCTACCATCCATATCCTAATACAAAGGCATATGAAGTAATAATTCTGACACTATTTTTGAATATTGGAATAAAACTGAAATTATAGTGCTTTTACATAAAAATCGAATCTTGTTTGTTCCAGTTCTTTTCATTTCAAATGGCACAATTTAAAGAAGTTGACCTTTGTTGCTATTGATTAACAAGTGGAAGTCATAAAACACTGCTGACCTTCAGGCATACAGATATTTTTAGCTCATTTCTAATCTGCATAAATAATACATATTAGCCGGATAGAAAAAACTGCATGAAAACACTTATATAAAATAATGAAATTCTGATACATACATACATACATTATCATTATACTATTTTCTTTTGTGGTAACCATTGTTACACAACATACAGAAAATAAGTAACAAAAAGTCAAGAGTGAAGAAAAACAAAATTCTAACTAAATCTAGTTTGCACCAACACAAATTATTATACATGTGTATCTTCGTGTCTTTTTTTCATAGATAAATTTATATATTGCCTTTTGGTATTGCTCTTTTTTTTTCATTCACTCCATCTAACTATAACCTTTAGACTTCCCCTTTCTCTCAACCCATTCATTCTTTTTCATATGCTTTGTTTTTCAGTCTGATCCTATTCATTGATCATTTTTTTAAAAAAAAATATTCTGCATCCATTCATTCTTGACCTTACTTCTTCATGTTTTACCACATACTTAAGTACCAATTTCCACTGCAGTCAGCATACTAATATGATTTATCTGCCCTTGCCAATTCTCACTTCCATATAAAAAAGCAAAGAGAAACATGCTCTTATCACAGCTATTTCCCATTCTTCTGATAAGCATTAATTCTTTGCAACAGATCTCATTACCCAGTATTTTTTCTAACATTTACAAAGTATTTTATAAGTGAACATTGCTAGATTAAATAAACATGAAATGAAATTTACCACTTGATCCAGTTATTGAAAGAGCTTCTAAAAATGGAAGTACTGAGGTTGACATTTGAGGTGTTGTTATCAGAGAAGATGCTTGAAGCTGCAGTACAAAAGCAAAATGTAATCTTCTTTAATTCAGGAATATATTACTCCCTTAGCTAATATAAACATTTGCCTAATTTTTCTGGTTGTTCAAAGTCAGTAAACTATAACATCAATAGTAATAGTAAATTTCAAAATATCAACATACAACAATTAGAATTGTTACAATTAGAATGAGACAAGACTTACAAATCTCCTCTTTTTAAGAAAACATGTGATGCTAACAATAATGCCAACCAGGGAGTAAGTATAATGAAAGATAACGAAACAAAAATTTAATTAAGAAGAAGCAAAAAGTAGTTGAGGGGCAATGTTATTGTTCAACACTTTGAATTTAAGTAATTGTTTTAAGTAAAACAATTACTTAATATTAGGTAAGATATTAAGAATAGATAGAAGTGCTTCATGTATAGGGAGTATGCAGATTTGTACAGAAGGTAGGCCTTCAGTTTCTCCTAATCTTAGATGACCTGGCTGCTCCTTGAACTGAACTCAGAAACAAACCAAAACCCAGCACTGTTTCTCAAAGTAGAAATTGCATTTACATGCTATGTAAATTTGATTTAGACTGTATTATGTACCAGATGAATTTTTCAATGTTTCACAGAATTATCCATATAGTAGGAAGGCAGTCATTGGGTTATGACGGTAATTGGAAACAGAATTTTTCTTTCTAAGTGATGCAGTTGTAAAGCATATGCACAATGTATCATTTAAATGATGGCAATCAAGGTAGTCCTAGTTGCCATTGTTAACTGAAGACCCTGGCTTGGTCCCTCCCAAGCCTCAGTAAGGTAAGAGACTGCCTCTTCTTCAATTCTCCCCATTCTCCCCATTCACTTATCTAGCCGTCGTCTCTGCCCTTTTGGTTACCCTGTACTCTACTGCCTCTGTAAGCTGTGCTCTGCTGGCTCTGCCACCCTACACTCCCCTGGCCCTGCTATCTTGCACTCTGTTAGCCCTGCCACTGCAAAAACAATTACGTATACATTAAGCAAGGTGATAGAACTGGACAGCAGGGCCAGTCAAGCACAGGGTGACAGAGCTTCAGAATGCAAGGCAACCAAAAGGGCAGAGATAGGGGGGATGGAGGATGGGAGATAATGAGAGCAGCCATGCAATTGTAGTACAAGCTGTCAAACACCTGATTTTTGATTATGTGACTACACGAACATTGCAAAAGCCATAACTTCAGGGACCGGGTATTAACTACCATTTGTTCAGCATAGCCATAACTCCAAATTGTTTCTAAACAAGTGGTCTTTAAACAAGGGTTACCTATAATGTAAGTCTGAATGTAACTTGTCTACTAGCTAAAACTGGTGGCTTGCCTACTAGTCAAAATTGAAGGCCAATACCTGAAAAATCAAAGTTAAATCCAGATCCAAAAACATCTGTACACACAAAATCTGCAGCTTATTAGTAAGCTCTAATAAAAATGAACTCCTGGCTCTCAATTGACTATCTAGCCCTTTCTAAATTAGGTTTTGATCTGTTTGTCCATCACAATTCAAAAATTAATTTGAGATAATAGATTTTCTTGGCTGTGATGGAAAGACAGAATTAGAAATTCTTTCTCATCCAGTCAACAGTCCACATGATAGTATGAATTATCAGAATAAAAATAAACCATGTACCCCAGTGGTGAAATACAATTTTTTTACTACCGGTTCTGTGGACGTGGCTTGGTGGGTGTGGTGTGGCTTGGTGGGCGTGGCAGGGGAAGGATACTGCAAAATCCCCATTCTGTCCCCACTCTTGGGAGAAGGATATTGTAAAATCTCCATTCCCACCACCAGCCAGAGGTGGTATTTGCCAGTTCTCCAAACTACTCAAAATTTCCACTACCGGTTCTCCAGAACCTGCTGGATTTCACCCCTGACGTACCCTCAAGCTTCTTTCTCACATCACGGACCTAATTTTAGTGCTCCTATGGTGAGTTCTTGAAACTACAAGAAATGTACCTTAATGCAATTAAATGGATATGACATGGAGGGTTTGTTAAGATCACTATCATGACAAATTCACCACAGCAGGAAAACAGTGAGAGGTTGAAACAATTTCTAAAAATTTGTAATTTTTCCTAATTGCTATTCCCTCGCAATCCACTTTTCTATGCTGGCAAATTATCACAGAAAAAAAGAAAATAAAGGCATTAACTAAATATTTGCTTATATGACTTCTGCTAATTATTTCGTTTGTGCAAAATAAGGAAATATCACATCGATCAAATACTTCATTGTGATTAAATTGCCCAAGAATCTTATGTGTTATAAATGAACATTTAAACTTGCCTTGGAAGGTTGTAGAACAGTTGTGGAGTCAGATGAATTTTTTGGTTTTGGAATGCTGTCAATAAGTTCCAGAATAGATTTTAATTTCTCATCTGAGATATTGAATGAAAGTAATGGCAGCTCACCATACATTTTGTACCTAAAAAAGAAATAACCATTAGAAAAACATATCCAGTCAGGATTCGTGCAGCTTACAATCAAAACAAATAAAAATAACAACAAAAAACATCATTTTAAAAACAAGAGAAATAAAATCATATAAAACCATCATAAAATACACAGAACTCACAGCCCATTTGATAAACCCATTTATCAAAACAATCAGTATAGCCACTGCACCAGCTCCACCACATTTCCCTGTCTCCATGCCCATTGGCAAAACCATGTCTTCAGGGTGTTATCCAGCTTTAGGATAAACTTGGGATATAAATGATAGTTCTATCACAGATAGGCAACTGCCTTCTTGGAATTGGAAACAAAATAAATAAGTGCTAAGATCTATATTGAGATTATTTCACATATGTAAATACAGATAATCCTCGATTTATAACAATTCATTTATTGACCGCTCAAAGTTGCAACAGCATTGAAAAGTTATTTATGACTGTTTTTTACACTTACAACCGTTACAGCATCCCCGTAGTCGTGTGATCAAAATTCTGATGCTTGGCAACTGATTCATGTTTGACAGTTGCAGTGTCCATGAGTCATGTGATCACCTTTTGTGATTTTCTGATAAGTAGTCAAAGGGGAAGCCACATTCATTCAAAACCGTGTTACTAACAGCTGCAGTGATTCACTTAACAACTGTGACAAGAAAGGTTGTAAAATGAGGCAAACTCATTTTTTTAAAAAAATTGATTTATATGCCGCCCTTCTCCGGAGACTCAGGGTGGCTTACAATGCGTTAAGCAATAGCCTTCATACTTTTGTATATTTATACAAAGTCAGCTTATTGCCCCCACAAACTGGGTTCTCAATTTACCTACCTTAGAAAGGATGGAAGGCTGAGTCAACCTTGAGCCTGGTAAGATTCGAACCTGCAGTAATTGCAGGCAGCTGTGTTAATAACAGGGTGCATTAAACCACTGTACTACCAAGGCTCCTACTTAATTATCCTGCTTAATAACAGAAATTTTGGCATCAATTGTGGTCATAAATTGACGACTACCTATAATCATGAGTATGAGAGCGTGCATTCAGTGGATGATACTAAGTTAATGAAAAGAAAAACTGTGCCATTTCGGGTATCCCCAAGTTCTATAAAAGTAGCAAATGCATTATATATGCATACAACTTTATAAACTAACAACACAACAGGATATTAAATATAGAATTGATATACTACAAACTAATACTAGATTTTGTTGTTCTAATCATCTGTATTATGAAAAAAACAAATTAAATATATTTCTGTCTCAACTCAAAAAGTTGTCCATGCAATTTTTGGAATATCCAACACGCATGGTTATTACCATGATTCAGTGGCCTTAAATATAAACTAAAGTGCTATATTACTAGTCTATAGTATTCCTGGTCTGCTACTGTAAACAAATGGCCTCTCTCTTAATTTACAGAAAGCTTTGAAAACCTAGCTTTGGTTTATTTATTATTATGGCTGGTCACACAGTTAGCAAGATATTTAGACAGGATTTGGCATTTTGGTTAAAGTGCAGTACTGCAGGCTACTTCTGCTGATCACTGGCTGCCAGCAGTTTGGCAGATTAAATCTCACCAGGCTCAAGATTGACTCAGCCTTCCATCCTCCCAAGGTTGGTAAAATGAGGACCTAGATTGTTGGGGGCAATATGCTGACTCTGTAATCTCTTAGAGAGGGCTGTAAAGCACTGTGAAGCGGTATATACCATATTTTTTGGACTAAAAGATGCTCCAAAGTATAAGATGCACCTAGCTTTTGGGAGGAAAACAAGAGGGAAAAAATCTGCCTCTACCTCTGAGCAATTTACTTCCTTGCAGCAAACAGCATGGTCAGCTTCAGCACAGCCTGATTTAGCACGAGCAGCTGATTGGCGGTTGGATCTGCCTCCTGGAATACCTCCTATCAGCTGTTCCAGGCTGCGGGGATCGCCACCATCATCACCGCTGTCACTTATCACCGCCTCCACGCGCCCCATTTTCGGCCTCTGCGCATCCCGTTTTCAGCCTGTTCCAGGCGGTGGGGATCGCACCGCCGCCTATCCCCGCCACCTGGAACGGGCCAAAAACAGGGCGCGCAAAGGCCGAAAACGGGATGCACGGAGGCCAAAAATGGGGCACACAGAGGCAGCGATAGGTGACAGTGGCAATGGGCGGCAGCAATCCTCACAGCCTGGAACAGCTGATAGAAGGTATTCTGGGAGGCAGATCCAATCGCCAATCAGCTGCTCATGCTAAATCAGGCTGTGCTGAAGCTGACCATGCTGTTTGCCACAAGGAGGTAAATTGCTGGGAGGCAGAGGATGAAGAATGGGGGCTGGCGGATGGGCGGGGCTTCAGCAACTTTAGCTGTGTAAGAAGCACAGTCATTCCCACTTTTTTGGGGGGGGAACTGCGTCTTATATTCTAAAAAGTACGGTAAGTCTAAGCGCTATTGCTTTCGAATTCTTCCCAAGGACCTTAGAAAGGCAGATATTGTTCTTTGATGGTGTTATTGCTATGTTTATTATTTAAGGTACCTGTTTTGTTTTGTGGATTTTGTTCTTTATGAGATTATTTAATCTGGGCTGTCTATCTGATTTAAACTTTTTAGCTGTTTTCTTGTTTTGTACACCACTCAGAATCCACTGAATTGAGGGGTGAATTAATGAATGATTGAACACTTCTCTATGTAGGGCAAATCATCTACCAAGGTAACCATAAGAACAATCCGATACCCAGGCATGAGATAAATATAGATAATCCATGCCATAAACAAATGTGAGGAGGAAGAAAATACAGTGGATAGCTTTCTAGCTTGCCAAATGTGGCAAAAAGATCATAAAATGGGGCAAGATTTACTTAATAAATGTCTCATTTAGGAACAGAAATTTTGGATTCAGTTGCGATCATAAGTCGAGGGCTCTCTGAAGATGATTTATCTGGCAATAAAATGACGTTACCATGAAATAGCTACCCCTGAGTAAACTAAAAATCTGATCTAGGAGGTAGGTCTAATCTTCAGATTTGATCACCTGGTTCAATATTCTCCTATTTTTTGGTACCAAGTGGTCAATTTAAAAGCATGTCTATTGGATTTACTGGTAGAAGGTCAACAGATATTGAAGAAGTATATAATCATAGTCTCCATCAAATGAACAATACATATAGTAACAGTAGTAATAGTAATAATACAAATAGTTATAATTGTTGCAGTAATACTTGGGCATTCTTGCATCTGTTACAACCATTGCTCTGTTCAGTTCCATTTTCACATCCAGAGGTTGCAAGATATGTTGAGATGAGGATTGTAACCTACGAGCCCCCTCCCAGTTTTCATCTAGAAATGAAAAAATATTTCTTGTAAGAAACTTCAAAAAACAATTATATTACAGTACAGTAGATGCTTTCCAAATGTTTTTCATCAATTTTAAGAAGCTTGGCTACATCAATGCTGATGCTAATGGAAAACTACAAAGAGCAACTTTACACTAATTTTAGTGGCATCTTTATTGTGGTGAACCCAATAGATAGAAGCAGAGGAATGATAGGATTTGTTTGAGCTTTTAAAAATCAAGATTCCCCTTATTTCCCACTTGCTCTGGAATGGTCCCGTGTTTCCTATGAACTAGCTTAGGGGGTAGAAAGCCTTCACTGCAACTCTCATACTCTGTAGGTAAACCATGTCCAGAAAGACACTATCCCTCCTCAATATCCTAAACTGCCTGGGTGAGCCTTGGTAAGATGACTTTGTTGTTGTAGTTGTTGTTGTTTACCAGACCTCCCAGCCTAGTTTCTTGATCTATTGCCCGATGGTTCATGTTTCTCCAGTTAGTATTCTAATAATGGAGGAGATTCAGCTCAGATGTCTGCTGCATTCTAAAAGTATTAAGTGCTTCTATCTGCACTGGCTTCTATCTGCACTGGCTTCTATGATGATCCTGGATTTCAGAGGGGCCCTGCTATGAGTATAACCTAGTGGTGGTCTTACTACAGGGTGTTGCTGCTGCTGCTGTTGGTTTCAATGTCAATACTGCTGCTTGCCTCCTCTGCTATGCTCCAGGCATTAGAGGATATCCATATTTTGATTCCACTTGAAGTAGAAAAATAGTGTCTGATTCTTTGCTATGGAGAGATATTTTGCAATTTGCTTCTATCGACTGAACTGCTGGTTAGCAGAGTTCACCACATTTGCTCTTATGCAACTTTTGTTATTGGCTATGGATTCTCTAAACCTTAATTTCTTTAAAGCTATGAAAAGATCCTTTTTTGGTTGCTATTCTCTGCAACAATAAACAAACAGTCATTGTTGGAATTAGTACAGTAGTCACTGAACCATTATGCCCAACTACATAACATACTCTTATTAGAGAGCAGTTTGGCAGACAAGAGCTGGGACAGATGGCTTTGCCCTCTTCTGTCAGGTTCTCTGAAGCAGGTAATTGATGATGGTTCTTCCAATTTTAAAATCATGCTTATCTTCTCCCAATTCTCAATACTTATTCAGCATAGAAGTTAAATAATGGAAGTGTATACAGTCTTCTCTCACTCTTTGCCAGTCTGTTTTTCTGTGTACTGTTCAAATTATGGCTTTCTAATCTAGGAATAAGTTTTGCATGGAGACAATGAAATGTTCTAGGATTCCCATATTTCTAAGAACATTCTACAGTCTTAATATGATTGACACAATCAGTGGCCTAATATTATGAACTAACCTAGATGAATTTGACTCTTATTTTGTGAAGAGAACACTATGTTTAGCTGAGCCTTAATGAGATGATTCTCATTGAAAGTGATAACTTGCTCAAGATGACATAAACCATAGGGAAGGGAAAATTTACATAGCATGTTAAACAAGGGTATTCCATGTTATTCCTTAAAAATCAACAAAAGTTAATACTTACAATGTCTGCTATAAAGTAGCTGTATGCTACTGAGTTGAATGTCAAACCTATCATATGCTCTTGACATAATATCTTCAAGAGCACTTTCGCCAACTTTGATATCTGACAAGGTAGACCGACATTTACTACTCATCTTTAAAAAAAAAAACCAATAGAAATAGTCAATACATATTCCAAGAATAGGTTACAAATAAAGCGAAGGGCTCTGTACAAATCAATCAGGGAATACCCTGAACTACCCTGCATAGAGCATTGTTCTCTACATAGAGCAAAATCAGGAATGTTACTCTCTTCACCTCATCTTGCACTTCTTGCCTCCTTCAGCATTTCTCATTCTATTAATGTTTTGTCCCTCACCCTATAGCCCAAAGTGACTTCGTTCCTGTTTTTTTTCTACAGATTAAGGTCGGTCAGACTGGTAGATTGGACTGAATCCTTGGCCCAAGGTTTCCATAATAACTGAACTTTTGAAAATATCTAAATTGCCAAATACTGTTAAATCTTCAAATTATATCATCACATGTATATTTTCAAAACTATGGAAATTAATGTACATGATTTAACTGAATTATATAATATTCTGTGTGTGTGTGTGTAAAAAATCTTCTAAATCAAATTTGATTCCTGTTTAATTCAAGACAGATCCATTTTCATGGCAACTGTATGGAAATAGTTTGTCACTGCTTTCTGCCCTCTGTCCCCACGTCTAGTTTATTGCCATATTCCCAAATCTCCCAACCAGGCAGTACCCAGGCTAAACATGGGCCTGAAATGAACTCTGTTAAACTCAGATAAGGTCAGCCAATGGTTATAAAATAAATAACATAAACATAGAATATAAGCAATTTTTTTTGGAATTTGAAGGAGTTACCTTTAAGTGACCTAGATCCAAAAGCAGTTTATTTGACGTAGTTTCATAAAATCCATTTTGTGGAACAATGACATAGGAAGACATAAGATTTATTTTTAAATCTAAGACCTTCTGGGTTTCTATAACATACACTAATCCTAGACAAAAAAGTCAAAAAATTGCATTAGTAACCGTTTCTTGGGCTAGATTCTGCTCCTCACACTATGATAGCTGTTAGTATGAATTCAGTGTGTGTGCATGTGTGTAAAAATATAGTTTACCTGTAGCTGTCTTGTCACGAAATTCTTCCAATTTTGTTAAGGTTGCTGAAGTTATTTGCTCTAAATGAACATCACTTGGGGGTCGGAAGAAATCAAGTAAACTATTCACGGTCATCTGATAAGTATATAAAAGAACAATGATGTATATTCTTAATGTAGAATGTGGTTCTTTTTAAAACTTAATTTGTAGAATAAGCAGTTTCTACTTACGGCATCATATATTATTTCCAAAGGCTGTGACTCTATTATTAGTCTCTGATTGCAATTCTCATCTAAGGGATTGGTTTCAAACATTATCGTGAAGAGTGATGCATTGTGCTGTGAATGGACTGTGTGAGAGGACAGCAGACAGGGTACTGTTTTTTTCTGAGCCATGCCCTGAACTTCAAATGCACTTACACTTGATTCAAATCTGAAAAATAGAAACAAAGGATATACATACATAAAACAAATACACAAATGCATTTAATATATACACCACACACACACACAAAATATTCTACTATATAAAAGAAGTTACTACGAAGTTTTTGCTCTATGTTCTCATAATGTAATAATCAGAAAATTACAATGGGAAATATGAAGGATTTTGACTTTTTTGCCAATTACATTTTTCTCACCTCGTTGAATAGGATCAAATGGGAAAAAAATCCATTTACACAAAAAAGAGGTCTTCACTTATTTGCTGCATTTATATCTTGCTTTTCTTCCAGGAGATCAAGGCTGAATGGTACCTCCTCTAAATATTTTTCATCAGAACAACAACTTGTCTAGTATCTAATTCCCTGACCAAAATCCAATGTTAGAACTACTACTTACTACGCCATACTAACCCTCGGGTAGTTTCTTTAGACATAGATCAAATATCAAATAACAAGAATGAAACGTATTTTGCATGTCTCTTTTAATTTTTTTTTGGTATCTTCTTAAACTTTTTGTAATGCCCTCAAAATGTTATCTTTCATAAAATATGTTTCAAGGTTCTTCATGTGAGGAGGAAAAACAAACCTGGAAAAAAGCTATCAAAGAGCACAAAACCAGAAGGAAAACCATGAGGACAGGGCAAAGCCGATACAGAAAGAAGGTCACACATGGCCACTCACCCAGAGAAAGGCTCCAACATTTTAAACTATATTTCTATTTACCTACCTTTAATAAATGCCTACCTTATTGCTTCAGCACCAGGACGTTGTGCTACTATCGTACGCAGATCAATTAATGCAAGTTTTATCAGCTCAGGCTTCTCCTTGTTTTCCCTGATTAGCACTGACATGCTTATTAATTTTACATACAGCTTCACAGCTTCATACTATGGAAATTAACAAAAAATATCATGAACTGAAGAACATTTTAACCAAGCATTATTAATGATTACATCTGAAAGTCAGAAAATTAATCATTATGTATGAGAATGTCATATATGATGATTAATTTTCTGAATTTCAGATGTAATGAACTAGACTGAACACACAACACCAAATATAAGAAAAATGCCTTCTAATGGAATGTGTTTTCTAAGTTACTGGTAATTATTTAAAATGATTTTTAAAATTAATAATTCTAATAATAACTTTAAATAATTAAAAGGTTACTCAGAATATTCTGACGGGACAACACAAATAATCCCTCCCTTCCTCAAAGAAGATTCTCCTTTACTCTAATGGCAATTAATCTCAGTTATGCACCAATTAATATTTAATGTTCTAGGAAATGGATTTAGGACAAAAGCCTACGGGCCCATAGTTCTCATGCGTCCTATCCCAACTACAAAAATCTGGTTCATTTACGCTTCAATATGCAAACAAGCAAACAAACAAACAAATTATTTAATGCTTAGGTCTATGTATTAATTTGTACTCTAGATATCATTGTTCATTATAAGATACCATTGCTTTTAAAAGTCCAATGTTTGCTGATCTATCCTACCCAAATCACACCCACCGTTTTTGGCAATGTTGGATCGACAGGAGTTTCACTATATCCAATTGCTGCATAGAGTTTATCTTTTTCTTGTGGAGTCATGAACTGTTCAATACCTGCAATATCAAATTTTACTACAGTAGATAAAAACAAGCACATTTTTCATATGGTATCATTCTATAACAAACACACTGCATAAGGGTTTCAGTATTTTTTTTTTACAATTACAGCTTTGTCAAATGCTTAAATCTACTCCATTAGTGGAAGCGACTTTACCTTTTCTAATAACTAAAGGTACTACGATAAGATAGTTTGGTGTTTAATCATAGTGAAAGCTCATTCCAGCACTACGCAAATTGTTAGATCAAAACTGCCATCTTTATACCTTTTGGTTCTTGTTTTGTTTCAACACTTTTTCCTCCAGACCATCCCCACATCCAACTAAACCAGCCACCAGAGTCTTCATCATCTTGTTTAGCACCTGGTTTGAAAATCTTTAATCCAGCTTTAATAGCCTATTATGCAAAACAAAACAGAAATTAACATTACTAATTGTATGACATCAAATTATTTATTTATTATACCAGTTATAAAGAAAACCTAGCAAGGTGCCTGGAGAAATGCAACCTAATCTGAGCATCTCTTTAAATGGGTAAAGCTGAAGCAGGAGTAGGGTTTTCATAATATAAATTCATACTACTAAAAAGTAGTAACTGCTATTTTAACTTTGTGCATAAGATTAAATAACTCTCATTTTGGAGCTTCTTCTTTGAAAAATATTATCCTGTAGTTGATGAAGAATTTAGGCAATCCTTTTCAAGTTACCATTATATTGTCAGAATCCAAATTAAAGTATCCACAATGGACAGATGACTTTCCAGCTCCTGCCTCAGCATACTCAACAGATTTATAACCCTGAGAATCAGGAATCCTCTCTCGCCCTTCAGGCTTCCCCCACTCTTCCTTAGAAATCCAGCTTCCCCCTCTCTTTCTTAGAAAACCATCTCAACAAACTCTGTGGAACAGAGAAATAGGAAATCCAGGCGAGCCAGCTGGATCCCTTGCCATCACCATTATCTCTTTCTGAAAACATGTACCCCCTAGTTGCAAATATTGTCATCCAGATCCTGCAGTTCTTAACCACCTTATCAGCAAAGGTAAAAAGTTCAGGAAATTTTTATAATGCACAATAATTAAATGGAGGTGGTCACAAAATGTGATCGTATGACCCCAGGACATTGCATTATTGTGTCATAAATCTGAGTCAGTTGCCAAGTATCTGAATTTTTATCAGGTCACGGAAATGCTGCCATGTTCATAAGTATGAGAAAAGGTCATAAGTCACTTTTTTCAGTGCTATTGTAACTTTGAATGGTCATTAAATGAACTGTTGTAAATCGAGGACTACCTGTATTAATTTCATAATGGTTGTTTCATAATGGTTTTACATTATACTTATAATTTACATTATAAATGCTGAAATAAAGACACTACATTTTGTACAGTGTAATTTAGAAGACATTTACCTCAAATTCTGCCTGTTGTCTTGCTAGAGTGATGTTGAATATATCTAAAGTCTTCTCTAGATCCTATAAAGAAAAGTATGTTACATACAATACAATGTATTTATTTAAATATATTTCTACAGTGTTTCCATCATTAAATAATATGGTTGTAAAGTGTAATGTCATGTGACTGCATTGCATATTGATGGCAGTCTTGGTTGCTGTTGTTAAGTGAGGACCTCAAGGGTCATTATGTAATGACCTCACATGACCATAACTTCCACGTTCCTGCCAATGACTTTGCTTGTGGGAAACTAACAGGGAATGTCTTGCTACAACATTGTAATCATGAGCTAGGTGCCATTTCACAATCGTGTGTCTGAAGGGATACTGAAAAGGCCAAAGGCCAAAACTCCAAGACTGGATATAAGTCCCCTTGTTATCCCAAAGGTGCTTTTTCAAAAGGCAACAGTCTTTCCAGCAGTTCCAAGAAGGCTCCACATCCATTTGCACTATTCAGGTGACTCTGAGGACACAGACAAACCTCCAAGTGGCTTCAATGACTCTCTAAAAGAATGCAAATGACCAGTTGTCTGCAAGGAATATAAATCCTTCCATTCCCTACCATCTAGTCACAGCTGAAGAAGCTTCTTGGATGAGAAGCGAAACGTCTTCAAAGAAAAAACAGAAAGTCCAGTTGCCTCTTGAAAAAGCACCTTTGGGACAACCATGACTTGGATAATTGAGAATCTCCATAGACAAATCCCCTTGTTATGTATGGTTGCAGGTTTGAGTGATCAAATGAATCAAATGAACATAAACTACCTGTAGTAGAATTTTTAACAATCAAAGATTCATAAATTGCTATAGCATATCCTCTACTCTAAACCAAGTACTATTGTTCCAGATTTCAGTCAACCTGCAGCAAAAATCTTGGCATCTTCTTAGAAAATTAAGAAAAAAATATTATATACTGCCAGCGAGCTTCCCTTTTTGACATGATAAGATTCAAATCAAGCAACCTGCAATCACAATATAACAAGCATCCCCACTCCTAGCATGAATTATACCAATAATTTTGGTCTGTTTGGAGGCCTAAATCTCTGAAAGGTTTAGGGTATCTATTTCTACCATCAAAAATCCCAAAATGCCAAGCAGATTTTTCTCATTTCTTGTTCCAAACGCCAAGAGATATCTTAATTATTGTTTAATTAAAACTGGGAGAAGCTATTTTTGTCCCTATTCCCTACCCAGGCCCCTGATATGCATACATAGTTGGAATCTTCATCACAATTAGTTTTGGCATTCAAAATATATAGAAAAGACAACTGGGAAAAAGAACCTTCCCTTGTTCAACTGAGGAAAGAACTGGAGAAAAGAAGATACACTCCTTCCTGAAAAGTGTTCTCTCAATCCAATCAACTAGACAACTTCTACCCAGTGGATTATCTCTTATAGTCAGAATTTATGTCTGGGAATGGGACAGAAGTCACACTTGCCAGCATAACCAGGATGGAAAAGGGAGATCTCCTGCTTTTTCTGCACCTCTCAGATGCATTTAGTACCAATGACCAGTGTTCACTGGTACTGCTTTTGAGAATTGGGAGGTAGATGTTACCATTTCATACCATTTCCTGAGTGAGTGAAAGTAACAGAATTGGAGTTAGAGAGAAGTTAGTAATAGCTTTTTTGCATTAATAGTACCATACATTCCAGATGATGGAAAGTAAGTCATCCATTCTACCCTGTCCTGATCAGGCCCATTTGGAACACTTGGGATGGTAACTAACTGGCAAGTTCACAGGAAAGCTTCCAACATGGTGAAGGGAGGCCAGAAATAAAATCTTGTTGTATATTGGATATTTTTAGGCCACAGAACAGAAAAGGGGATAGCATTTAAATATTTGAACTGTTATCCAAAAAAGGGTTAGACTAGACAGGATAGGACTGACCAATGGATGAATGGAAAACCACAATGAAGTAGATTCAGGAAAGCTGTCAGGAAGAACTTCCTGTCAGCCAGTGGAGGTTTATAAATAAATATGCAATCCAACATTATATTTTAGAAAACAATTTGTAGCTTGTGATAAACTTAGTGATTTAAAACCTCTAACCTCCAACATAAACAAACTCTCTTGTGTAACCTTCTTTGAAGTTATTTTTATTTTATAGAGCTCTTTATAACTTTTCACTTGATTCCTATGGTATCGAATATGTTCCCAAGACCACATTTGTAGCTTAGGTTGGACGTTTACTTCAAGAATGCCTTGTGTAACATATCGCCACCTAATAGAAAAAGAAAAAAATGTTAGGGCATAATATTACATGCAAAATTAGTATTTTTAAAAAATTATATTTTAATAAAGCAATATTCATAAATTAATTTATAATTTTTGATTCTCTTCTCCAAAATACAAAAATTAAATCTATAACTTTATTAATGGGTACTTATGAAATTCTTCCCTATTAAGTTTCTTTGGGATTTTGAGTTCCAATTTATGAGAATATTCTAACAGAAAGACCATCAGAATTGTAGAAGTTTCCAAAAGTTATTGGATGTATACCATTTCCTGGCATTGTTGTGAACAGGAACCTCTGGCCTATATTTTCTATATGGTAAATTCCGGGTCATCATATCAATTGATTCAAGGAGTTCCATAATACTGAAATACTGAAAGAAAAAAATGCAAAAAGTTATTTACTACTAGTATGGTATAATAATTAAAACAAAATGTAAACAGCATTTGCCTTAAAAGTTACATTATTTAAAGGTCGAATATAGTTAATGTTAAAAGCTTTCATTTTATACTGACAATGGAGTATTTAATTTTGAGTTAAAGTAATAATTATTCCAAGAAAAATCTGTTCTTTGGCAGATATATTTATTTCAAGTTGTTCGCAAATCAATACTGATACAAATACATGATTAAAAATCCCCATTGCTATATGGAAAATGGTGTAAAAGTAAATAATGTTGGGAAGTATCCAGTCTATGCCCAACAATATGGCTAAAACTTCAGGAGTATGAAAAGTCCCATCCTTAGATAGCGCTGTAATTGATTAATTAACTGTGCATTTGAGTTAATATTGACTCCTTATGGTTGTGTGACAAGGCTACAGTTTTCTTGGCAATATTTTGGAAGTGGTTTGCTATTGTCTGCTTCCTGTGCACATTTTTGACACTTAAATAATCTTGATATACAAACCTACTCAAATGTAAATTTGGGAATTCTTTCAAGGATTAATGAAAACTATAGTCTTATAAAAAGATGCAAATAGAACAATGAGAATTTAATTCAGGAATAAAAAAGGTTGCTATAAAAATCTAAATCATTTATGCAGTTACCTGTGGTTTATTCAGTTCAATGGTTATATCCTGAAGATTTACATCCAGATCTAGTTTTGGTGCAGAAAAGTCAACATCAGATCGTGGATTCATACGGAGCTTAGCTTTAGCTGAAATCGGACGGAATACTAAAAAGCAGAATTTTAGATAAAGTTAATCAAGAAACAAATAGGTCATGCAAATAAATTATTATTTTTTCAATATTATATGGATGCTCCTTATGGAGGGATATGAAAACAAGATTCACTTTTTAGGCACCAAAGTGAAAACTACATTTTATAACCAGTTGCCCAATAGGGACAAGGCTATGCTATGTTTGCTCACATGTAGCATTCTGGAGAATAAAATAAAGATTTTACTATAATCTCTATAAGCACTAAATCACATCAATATTGTAATTTAATCTAGTGTGATAATGTAAAAAAGGTGGAATTGTACCAATAAAATGTTAAGTTCAGTCCTAGATACTTATTTTAGTGCCAAACACTATCTTACAATAAAACCTGTTTTTCTTTCTTTAGACCTATAAATATATAGAGTTTTCAAGGTAATAAATATCTCTTTGTATTTCATCTAGAAGTAAATCAGCAGTCAGTGTAACATTTTAGGACAGACATAATATGATCCCCGAGTTCCTTAAAAAACTAATCTAACCACAATTGTCTGTGTTAAATGAAGTTTTTAGACTAAATAAAAAGGTAGCTCCAAGAGGAAACTATACCTATGCTTAATGTACTCCACATACAAGTTTGTTAGGAAATATTAAAAACTTACCAAAACTATAGCCTTCTGGAATCACATTAGTGCTTGCAATTCCATATTTTAAATGACTCTTTTTTGGAGAAAAAAATTGAATTGAAAATTTATTCACAATAAGAATGCAAAATGCAATATGAACCAAAGACAGTATTTTTCCCAAGCAATATACTGATCAACATTAAGTTAAAATACAGAGACTCAAGGATATATCTTACACAGGTTCAATCATTCTGTCTATATCATGCAGAAGAGGCTCCCAGTTTAAAAATGTGGGAATATGTATTATGATAATTCAGTGAAATGTAAATATTAAGTCACCCTTAGAATGTTAAATCACAATAGGCGACTGCCTAAATCAGAAGAAAATAGATAGAACTAATCTGACCTCTGATCTCTGTTCAGTAAGGTCTGATTGAAAAAAATATCATGAGGAAAACAAGCATTTCCACTACCACCCCTTATTTAATGAAGAATTAAAAGTTATGATAAAGCACACCACTTTAATTTTCCAAACATAGATCCTAATGAAGCAATTCATTAATAAATCCCGAGTAACATCAGGTCTTCAATTCAAAATATTTACTGTGGTTTTTGGTCAGAAAATATACATTCTTGATAGTTAAATAGGCATAATATTAATGAGCATTTAATATACTGCTTGGGTTGTCTGCAATTGCATGTCCCAGGATATGACAAGATTCTAAAATATTTCACTTACTATTAAGGTTTTTGGTTGACAGACTGAAAATTTCCAAGAAAACTGAAGAAAAGTACTTATACGCTTATGAATAAACTGAAAATTTTAGATGCAAAAATACATCCCCAAAATTGCTTTTGGCTTGTTTTCTGATGAGTTTATCCATAAGTATATATAATACTTTTTAAAGTACCTGTATTTCTGGTATAAGTTCTCAGATAAGCCATCCACTAATAGGCTGACACTCAAATTTTTAACCAAAATCCCACAAAAATGGATAATTTGTAGATTACCTACAAATAAAACAATTATGAAAATTTAAGCATATAAAAATGTGAAGGTCAGCTTATACATGGATGATACATTTTTCATAATAATTGGATTTAAAAAGTTAAAGTCAGCTAATATGTATATAGATGACCTTATATGTATGTAGATGAGTTTATATGGGTGGGTGCCATGGGCAGGTACTGCAGGTGGGCTATAAGTAACTGTGGGTGGATGTCATGGGTGGGAATGGGTGCTATGGCTGGGTGGCAGTGAGAAAGCTGTAAATTTTCGTCATGTTACTGCAGGGCAGTAAGATATCAGGAATTTTGAGGACCAGTCATAAACTCATTTTTTCAGTTACATTGTAACTTTGAACAGTTGCTGAACAACTGGACATAAAATGAGGACTACCTGTATACGAATTCAAAAACGCCAAACCTAAATTCCAAATTTTTAACCATTTAAATATTTTTTTTCCTGTTAAAGTGTAAATAATTTTCTCCATTTTTTTTATCTTGTATTTTTATTTAGGATCCCTAACAAACATTATTGTACAATTTGGAGTAGGTTAGCCTTAGTACAAAATTGGTATTAAAATCTAAAATGACTTTGATTTTGATGAAAGTTATTTTCAATTTAGCCTTATAATTCTACACTGCTTTTATTTTATATTATTTCATTGTTTTATTTTAGGTCCATTTACTGTAGGACCATTTTACAATGAAACTGAATTATTAATAAATGAATATTTTGTTGCTAGACAGCTGTACAATATTTCTCATACAAATCTCTGATTTTTTCTCTTGATTTAATGCCTATATTAATCTTCATACATAATACCTATTCCCAAGATCAGCTGAAAAGAGAAAAAAGAGACATAAATTTGCAAAGTGCAGTGAACCTTTTTTGTTATGCCTTTGTGTCAGTTTTTGATTCCTGGCAGTTGCCTTGAGTAGTCCCTGAAACTTTATTGGTAAGGTTTTCCAGAAGAGGTTTCTCCTTACCTCCTTCTTAGGGTTAAGAGAGAGTGCCTGGTCCAAGGTCACCCAGCTTCCTTCGTGCCTAAGGCAGAATTAGAACAGAGTTTCCTGCTTTCTAGCCTAATATCTTAATCACCATACGAAACTGGTTCTCTCATCAGTAGTGCTTCTTGAAAAGTTAACTAACACAAGACTACAGCATTAATGATCTTTTTTTTTAAGCTTAAAAGGATACGGTATAAAAATATAAATGAGCTGTAATTTGTTTTGGACAGAACATACTTGAAATGATGTATTAGCTTTGTCTACTCACCAAAGATTCTTTATAGTCACCATGATAATACATTTCAGACTTCACATTCCAGTATGCAAAGAAGTTGTCCAATCGAACTAACTGAAATATATATATATATATAGGAATTACTGAATATCATATTAAGGTTATCATGGTCTAATATCTTATACGGGGGGGGCGCAGAACTGGACAAGTTGAGATGAAAACATGTAATACATATTAGTTCTCAGTTGTGGACTATGACAATCAAAGCCAAAAAGGATACCTGTCCCTTGTATTTATTTTTAAATATATTGTATTATAGATGATGAAATTAACAAACAAAAATAAAAACAGCGGCAACAGAATTAAAAATAATCACAGTTGTGTTTTAAAAGATTCATGGAATTATTCTCTGGCCATCAGGAATAATATTGGCAAAATGTGTCAGAAAATGGCTATTAGTATGTCCTAGCAATACAAATGGGGGAAAAAATGAATATTCTACAAATGAAATTTGAATAAAACAACAATTCATCTGATGAATAAATCACTTTATTTTATCTAAAAGGAGACCAAAATTTCAAACAGCCCAGCAAGATAATATTAAAATAACACTTAAAAGTATATCTGCTTTAACATGGGGTGGACAGGACAATACAACATTGTATTGTTTCATTCAGTTATTTTTATTATTAGTGACCACACTTTAGTCAAAATTATTGTAACTCTTGTATTTCTGGATTGACTTTATTTAATTATTATTGGCCACAGTTCCATTGAAATTAATTTAACAGTTTTATTTGTTGAATTGTCCTATGGTGAGTTTGCTGTAGCAAGTTGGCTGCAGCGAGTTTGCTGTGGCAAGATATCCCATTTCATTTTCAAATGTTTTAAATAATTATATCCATTACAGCAATAGTTCTCAAAACCATGGCTTGGAATTCCTGGGACTGTCATGAGCAGGTTGGTGTGTCACTGTGATTTTTCTTTAAAAAGTGACCAGCCTTCCACAAGTAAAGTAGAACGTGGTCATAATTTACTCTACTCTTCATTTTGTCTATGTAAGTCCCAGTGGACTACTGCAGCACAGCAAAGTCTGAGAACTCTTAAAATACATAGATTAAAATATAATTACTGAAAGTAAGAGGTATATTTATTCCTTCTTCAATCCTAATCCCAAAGCAAATTATCTTTACTTATGGGTGCTGTCACTCATATATTTACCTATCACTTTAACTGATCATGATACTGAAAAAATTGCCCTATGGTTATTTTGAAACAATAATTAAATCATTAGAGATATTAACCAATATCTAAGAGTAGGCATAAATGTTTAAGAATATCATATATTAACTTGCATATGATTCTATCTTAAAGCATCTAGGTAGTTCATGAAGAACAGAAGTGCTGGATAACTAGCAAAGTAATTCAATGTTAAGCATGAATTAAATGAATTAACCAGAATATTTCTAACATATATTATGGTAACTGAGAAGTATGGAGGCAGAGCTTCCAACAGTACGTACAAGATGTTGGAAGGCAAAACAAGGCTATATTGTTTTTGCTATTATAACAAGGTATCAAACACTGTGGCAAATAAAATGGTTTGTCTCAGTGATCAATTATCATAGATTTTATGAAGTTTTAACATAAAACCTAATGTATGGGCCTAATGCATACCTACTGCAAGTACAAAATCATTTCATTACAATGAATGAAAACAAAGATGATTTAAATACACTTTCGGTATAAAGTCCTCATAATTAACACAAGTAGAGAACAAAAGTAAAGTATTCAACAATACGTTGATTTTTTTAAACAAAAATTATTATTGGAAGAAGAGAATGCAAGTCATTAAAAATTCCTTTGAATTGCGATAGTTGAGTATGGTATATAAATATTAAGTATATAGTATTATATAGCATATAAATACTAAGGAGGCAAGGGTGTTGAAAAAAATGAAAAAAATGTGGCCTGTGTGTCTGTTTTTCTTTGTTATAGACAATAAGGAACAGGCTCTTTCAGCACACACCAAACCCTTGGCCTTCTCACAACCTTCCCTTCCTTTCATCTTTGCTTTCCTATTTATGAGACTGAAGAAAGTTCTTGTTTGTGTGGCAGTTGAAAAACAATTGTAAAAAACATATAGCCATTTCCTCAGATATTGATGTTTACCTGATTTTACTTCCTGAATTCAAAACCAGCTGAAACATGGACAATCTTTGGATCAGTTAAAAAATGGGGTTGCTATACTTTATCTCTTATTTCTAGGTTTATGAGAAAAGTAAAGAAATCACTATAGTTTCATGTACCAATGGTCTATGAATCATTAACTTGTTATCACATTTTACTAAGCCATATAAACCATGTAATAATTTCAATTTATTGATCAACTTTACAACTTTAGAGTTCCTGAATAAAAAGCAGGATATAACTCCAACAAACAAACTTTTAGTCCCTTCACTGTGTCAAAATTACCATATGCACATAAAAAAACTTGCCATGTAACAATTCAGTGTAGTTGTGATTTAACTGTGCTCAAAATGAGATTAATTATGTGAAACAAACAGCAAAGAATGAAATCTCCCTTGTGTTTTACATTAATACAAACTCAGAAGGACTCTCACAGCACATTCTACTCAACTGGATTTCCACCTAGAACTCTACCTTATAGAACAATTTAGTGGTTGCATCTTGAATACATGGATTCCAATCTTGATCTGAAGTCTGAAATAGAAATTATTAGAAATAGAAGTTATTCTGACATTATTTTATCTATTTATGAGATAAAACAACATTAAGATTTTGCCCAACTGTCATCAGGAGCACCTGACTGGATTTGTGCAGTGTTCCATATTTAGAAGTAAAGTCTGAACAAAAGAATCTTAGTCAGTTCCCAAGTATAAAAATAATCTTTCTGTGGAGACCACCCAAATTTCAGATCTTTTTTTTTAAATAAATAATGCAAACTATTTTATTTAATATTCAATATTTATTCAATTTAAATAATAAAACTAATTGTGCTTTAAAGCTATGTCTTTTAGACTTTTGAAGTTGTCATTTATCCCTGAATTATTAAGATTAAAGAGGTTACATACATATTAAGACACTCAAAAATAGAAACAAGTTTTAATTAAAAACCTGAGCAATGATAATACCTGTAAACTAAAATTTTCGAGTGAGATACCAAATGACAATGGAATATCTTTATTTGTGATCTGCAAAAAAAAAACCAAAAAAAAATCACCAAATATTTTTCAATATGCAACAATATAATATTGATATATACAGTTATACAACATGCAGGATGTAAAATCTGTGCCTTATAATAAAAAAGACATTTCTTGAAATTTCTCTATGTAGAAGTATTGATTTTATAAATCAGAATATGAATTGCTATGATGAACTTTGGGTTAACTTTGCTAAACTTTGCTAAACTTTGTATCTTAATTATATGTTTCAGCCTAATATTCCCAACATAGTATCCTTAATGTTCTATTCTACACATACTTCTTTATGTGTACATATTTTAGATTAGCGTACTGCTGCATAAAAGAGTACCTTCCAAATCTGAACTACATTTGTACAATTACTATGGGCTTCAGGCAGAGAAAAACTGTGTTTAGTTTTAAATCTAAGGGTAGGAATTTATATAGTCATTAGTTCTGCAATCCACTAAAACCAGAGAAAGAAGGGAGGATTCAAACGTTATTTGCTCAAAATTTCCCCAGCATTATACCAGTACTTAAATAAATAATTTAATATGCAACTTTGCAATTATACCATCATTGAAACTTTCTCAATTATGATGCAATAGACAAATAAAGACGGCAGACTCAACTTTCTTCATGAGTGAATAGAACAAAGATTATCCATCTATACAACCATCTGAAGTATCATTCACATTTTTACAACATCTGAATATTCTATGCACATATACTTACATCATCCTCATATCGTATATGGATGTTGGAAATTTTCAATTGAAGGTTTCTTATAACTTGAGTAATTAGCTTCTCTATGAAAGTATCTGGCTTTTCTTGTGCTTTATCTAAATCAAGTGAATGAATACTTTATATTATTAAGCAATGGAGGCTACACTTGATTTAGGCAGAGAAATAATATTCAGAATTTGTAACAGGTAATTCCATATATTGTTTTATTTATATATTCACATAGAAACGGGTACCAGAAATAGTGTAGGTAGAAATTAAATAGGAGCTCCTTTGAAGGGATGGATGCAATCACCTCTTTTTGCAACAACAGATGTGTGCCTTGTTAAACATGGAAGACTAAGAAAGGGTGCTTAGGTCATTTGATGTAATCATTTGAGATGACACAAGCAGCCATACTATATGAGACCAAAGTGTGATGGAAGTTGGTCAGTCAAGCCTAAAATAGGGGGGAGAGGATAAAGAGAAGGGTGAAGAGAAATGAAGTCTCAAGACAAAGGATCACTGGAATCCTTACAATAAATGGTGCTTCAGCTGAGTGAAGTGAGCTGAGATCTTCTATATTACATTTGTTACTGAAATCTAACAGGGACAAAGTTTGTTGCTGACTGAAGCAATTAAAGGGCTACAGTTGGAGCCACACTGGAAGTGACTATGTCTCCTGCAGATGTAAGGAATCAAAATTATTCAGAACCTCAGTCTACGATGATTCAGCTCCACAGCATTAGAAAATAATAATAGTCAATAACTAAATTGGCAGGCTGCAACTATGATTATTTGTGATTCCATAGACACTTAATAATTCATTAAGTGGGTCAAAGGTCTACTGAAACCAAACTAAATTATACCTTTTAAGAGACTTATCAAAGGGGCAGCCAAACCTTAACATTTCATTTAACCAACAGCATGTATCCTATGATAAAATACTTACATTTAAGCAAATGCTAAATATATAAATCATAGGCAAATAATAAATAGCCACAAATATAAGTGATGGCTGCACAATTCTTGGAAATATTTTGATATATTTTGAATAAATTGCAATTCTATATTGAATATAGAATTCAATATAGAATATCTGGATTTGGTATTAGAAGCAATCAGCATGAAATAAAACACAATGTATTCTGCATTTCAAAAGAAAGCAGCCTCAACTATAATACTCTGCTAAAAGTTTTAAATGGATTTCTCAGTTTTAATTTCTAATACAGTAAATATTGGTAGATATAATGCACATAAGCCAAAGCTCCTTTGGTCCTGTATCATTTTTAAGAATGGGACCAAAATATTTGAGAATCACTGGCTTAAAAGAATGAAAAACAATTACAAGCCAGTAACAGAATTCAGAATCCTAGAAACAATTTGGTTTTAAACAATTTAGTGTTTAAAACAAATGCAAGTTTGTTTTAAACACTAAGCAAAATGCTTTTGCTGCTTGCTGCTTGCCTGTAGAACATTCCTAGATGGCTCCTGAAGAGAGTCAGATGAGAAGTAGAACCTTCTTTGGAAAGCTTTTTGCTGCTTGTCTCACCCTCTTTACATCCTCTCTTTAGGACTCCTGTAAAGGCAATCAGACAAGCAGCAAAAAGATTTCCAAGGACCCAGTTTCTGCCATGGCTGTTTGCTGCATGTGTACTGCCCTAGTCACTTTTTCTTTTTTTTTCTTTTTTCTTTTTAAAAAAGTTTTTCTTTATTTTTTTACACATACACACAAACATACAGTATATCTTTGCTGATCAGAGTATTTTGCCGGTTAACAAATTTAAACATTTTTTAATTTTTATAACTAAGATTACCATTTCTATACTTCCTTTTTGCCATAGTGTTCAATTTCATCTCTTTTTTACCAATTTTACCCTTCATTTTCATTTCTAATTTTAACCAAATTCGAATTTTCCTTCTATTTTATATTAAATCTCAATCCATCATCAAAATAATTAATTTTATGATGTTACAATTGTTCAATTCTTACAAGAATAGTGAGCCCACTTATTTTATAATTTACATTTTCTTAAGTAATACAGTCCAACATTTTAATATAATCAGTTACTTCTATAAGTATCTTTTCTGTTTGTATATTCAAACATTTAAAGAAAGAAAGAAAAAACAAAAAACAAATCAAAGCATAGCTGTTCCAATTAATTCCATTTTCATACATCAAATAATTTCCCTATAATTCCTCCAAACCACATCTTAATCATTTCTTTTATCACAATGTATCATTAAAATTATTTCATCTATTACAATTTCCTCAATTAAATTTACAAAGTCTTCTGACTGTTGTCTTCTACTTGCTTCCCCTATGTATTGTTTCAACTTCTCAATTATTTTAATACACACCACCATAAACCATTAACAGTATTTCAGTTATTACATTTTAAACTTATTCATATTTCTCAAATAAGAAAAAAGAACAAAACTCATCATTATTTAGGTTTCAAAAGTATAAATGATAATATTCCAATTGTTATACATTTCATTTTCACCATAATATGCTTTATCATTATTGTTTCTACAGTTCACATTTCAGTTCTAAATGTATACCTCAAATTTCTCTTCCATTTCCTCCTCCTTTTTTCCCTTTTCAATTTTATTTTTACCTTTTTCTTTCCCCTTATTTCCTTATTTTTCTTTCCCAGGGAAGAAAATCCTGATCCGGATTTTCAATCAGAAGTGTTGCAGCGAGAGTTGGGGAATTTGCAAGCTCCGATGGGCTTTGCAAAAACCCAGACTGACGAACTGTTGCCAAGGGGTCTTCGGACCGGAACCATCCTGTAGGGACAGGGGTGAAGGAGAGGCACCTTGGAAGACCAAGTGGAACAGGCAAGTTCCTCGATGGTCAGAGGTAGCTCTCTAAGACTTGGTGGCGGGGGTGGCAGCCATTGCGACTGTCATGAAGCTGGGGCAACCGGACTAAGCGTGGAGCAAGAGCGGCGATTTGATCGGAGTTATTGGAGCTGGGTGAGTGTCTGCCAACTTATAAAAAGAGGGAAATTTTTTTAAAAAACTGTAACCCCCAGCAAGAAAACAGCGGCTAATAAGCATGGGGGGAAGAAAAGAGGACATTGGAGTTTATTTTTAAAACAGACAAAAAAAAAAAGGATCTGAAATAGAAAATTGACTTTTGAACAAAACAATTCAGAAAATAACTTGGAAACTTTTAAAATGAAAGAAATTATCTCAAGATTGATTAAAGGATTGGAAAGGAATGATTAATCCTTTTTCTCTCCTCTTTCTCATGAACTTTAAGAAAAATAAAAAGAAAATGGAAAACAAACCTTGTTAGAAGTGCTGTATAAATAAAGGCAAAAAGGAGAAAAAAGAAAGGAAAAGAGTTGCTTAAATTTGGACTGAACTACAAAATTGACTTGGTATTCTCAAAGCTAAAAAGAAAAAGAGAAACTAGTTAAGATTGTTAACATACTGAAACAAAATGGATACTTGTTAAATAACTGGAAGTTGTGGATTGCAAGAGAGACACCATCAGGAGTAAAAAGGAACATTGTAACTTGGTCTGTGTTTTGGAAAATCATGAACTTTACAGATAATAATTGTGAGAACTTTTGGGGAGGATCCCTTTGTTTGCAAGTGGCTTGACTTTGGGGGAAAAAAAGGAACACTACTGAACTTTTAAAATTGGAACAATATTGACTTAAAAGGAATAAAATGGCACAGGAAATTAGAGAAATGATTAAAGCGATGTATCTGTCATGGAAAATGAAAATAAGAGAAATAACTACAATGATACATGGAGAATCAAAATTTGAAGACATAAAAATGAAAAAGAATATGTGCAAGCTGATGAGGAAACAAAGAGGATGAAACGATACACAGAGTCTGAAGATAAAGACGACAAAGAAAATGAGATCAAATGTGAAAATGTATTTGAATATGTGAATAGTAATAATAAAAAAGAGGTTTTTAAAGATTACATTGGGATTAACAATGAAAGTAATAGGGAGGATATAAAGGATATAAAGGATTTAAATGATTACACTGGGATTTACAGTGAAAAAACACAAAAAAGAGGAGGAGAAAACATAGGACAGAAGAGAAGAATCCAGAACTTTTATATACAGAATGACAATATTGGATTAAACAGTGGGCTAAATAGTGGTGAAATAAAAAAGAGAAAAGAGAGAGGGAACAATGAGCAACAAAGGGCAAAATGGGAGAGACCTAGTCACTTTTTCTTTTGAGTGGAACTTTTTCTTCAGCTCCTCAATGCAAGCTTCAGAAAGATTTTCTTTGCTCCCTTCCTTCCTTTCCTCTACTCTTCAGTCTGGCAGTCACTCATCAAGATAAGTAATTTACGGATTCTTGTCACCTTCTTTCCAGGCATTCGGTAAATTTAGCAAATGAGGTGAGAAAGGGGATCAACATTAGAAGACAGAGGCGGAGAATTTAGCTTCAGCACCTAATTGGTGGAGGAGTGGGAAGAAAGATCAACAAGTCTGTCGCTCCCAACTTTTTTTTCTGTTTTCTTTATTGAAGAAATTAGGTTTTGGCGGGAGGGAAGGCTTAAGCAAGGAAAAGGGGGAAAGCCTCTTTTGGGACACCTCTCCTGAAACTGCCACCCTTGCATGCAGGCAGCTGGCTTTTCCAAAGCCCAGCAAGATCCAGGAGAAATCTGCAGTCTCCCAAAGACCAGCTGATCTGGGCAGAAAACTCCAAAAGCAGACACCATTTCCACAAAAAATTGTTGGAGTACTGAAAATGGTCCTGGCATGGAGAGCAGGCCCAAGCACTGCAGGATCCCAGTAGGATGAGGGGAGAGATGGGGGGGCACTATAGTATCACTGCGGTTGGTTGTAAGGGAAAAGGACATGGTGGGTGCTGCAGCCACCATAACTTTGAAACAAGATTATATGTAGCTGGGGGAGGGAGGGGGTCTGTCATAACTTCAAATGGCTATTAAGCGACTGATCATATCTCAAGGACTACCTGTATTTTGTAATTCTTTTTAATTTTACTGCCTTCATATTGATTTGCTTTTGATATGCTTTATTTTGTGAGTCATTCAGTTGGAGTTGGAATTAAAATTGAATGACTATTGCGTCTTTTCTTACCTTTGTCAGCAATCTTTTGTTTCGCATCTTCAATTCTTTGCAATTCCTTTTGCTTTGCTTCCAGATGTTGCTTTTCTTCTTTTTCAGCATCATATTTAATACCTAACAGAATGGATTACTTTAATAATTAAACACAACTAGATTAAATCAACATTTGAAATCGCACAAATACAAAATTAAGTCCTATTTGACTGTACTTACATTCTGTATGAAATATATTTAGTACCTATTCTTTGTACACATTCTGGCAGTAAGCAATAAGTCATCTTCCTTCAAGAATAAAACAATGCACTAAAATAGTTTTCCTCTGTATAATGGGTGTGTGTGTATAATGGTATGTAGGAATGAGATGATCTTTGGAGATGGATAAAGAGCTGTAGGCTAGACAATTTGCACGTAAAATATTTCTCAACTCACAGAAGGAAAAGGGCAGAGGCAGCATTTCAGAAAGAACCCTCCATAGTTTTCCAGAGAGTAAAAGGAGAAATACTTTTAGTCTTTAAAAAAGGCTGTTAATGTAACTTTATAATGAAGATGGAGTTAGTACTTATAGTTGTGGTTGTCTGGAGTACCTTAAACAGCTAACAATGTACGTATGCATATGTGCACATAAGGTTCAATAGCCAAGAATCACAGGACATTTGCAGAATGTCCTATGTTCAGAATGTAAGAGCTATGAGAGGCAAGCAGGCATTTTCAATATGTTGTGAAGAATGCAAAATATATTATCGAATATTCAGTACATGACAAACTATCTTTAAAAATTTCACCAAAACCTGAAAGTTTGAATTTAGGTTGAGCTATTTTGTCATTCATTCATTGATTTGTAAACTGGATTATGCCTTTATTGCATAACTATTTATGCCTACTTCTCATTGTTTTACTTTATTGATTTACAAAGAAACCTCTTTTTTGTAGCATCAATTTATCCAGGAAATTTTGGTGAAGAATTAAGGACAATGTTCTTTAAAGTATTCTAGCATTCTTATAAAAATTCTAAGCTTGATTACCTGTTCTGAATCAGAATACAGTCTTTCGGAAAGAACAGGGGTATCATTTGGGAGTTTTCTTTTATTCAAAGATGTTGTTAGATGCATGGGGGGGCTTTATTGGCAAGAATCAGCTATGTTCAACTTCAATTGATGTTTCAGATATAATCTTTTAATGAATACAAATCTATTTCCATTGAACTATAGTCACTAACTTTCTTGTAGCTGGGCTTTAGTGAAAGATTATCACTGAAGGAGGTTCAGAAGCTGCAGGCTACTGAGAAAATAGCTGTTAAAATCTTGAGTAAGGTAGCTAAATAAAACCATTGGAGCTCAATCCTTAGCCTGTGAGCTACTAGACTCAATTTAGGGAGACCAACTATCCAGCTCTAAACAGCTTAGGACCCATTTTATTCTGGACGGAAGTATGAACAGATTCAAATGATTAGATATGTTTGCTTACCCAGAAATTGTCCACTAGACACATTTAGGATATTAATTAAATCAACAAATAACAATACTAAGTGCTTCTTTTTTGCCAACCACAAATAACCTCAGATTTTAAACAATGATAAACACCAAAAACCAACTATTTTTTTTTACAAATATATATTTAACTTGAAAAGGAGGTTTGACTCTCAGTTATTAACGTTGAATATGTAAATCAGACTATTTATGGGTACTCAAACTATTGCATGATTAAAAATATAGAGGCAAAAATTGTAATGGCTAAGTATTATTTTATATATTTATTTTACAAAGTTCAGTTCTATTTCTTAATAAACTTACTAGCTGTAGGTACTATAAGCAGGTAAACTTCATCTAAAACAGCTTCAACTGGCTGAGTATAAAGATTTTTCCATGGTATTTGCAAATTTAGCTGACCTAAAATAACAAAGAAATAGTCATTTTTTAAAAAAATTCAACCATATTTTTAATTACAACTTTTAAAAACATTTAATATTATTAACATTTTCTACTTCAAAATATTTCCAAGTCTCATATTTAACCTTAAAGATTAGTTGTAAATTATACCGATAATTCTATTAATCTGGGTCAAGCTAGGTGGTTACTCCTCATCTTTTTTGCTTGGAATTTAATATAAATTGAATTCATATTCCTCGTAATTTAAAACATATCATGCATATAATTTTAAAAATTGTGCAAATATTACGTAAAAGAAAAACACACTTTAGGGATGGGGAAAAGATGCTATGCACTGATCACCTCATGCACAAAACACATTAATTCTGAATGGTGGTATATTTCATCGAGACACAGACCCTTAATGTTTCATCTGGAGACAAACCTAGAACATTTAGGCCATTTAATGCAGTAATTGTTCCAAGATGTGGAAGGGAAGAAAAGGGGATTATAATATGATTCAGTAGAGTAGGATAGCCACTGAATGGAGGTAAGCAAAGGAAAATGCAAGAAGATTAATGGGAGGAACAGGCAGGTTTGCTGGCAGGTTTATGCAGCATTAGGTGTGTGTAACGAAGGGAAAACAAATAATGGGAAGATGGGAAAATGGGAGTAACGTACACCAGACTTGCCCTACTTTTCCCACTAAACCTCTTTTGGAATTTCTCAGCTGAAATATAAAATATACAATACTTTCCACCTTTTGAGTCAGCTGGACCATGGCATTTCCAGAACAATCCAGCTGAATGTTCAAGCTACAATGTACTTGTGATGATTTATCATTCTCCCATTACCACTAAATGTTTCTAAAACCATAGAATTTGAATATAAACCTGAAGTTTATTTTTCCATATATGTATAAAAGCACAATATGGCATTACTGTACCGATGCTTGCAGTAATTTGCTTACAATTTGGGAGGGGGGAGGAGATCAGTGAAGTTTTTTTCATATATTATTATTTGTTAAGTTTGTACACTGTCCAATTTTAAATTATTTTGGAGGTTCACATCTAACAACCGTAAAAGGAATAAGCAATAGAGTAATAAATAATAATAAAAGAATGCAAACTGGTAGGAGCAAAAAACAAATCCACACAACCAAAAATGGGGCTTCAATCATGCTTGTCCAAGACTTGGCAAAGAGATGGGCTTTCAAAGCCATTAGAAACACCAGCAAGATAGGAGTCAATCAAATCTCAGAGGGCACTTCATTCCATAGAGCAGGCACACTTCCAGAGACCCAACAGATGGTACTGTTTAATTGAAGGAATCCAAAATGCCCAAAATTGGCTGGATAGATAATACTGGAAATACTGGAAATGGGTGTCCCTCAAGTAATGAAGTCCTATGCCATGTAGGGCTTTACAGAACAACCAGCTCCTATAATGACTACTAACTTATTGAAAGCAAGAAAAAACACAACCTCAATATTTGAATCTAAATTCAATTTAAAAAAATAGATACATAAAATACAGTAGTCCTTGATTTACAACAGTTCATTTAGTGACTTGTTCAAAATTACGAAGGCACTGAAAAAAATGACATATGACCTTTTTTCACACTTATGACAGTTGTAGCATCCCTGTGGTCATGTGATCAAAATTCACATTCTTGGCATCTGACTCATATTTATGATGGTTGCAGTGATCCCCTTTTGCGACATTCTGATAAGCAAAGTCAATTGGGAAGCCAGATTCACTTAATAACCATGTTATTTGTTAAAGCATTGTAAAATGATATGTAAATCTAAGTGCTATTGCTATTATTAAATTAACAACTGCAGTGATTCACTTAACAATTGTGGCAAGAAAGGTTCTAAAATGGGGCAAAGCTCACTTAACAAATGTCTCACTTAGCAACAGAAATTCTGGGTTCAGTTGTGGTCGTAAATCAAGGACTATCTGTATATAAGAAAGTCAGATTAGATCGACCAAGAATACAAGGAGATATTTTTATGTATTCAATACCATTAATAATCTGCTAATTAACCAAAATAGTGAACCATAGTAGACAACATATTTTTATCTAATAAATACTATTCACTAAATATCTTAATTAAGGAACTACAATATAATATCCATTGAATGATAAAAGGTTAAACATATAGCTTTTATTTAATCCATATACAACTGCACATGAATATCAAAAACTATCAAGAATTCTTAACTTTTTATTGATAGATAATAGCTGCATGATGAAGCAATGCATTTCTAAGTAATAAAAATCCCATTTCTTTAAATTAATTATTGTAAAAAGCTTGGGAATTCTACTTACCAATATGACCTGCTTTAACTTTAAATGGGACATCAAATTGATACTGTAAAGATAAATGTTTTAATTACATTTCAAGGACAAAAACATTTTTAACAGCATAGAGCCCAGAATGTACACAAATGTTTTTTATTAATTCCTAAAACAGCATAAAAACATGTATTTATGAAGGATTATGATGCAAAAGGCACTTTAGTACTTACCAATGCATTTTCTTTTATTACAAGATTTTTAAGTGCTACAGCTCCTATTAAGAAATTTGAAAAAAAAAATCATAATCAGAAAACAACAAACTTGATTTACAACATTTTCAATAGTCAGAAATACCTCTTAATAGAATTCTAACAATTTTAATAGAGACCTAGCAAAGTAAAAAAACCGCAGTACTTCAGACAAAGATCGAAAATTTATGTTGTCATATTTATGAATCAGCACACAACCCTTTGGCATTCCTCATGGTCAAAATTTCCTAACTTGAAAAAAAGCCAGCCTCACAAGCCAGTAAAAAGGAAGAAAAGGGAAAGAGATCAAATCTTACATCAAGACTTCAACTCCAGTATATAAACTAGAAGATGCTTTGCAATCAGCTGCAAAGTTTGCAGATTCAATTAAACTGCTGCAATTTCAGCAAACATATTTACGTTGCCAACTTGCTCAAACCAAACTACACATTACACAAGAGTTCCAGGAATATTATTATACTAGTATGTATATGTGAAATACACTATAGCAATATGCACCAAGAAGGTACTGGTATGTGTAATTGCATGATAATCTTGGGGAGAACCCTGCAGAGAAGAATGACGCCTTACAGGATTTCTTTGAATTGAGAATTAAAACTCCTCATCCATCACTGGGCTACAGTATATATAAACTTTTTTTTTCTTTTTGCCATGGTATTGCTATTTACCAAGATATAACACCAGAGGGACTGTAAATTCAATCTCCATTATTTTTAAAAGATATTTCCTTTCTTTAAAAATTAACAGTTAAGAACATATTTTGTTTAAAAATGCTTTCTAAATTAACAATTCTGCATAGCATGCTAAAAAATATTGTCACTTAAAAGTACATCCCATGGATTTTTATCCTTCATAATGCAAGTATTCTATAAGTACATCTATTACTAGCATCTTCTTCAATAGTTACACATAGGATCCAGAGCATTCAGATTTGGTCCAATGACTTTTCCATTGTCCTTTTCAGCCTTTTACTACTGAACAATGATACCATGACAAAAAAATAACAAAAAAAATTCAACAGTATGTAAAGAACATCTAGCAATTTTTATAAACTGCTAACAAGTTTTAGCAAAAAAAAGTCATGTTCTTCAGCATCTGTAGGAGTACACCTAAATCTGTTTGTACTCACAATCTCAGCATACAGTCACAGATATATAAGCACACACAACCATCTACCCATATATTATATGTGCACACATTTATATGTATTTTATATAAACTGTATTTTTAATATAAACTGCCACCCACATGCTCCAAAACAGAATGATTTTCAGTTTCTTCACCAAGAGGAAAAGAGAATCTAAGAGCTTTTTGTTTTCTTCCAGCAAAAAAGAAGAAAATCAGTTTTACATTGGCTAGCCACAACAATTTTCAGTAGGATGATGGCCTTTTGCTTCCCTTCTAATGAAAGGTCATCTCATACAGTTTTCTGAGCAGTTGACTGATGGTCAGATGAGTGGAGCTGCAGGTTCCACAGAACACTATACTGGCACCTTCCAAGGGTCGGGTGCAGTTCTCAGGCAATGAACTGCACCTTTGAAAAGAAAATTGCCCATGTAAAATCATTCTCTATCTACTTCTGATAATCACACAGGCACACATAAAAAGCACTCCCTGAAAAAATATCCAGAGCCTGTAAACAGTAATGCCTTTAATAAAGTCAACTAAAAGTCAGAGAATGAATTCTTTATCTAGCTGGACCACAGGAGTTGGCACAGTATTAAAATCACAACTTCTGTAACTCTTAAGTTTTAGGATGAAGTGCAGACTTAAATTAGCTTCAGCTAGCTGTTAAACTGGTTTCATGTTGCATTCACAGATGCCAGGAAAAGTCACCTTGGTTGATGTCACATTTGTAATAAGTCCAGGAAGTAGAAATTATACAGTTCTCTTATCTATATAGTTATAAGTGGATTATAAGAAAGAAAAATTAATACAAAAGTGTTGATCTTCACATAAAATAACCTGGAGAATAATTTTAGACAGTGCAATGAGCACTTAGTTCTCTGGCAAGAGCAAGAGCAGCAATACATACCAGAAAGACTAGTGTGCTTTTTGTCATTTACTAACTGAATGATCATAATTTAGTTTTCACTAAAGTTTAACATTTTTTTCTGATCCACTTAGTATAATATTATGTGCTATTTATATTGCATCTTCATAATGTATGAAACTGCTTTGTTGGCTACTTTCTCTCACATGAAAACCACCTACAACAAAGATGATGGAAAACATGAACAATGGAATAATTAGTTAAGGAGTGCAATAAGAAAATCAATAAGACATTCACAGAAAGAGCTATAAGATCCTCTTGAAAGATCCTCCACATGAACAAGACCAAGTAAAATTCTTGAGAAAAAAATAAGCATTTCCCAACAATGAAACATCAGTAGAACATTCAGTTATATCAACCATACTTATCAACCACAATGATAATCCAGAAAACATGACCTCATCTAATATTAGGTGATGAAAAAGTTCAAATAAGTGTGGGCAAGTATTAAAATACAGAGATAATGAAAACATATGATGCAAAATTCTATTGCATAATCAAGTTACATTGCTGAAATTTATAGCAATGAACTATGTTATTTTCAGGCAACTCAGTAGAAGTAAAAATCTGTAATCTAACTGAAATGTAACCAGAATGTATTGAGTCCAGCACCCTAGTCCTTCCCGTGACAGACCAAGGTCCCCTTTTTAACAAATGGAAATCCAGAGCAGATACTGTAATAATGCCTCCTCTCAAGCTGTAAAGTAAGATTACTTTCCATTGGCAGTATTTCCGTCCCAATCCCACTTCTGGAGGTCCCCCTTCTCTCCAGAAGACAAACCACCACAAATTCTTTCTTATCCTTCCCCACTAAACAGACTTTTTTCTTCTTATACTGGGCATTTTGTTCCTCCATACTATAAATAATCAATGTTGACAGATGAAAAACGAACATAATGGTGGAACAAATCTCTTATTTTGGGTATCCTCCACTAGTGAGACAACTGCAGGGAAAGAAAAGAGACAGTTGTTGGTGCCACATATTGCATGAAAATTATTGTAGTGAAGAGGCAGTGACCAGTCACTTGGGATGGGGCCAACTCTTCGTTTCTGAGCTACATCTTGAACCAATTGTTGCACTTACTAAACTAAGCATTTACCTGAAAATGTCAGGTTTAGAATGTAGGATTTTATGAATAAAAGTATAGATTCTATCACTGAGTTTCACTATGTGTGGGGAAGCCACACATACACAGAAGGAAGTGGTAAAAAGTCTGTTAGAAAACAGAGGCAAACTACTACTACTTTTCAAACTCAAAGATAAGTGCTGTATCATTTGAGCTAATTCAGCTAACCAATGATTAATATGTAATGCTGTTGTATTTATAGTTGCATGGATTTCCTTACTGGTATTTTAACCACTCTAAATTTAAGCACCAGTACAGTACAATATATCCCTGACCACAAACAACATCATTAGTATTAGATATGCTTTTCTAGTATTCTCTTTTTTCTATTCTCTTACTTCCAATTCTATTTATAACAGAAATGGTAGTTTGCTCCCTGGGCTCTGTTCAACTATGATGCTCTTTTAAATATTTATTAAGATAATATTAGTTTGCAAAAAATATATACACTATCTAAAAACAAGTAGAAGATGCATTTCATATATTCTAAAATCACTATTTAATATCAGGAGCTAAATAAGTTGTCTATAACAAACAGAAAGAAAAAAAGCAAGTTGTTTTTTAAAGATATAATATGCATAAATATTATGGCCTTACACAGCATTCCAAGAGCTACAGAATATTTCACTATGTTCCCTGCAGCAAATTTAAATTCCCCTCTTCCTCTCAAGCAACCTGAAAAATAATATTTTCCAATACAAGTAGTCCTCGACTTAACAACAGTTCATCTAGTGACCATTTGAAGTTACAACAGTGTTGAAGAATGATTTATGACAATTTTTCACACTTACAATTGTAGCATCCCCATGATCACATAATCAAAATTCAGACACTTGGCAACTGACTCATATATATGATTGCAATGTCCGGGGTCATGTGATCACCTTTTGTAACCTTTTGACAAGCAAAATCAATGGGGAAGCTAGATTCACTTAACCTTATTACTAACTTAACAACTGTAGTGATTCACTTAGCAACTGTATCAAGAAAAGTGGTAAAATGGGGCAAAACTCACTTAAGTATTACTTAGCAAGAAGTTTTGGGATCAACTGTGGTTGTAATTTGAGGACTACTTGTAATTTAATACGAGGCTGCCAAAAGGACGAATGCAGGGCAGAATAGGTTCTCAGAGTAGAAAACTCCCAAATGACCTCAGTTTGGTTCACATGGCCTACTCAGGAAGACACTGGAAATTGCTCTGTAAAACTTTTATTTTACTAACAGTATTTATTTAGCATAAAAAGGAAAATAAACCTAACATATTAAAAAAATGTAGAATAGGGTTGGAAGACATCTTGGAAGCCTTCTACTTCAACTACCTACCAGGATATAAGTCTTTTAAGAAACATTCTTATGTGAGAATGTGAAAACTGTCTAAGTTATTTTGATTTTCCAGCTTTTAACAAATATTTGCTATAATCACCGTTTAGGATTTCAGCTAAATTACAAGTCACAAAGTGAATATTTTGTTTTTGCTTGACATATTAAATGGGCCAATAATAATTCATACCTGTGCAGCTATAGAATTTGATTATTTTCAAACTTGTACTTATTGATTTAGAAATTATTGTGAGAAATTTAAGAAAGCCAAATGAGAAAAATAAATCATGTAATATATTAAATGAGAAAATTTGCTTATCTACTCTATTAAGATTTCACAGGGTACATTTTAAAACACATATCACACATCTATAGCATTAGCAAATAAAATTACTTCAAAAGCACTCATGTCATCCTTAAATTAGTCTGCTCACTATATGTATTGTATCAAAAATATATTCATTTAAAGTGCAGTCAAATCAAACACTAGTTTTCTAAGGAACATTTCCAGAAATGGAAATATTTAAACGTGATCTCCAATAACTTGGATTATCTAGTCATAGCATGTATTTCCTATTCCCTCTGTAATTATTTTGGATCAAAAAAAAGAGAAATTTGATAAATTTCTAGCATCAGAAAATATTTCACTCATCTATGGATTATTAACCAAAGGCCAAATATGCTGATCAATGCAAACAATTCACCAATTCCAAGGTATTCATATCCTAAAATGGCTAACTATTATGTTCAGAGAATTATACCTATATATTCCACGTGGTATGTATTCGATTTCTTAAAGCACCTTGCCAAAACTACATCTGGCTTGAATTACTACCTCAGTAACAAATTGGGAGTTCAATGAAAGAATTGTGATTGAAAACAACTCAAACTGCAGGGAGATACAGGTAGTCCTCAACTTACAACCACAGCTGAGCCCAAAATTCCTGTTGTTAAGTGAGACATTTAAGTCAGCTTTGCCCCACTTTACGATTTTTCTTGCCACAGTTGTTCAGTGAATCACTGCAGTTAATAAGTTAGTAACCTGGTTGTTAAGTGAATCTGGCTTCCCCATTGACTTTGCTTGTCAGCAGGTTGCAAAAGGTGATCACAATGCCCCTGGGACACAGCAAAGATCACAAATACGAACTAGTTGCCAAGCATCTGAACTTTGATCACATGATCATGGTGATGCTACAAAAGTTGCAACTATGAAAAATGATTACATGTCACATCTTTCAGTGCCGCTGTAACTTTGAACAGTTACAACAAAACTGCTGCAAGCTGAGGACTATTGTCTGTATTAGGTATAACACATAAATAAAAGTGATTTTTATCATTATTCTTGAATGACAATCAAATAAATGATTGAAATGCAAGATTTTTCTGTCCCATTGCTTAAAATCTGGAAAGCAATCCATAGGCTCCCATTCTACAAGGACCTACCAGTCTTTGTCTAGAGATTCTCAATCATCCAGGTTGTAGTTGTCCCAAAGGTGCTTTTTCAAGAGGCAACTGGACTTTCTGTTGTTGTTTTCTTTTTTTTGAAGAGGTTTTGCTTCTCATCCAAGAAGCTTCTTCAGTTCTTCAGCCTCTTGAAAAAGCACCTTTGGGACTACAAGTCTTTGAAAACATGGTCTACTCCAGGGGTGGGTTCTACCTACTTTACTACCGGTTCGCAACAGGGCCGCATGTGTGCGCTTGCTTCACTCACGCGTGCGATCTTCTGTGCATGCACAGAAGCATTCTGATGACTTTGGGGTCCGTGGGTGGAGCCTCCCACCTGTTTTACTACTGGTTCTATAGAACTGGTCCGAATTGGGGGCAACCCGCTACTGGTCTACTCCCAGGACTAGAGTTTGATTATCTGTTGACTTTCTACAAGGGAATGTGTATTTTTTTTTTTTAAAAAAAAATTGATTTATATGCTGCCCTTCTCCAGAGACTCAGGGCGGCTTACAATGCGTCAAGCAATAGCCTTCATACTTTTGTATATTTATACAAAGTCAGCTTATTGCCCCCACAAACTGGGTCCTCAATTTACATACCTTAGAAAGGATGGAAGGCTGAGTCAACCTTGAGCCTGGTGAGATTCGAACTTTCAGTAATTGCAGACAGCTGGTGTTAATCACAATGCTATCGGTCTGCTGAGCCACCAGGCCCTAGTAAACAGTATTTACTCCTGTTGCACATAGTTGTATCTTTTTGTTTTCTTTAATTATGTAAATTACAAGTATCATTCGGGAATCAGGCACCTTCTAAAATTATGAAATAAATGAACATACTAACGCATATCAGCCAAGCAGCGTATGCTTAACCAAAGGCCAGAATATTAAGTTCATGTAGTATTAGTTCCCACACCCACCCAAAAAAAAAAAAAATCACCTTAAACAGAACAAGGAGCACAGTATGGGGGGGGGAACCCCACTGTTTTTACACCTCGTTCAAGACAACCGCCTCTTTATTCTCCAGCACCCTGGGAAGAGGCCTTAACTTCTCTCTTCCTACGGTCTCCCCTTGGAAGGAGATTTCACTTCCAAAAAAAGAGCAAACACGGGAGAAGTCAAGGCATGACACGTGACAAGAAGGCCCGCCCGTGCTGTGAGGAAAACAACTGTAACCAATTCAAGCGAGGAAGAACCGAGAGTTAGTCCCGGTTCGTCGTCTCTCGGGCAGGGACCGCGCTCGCCTTCCCTCAGCGACACCGAACACGCGGGCGAGCGGGCGCTCCGGGAGGCTAGCCGCCGTGCCCTGCGAAGGGGAGGAGCCCGGCCACCGCCTCCTGAAGGGAAAAGGGGCTCTCCGAGATAAGGGGGGCTGGCTGCCGGATGAGGCCGAGCTCGGCTCCAATCCGGCCGGGGCCAGCTTGGCCTCTGGCTTACCTCCCCATATGCCCAGCTGGAGCTGGGAACTATCCAGGTTCACCACATAATCGCCCAGGAACCGGTTCAGAACGTCCACCACCACCGATTCGAAGACCATCTTCGAAAGCGGGAGGACTCGCTCGCTCCCCTTTCAGCCAGTTCTAAATGTCGCCTGACGGGGGTGGGGAGGGGGGGGAAGAAAGGGGGAAAAAAAACAACCACCAAACCCCGCCAACCTCCGGGAAGTTCCCCACTCTCGCCGGCCAGTCACCCTCTCCTTCCAAACAGGGTGGCGCCCGGCCTCGGGTGTGTTCTGCTGTACTGTACTCCCGACTCGCCTAGCTTAACGCGCAGGCGCGGAAGGGGAATGTGAGGGGACCGAAAGCGAGAGCCCTTCCTCGCGCGGTTTGTGTGGAGGTGGCGGCTCAGTCTCGCCTCAGCACCAGAAACCGGCGATGCCGCGCCGGGGAGGGGCGGGGGGGGGCCAGGAGGCTCGGGTCTCGCGCGCGCCCTGAGCGGGTGGAAGGGAGTGGGTTCTTCTTCGTCGCGCGAGACTGGCGGTTAAAACTGCTCCTCCAAACCTGCGACGGGGGGAGGGGAGGGGAGGGGAGGGGCGGGCGGCCGTGAACCCCAAACGTAGCGATGGGAGTTGTCTTCGCCGCTTCTCGCTGGCTTTGCCCCCTTCCTTCTCCGCGGCCCGCTGTTATTAACGAATGGGCCGCGTGTGTGAACAGCTTCACCAGAGCCGGAGGTGCCGACATGGACGCACGGAGACCCTGCTCGGCTGGTCTGTCATGCTGTAGAAACTGAGCTGCTGCTACCGTAAAAAAATTACACGGGGAGCTGAAATTTTGGGATGTGATTCTAAGGGGCAAGAGCGTCTACTTCGCTTGAGCTACTTTCTTATGTAAATAAGGATTGGACTGCATACAAAAAAAGGTGGTGGATTGTAATCCTTTAATGCCGGGGCAAGGCGTGATTTTGCAGATGCACCAAAATCATAGATGCACCATTTTTTTTCTATAATATTAGTATTGTTAATAGGATTTTTTTTAAAAAAAATCATCTAGATTAATAATAACCTTAATCTCCAGAAGTATTCCAGGAAATGTGTTTTAAATTAGTAATAATTTTATATAGCATTAGTTGGCTGGCTGATCTGCTGAAAGAGGGAGGCGCATTTTGTTCAGAATAGTTTGTGGAATTGAGACAAGTGGTTCTCAAGCATTGACACACCTATCAATTCCAGTAAGTAAGTGCTATTGCTGAGCACATTGTAAGACGCCCTGAATCTTCGGAGAAGGGCGGCATATAAATCATTAAAAAAAAAAAAAAAAAGTAAGTAATGGGTGAAATAACTTTAATCCAGGGGTGAAATCCAGCAGGTTCTGACAGATTCTGGAGAACCGGTAGCCGAATTTTTGAGCAATTCCGAGAACCGGTAGCAGAAATTTTGAGTAGTTTGGAGAACCGGCAAATACCACCTCTGGGTGGCTCCAGAGTGGGGATTTTGCAATATCCTTCCCTTGGAGTGGGGTGGGAATGGAGATTTTGCAGTATCCTTCCCCTGAAGTGGGGTGAGAATGGGGATTTTGCAGTATCCTTCCCCTAGAGTGGGGTGGGAATGGAGATTTTGCAGTATCCTTCCCTTGGAGTGGGGTGGGAATGGAGATTTTGCAGTATCCTTCCCCTGTCACGCTCACCAAGCCATGCCCACCAAGCCACACCATGTCTGCCAAACCACGCCCACAGAACCGGTAGTAAAAATTGGATTTCACCACTGCTTTAATCATTAGTTGTACTAGTTTTAAAGTGGTATTTTCCCCATAAGTCCATATAATTTCAACCATAGCTACAAAGTGAGCAAATTAGTATTGTTTATTATCCATTATTTTGAGCTCAGCAACCTATTGTGGGGAACAAAAATGAATTTGGGAAGTGGCACATCTCTCCAATGTTGGGAGGCACTGGCATATCTCTCCAGTGTTCACAAGCCAGAGACCTCTTGCATTCCTGACAACAGCAGAGGTCCAGAAACACTGGGTTTCTGGCTTTGTCAGGCCTAAAGAACCATGAACAACACATGGACCTACTTCTGAACAGTTTCTTTATTGTTGTTCACCTACAATCTTGCTAGACTACAGCAATTACCTGCAATAATTATAGGTATAGTTGTAGTCCTTGATTTATGACCACAATTGATCCCAAAATTTCTTTTACTAAGCAAGGTAGTTCAGTGAGTTTTGCCCCATTTTTATGACCTTTCTTATCATAAGTGAGTTGTTAAGTGAATCACTGTAGTTGTAAAATTAATAACAAGGTTGTTGTAAAGTGAATCTGACTCCCTCATTGACTTTGCTTGTCAAAAAGTCACAAAAGTGATCAACATGATCCCGGGACACTGCAACCATCATAAATATGAGTCAGTTGCCAAGTGGCTGAATTTTGATCACATGGCTATGGGGATGCTGCAACGGTCATAAATGTAAAAAACGGTCATAACTCATTTCTTTCAGTAACTTCATATGACCACTAAACTAATAGTTATAAGATGAGGACCACCTTTATTTCACAAATTAATAGGGATGATACAAACTTGCTCTCTTCATGCATACATTCCAAGCTCTGCCATCTCTTTGCCCTCTGAAAAGCCTCTCCCTTCTGCAACTCCAGATTACAGGTAGTCCTCAGTTTACGACTATAATTGAGCCCAAAATTTCTGTTGTTAAGTGAAAAGTTGTTAAGTGAAGTTTGCCCCATTTTATGATCTTTCTTGCCACTTGTTAAGTGAATCACTGCACTTGTTAGTAACGTATCTGGCTTCTCCATTCACTTTGCCTTGTCAGAAGGTTGCAAAAGGTGATCATATGACCTCGGGACACTGCAACCATCATAAATACGGTATGAGTCAGTTGCCAAGCATCCAATTTTTGATCATATGACCATGGGGATGCTACAATGATCATAACTGTGAAAAATGGTCATAAGTCACTTTTTCAATACCGCTGTAACTTTGAATTGTCACTATATGATCTGTTATAAGTCAAGGACTACCTTGACTTCATTCCACTACAAGCTTGCTTCCTACAACATGATCAAGTTTCCATGAGAAGTTGGCAACCATTTTGTCACCCAAGTCTTAGAAAGGCAGCACAATCGCCATTATTATGATTGCTTCTGACCTGCCCTTATGCTATTTGCATCTGTAACTGGCAGATAAAGGCTTGTGGTTTCTGGACTGGGGTTTGGCAGCGTGTTTTGCTTTGGTGGGGGATGATCTTTTATTATCTGGATGCTGTTGGGCTTTTCTGTGAGGGAGAACCATTTGCTGGAATATGAGTTCATTTTTTGCTTCAAATGATTAATCTGGTGGCTGCTTAGGTCTGATGCTGGGTTACATGGTTTTGATACTGAAATAAGTTCAGGAGTCAGTAACATGGCAATAGAGTCAGTTGCCAACATCTGGATCTAGAAACCTCAAATAAATTTTACCTCTTATTTATTGGAAGTAAAGTAGTTGCTGAAATTGTCTGACTTTTCTGGACAAGCTAAGCAAGAAACTGCAGAATAGACTTCCAATTCTGCTAAGTAGGATGCCAAATTAGCCTTCCATAAAGCTGTAAAAATCTAGCCCATTAAATGAACCCATTTTCTTATGCAAGTGAGTGTTTGTTATAGCCGATATCAGTTATGAACTCTTTAATTGATTCTATTTAACTTTTGATCTGTTTTTTTATTCTTTATTGAACTTCACACACAATCCACAATCTTGACAAAGCTAAATTTATTTGGGCCTCTCAGATCCAGATGTAGATTTTTAATAGTATTATGTTTCCCCATTTGAAATTTACGTGCTGGAGATCTTCTTGGACTCTATTCCTATTCCAAAAGCAGATGGAAGCTTTTGCCCTTTGAAACAGGTACATTTACTGCACCAGATCAGGAGGCCCTGATCTTTCCTAGATCAGGAGGCCCTTCAGGCAGGCAGTCATACCCTTTCACCTCACAATTGGATTACTGTAATGCACTTTATGTGACGTTGCCCTAGAAGACCATCCAGAGGGTAAAGCTGGTCAAGAATGAGGTACAGTGGGTAGTGATGAAGGATATGCACCAAGACAAATTCCTTGTGTGTCCAATCACACTTGGCCAATAAAGAATTCTATTCTATTCTGTATTATGATCATGCTATTTTGTGAACTGCACTGGTTATAGTTGGCTTCCTGGTGCATTTTAGGGTGCTGGTTATTCCTCTTAATACCCTTCATGGTGTGGAGCCTGGCTATCTAAGGTCCTACTTATCTTCAGTTGTCTCTGCCCATCTAGTATAGTCCAGCAGGCTTCGTAATCTCCAGGTCCCAGTAATTAAAGAATGTCAGTTTAAGGGATCCTAGAAATGTGCATATTTTGTTGCAGTTTCTGCCTCTGGGCAATCTCTTTCCCCCCAAGATGTGTTTCACATTCATCTTTATGTCAATCAGGTAAATATCAGAAACCTGGTTGTTCTCCCAGGCCTTGTGGATAGGGTGATTGTTGAACTTCCATTTTGTTTGATCTGCTTTGGTTCTATTTTGTCATTTTGTTCTACAAGTTGGTTAACATTACTTCTAAATAGAAGTGTGTGTGTAGAATTGCACTTTAGAATTTTATCATACATTGTTTCAATCTTTCCATGTGTGCCACTTTTAAATATGCAATTCTGATAATGGGGTATAAACATATAAATACAGTTTGACAAAGATCAGATTATACAGAGAAATTAAGTACTTTACTGGATTTAAGTTTAATTAAGTACATACTTAAGTAAGAAATTAAGTACATACTTAAAAATAAGTATGTTGATTTTTTTTAAATGTGAAGGTACAAGTGAGAACATCAATACAAGTTTTTCTAATAGATTCTGGTGCAAAACAAATGGGATCATATGAGAAATGGAGTCCTATAAAAAAGTAGAACAGTAGAGGCTAGAGACTTGGTTGTTTGAACTTCCCATGGGCATACAGTATTCACTCTGAGTTGGAAGAGTTGTTATATTTTCCTTTTAGTTTAGTTCTGGATGCTTAAGCATAGAAAGCTGTACAGGTACTTGTCAGGGTAAACAGCTTTCTACAGAATATTTTAGAGATTCCATGTTGTTCTTGAAGGTCTGTGACTAGTACATTTTTTAAAATTTCAGAATATTATTTTAGTGAAGTTTTTATGTTGTCCATAAAAAGGGTCTCTTTAAAAAATAACTTAATTAGGACAACTTTAATTCTAAATACTGTACTATATCCATACTTTTAAGAAATCAATGATATATTGGATATTGATTTTAAAATGTAGCTAAGAATTGTAAGTTCTAATAATAAATCCATTTTAAGATGGTCTAATAAGATGAGGAGATTGATTTCTATTTGTAGTAAGCAGCTTAAATTCCAAAGCCAATGCATAAGTAGTTCAAGTTCCAGAGCCACT